GACTGGACCACTTTTGACAGGAGTTTTCTGATTGTAAAGGGTTTCCTGGTTTGTCTGTGGTCAATCTACATTCATTGATCCATTGTTGGCCTTTGCCACATCTACATAACCTAGAATGCTGAGGTCTTCTGTTTGAGTCTTTCCTAGGAGGAGCATTATTTCCAGGAATGCTTTCCCTACAATTTCTTCTTAGATGTCCTGTAGAGAGAAGCCTTTTCCTTGCCAGTTGCTTTGGTTTCCCCCCCCCCACCAGTTGCCTGGGCTCTGCCGCATTGTAGTCCCCAAATAACACACAAGACGCTGTATTAATTATGAAGCTGTTGGCCTTGCTTGTTTCTTACTGGCTAGCTCTGACTTAAGTATTTACCCTATAACTGCTGATCTAAGTATTTCTCTTACCAGAGAAAAGTTTCCGGGCTTCTTACCCCTATGGCGGTTACATATTCTACCACAGTTAAAACATCTGATATTTAGATGTCTTTTAAGAAACCTTTGGAGTCTGCTTCTTCTACCCAAGCTTCTTTGTCACCATTGTTAAGGCATCTGGCATCTTGGTGTCTTTTTAATCCTTTGGAGATTGCTTCTCCTATCCTAGCTTCTGTGTCAAGATGTTTATACTGAATACTGGCTGTATACAAATCCCATTCATCCAGTGGTGCTGTTCTGATCTTTAATGGCCAAAGCACCTTTTTGCATTGTGGATTCCCATTCTTATAAGCTAGAAATTCTATGAGTATTTGCCTAGACTCTCAATCTGTTCCCTGTAACTCTACTGCTCTGGACAATCTTTGGAAGAATTCACTATATCGTTCTCTTGGTCCCTGTACTACTTTGGTTCTATTCTCTTCTGGTTCATGAACCTTATCCCTAGCGTTCAAGGCTATTGTATGGCATAGAGACAAGATGCGTTCATCATATGCAGCTTGAGCCTCTGGGCCAGCATAAGGACCCTCACCAAGAACCTCATCTTGGGTAGCCGCATAACCTTTATTTAAGCCTTAAGCTCAAGAGCTTTTTCTTCTTCCCTCCATAAAGCCCTCCATTGTATTTGAGATGAAGTGTCAAGTACGACTGATATTGTCCCCAATCCTTAGAGGTCACTCTATTTGTCCTTGCCCATGAGTCTAACATTTGGTGGACATAAAGGGAATGCATTCCATAAGAGACAACAGCTTCCTTAAAATCTTTAAGGTCTTTCATCTGTATTGGCTCCCATCAATATGCAACATAGCCATTCGGGTGTGTTTTTGTTGCTGGTTTGTCAGTCATAGTCACTGGGAAAACCATAGAGGGCATAACAACCTTAGGAAAACAGAACCAGTCTATGACTCACCAGGGGCCTCTATAGGTCCTTGCAGCACTTCTCAGCATGGCAGCTCACTCCAATAGTCCAGGAAACTGAAAGCAGCCTTAGAGCCTTGGAGCGTCTCAAGGCTTGTGTCTCCTGAAGCAGCCCCCAGCCCCGGAGTTGCAGAGTGAAGGTCCAGCTTTCAAATTTGGGTGGGTGGTCTGAATCTCACTGGGGCCTCCAGAAAATGTTAATCCCACCTGTTGGGAGTAAAACCACTATCTCAATTTAAAGTCAAATTTGAAGCAAGTTTTAATTAAACACTGGCCGTATGAATGGACTCTGGCCCGGTCCATCTCTGGCTCCCAGAAAATGGCCCCAAGTCATGGTTTGCAGGGGCTTAAGTATTTCCCATCAGAGCCAATCAGGGGCAAGCTTATGTACCTCCTGCCTACATCCAATCAACCCCAGAGTGTTTGTTCAGGCCCTGGCAGCAGGGGAGGCACAGGGAAGTTTTGCTCAATGGTTATTGTTACCATAATTCAGGTGGAGTTGTTTTGTCCTATCTTTTTTTTTTTTTTTTTTTTTTTTTGGTTTTACGAGACAGGGTTTCTCTGTATTGTTGTCCTATCTTCTTTGAAGATTAAAAGGGTTCTGTCAGGAGCTAGCATGTCTCTATAATGGGAAGTTTAAACATTTTAAATGCCATACTTAGCAGCTCTTAGAACCATCTATCTAATATGTCTGGGTTTTGGCCCTAAACTTAACAGTTTGTAAGTTAGTGGTTTAAAAAGAGTTGAAAGTGAGATAAGAGACTTTTGGAAGTACAGAAGAGAGCAAAATACAAGAGACTGGGAATCCTGTGTTTGTGTAAGCTGCAGGAGGAGCGTCACCAGAGAAAAAGACCGAGAAGCATCTCCTGGGAGGGAGAGAGAGTGTTGGGGGAGCTGAAAACAGAAACAGGCTGGACCGATGCAAGCCAGAGGGGAGCGACGCCCAGCCTGCAGGTGGGACTGGTTCCCGGGAGAAAGACCTGAGAAGGCCCGAGAGTGGGGTTGCTGGGGGGCAGGCAGCTGTGGATGGGGGCAGGCTCTGGCAGGGGTCTTTGGCACTGTGCGGCAGGAGAGGGGAGGGGTGGCGCCCAGCTGAGGGGTGGGACCAGAGCACCCAGCTATCAGTCAGTCACAGCAGAGGAGGTTTTGATGCCCAATAGTACACGAGATGAAGAACAGAGAAGGCAAGGGAAAGTTTGGGGATGGGGGAAGCAGGTGGAATCATAGGAAATTTTCAGGGGAGGGTCAAGGAGGGAGAGATATCTCCTTCCATTGGTCAATGTGCCCACAAAATTGTAAACTTGTCATTTTGTTTGTTTATCTAAGGGAGGATAAGGACCATTTTTGAGTGCTAAGATGCGTCAGTAATGTTGGGTGTGAATTGGAGTCTTTGGGAGACATCCCAAAGGTGTATCTCTCAGAATGGAGAGAGCTGATACCCTTTGCGAGTTGATGACTGGGAGCCAAGGTCCAGAACCAAGGGAGTTCCCACAGTTCTCACATGACTGATAGAGAGATCTCTGGGAGGGAGGGGTCATCACCCAAGCTCTGTCACCAAGAGAGGGACTGGTCCAAGGAGAAATCTAGAACCTGTCGAAAGGATTCTCAGATGGTTAGGAACAGACTTGAGATTCCAGCAGAGAAGACAGCAACAGCAAAAGGAAAACTGCCAACCAAACCAAACTGAATGAAATGTGCCTGCCAGCCATCCAAGGGGAGTCTACGTGGCTGCTGAAGGCCATGGTGGGGTGCATTCTCCCCACCCCCACAAGACAGAGTGGCGATGCTGGATACTCAGTGGTCATCACTGATGCCCTGGGGAACATTTAGGATGGTTAGTGTCTTACTTAGGGTGTTCTTACTGAGACACCGTGACCACAGAAACTCTTATAAAAGAAAACATTTAAAATTGGGACTGGGTTACAGTTCAGAGATTTAATCCATTATTTTCACCATGGGGAACATGGCGTCATGCCGGCAGACATGGTGCTGCAGAGGTAGCTGGGAGTTCTACATCAGGATCCGCAGGCAGCAGGAAGAGAATGAGACACGGTAGGCCTGGCTTAACCCCCTCTTTTTGACCCAGTTCCTCCAGCAAGGCCACACCTCTTACTAGTGCCACTGTGAGATGAATGGAACAGTTATCTGATGGTCCGGAACTGGTTGGGGCGCCTGTAGACCCATCCAAACCACGCTCCAAGTCACAGAACCAATGTAGAGCGCCTTGGAGTCGGCACAGAGCATGCCCACACACCAAGTTCTCAGCAAAGGAGATTGATTACCCTGGAGGGACAAGCATGGGGTGGGGCTGCCTCTGGATCAGGCAAAGACAGCGGCAGGCATCTCTGCAGGAGTGGCTTTCAAGGCAAAAAAGAGTCTGTGCTAGGATGAGTTGGTAAATTCTGATTGGACAGGTTAGTCAGTATAGCCAAATAATGAATTTTGATTGCTAGACCTTGGTGGTTTAGTCTCAGGTTCAGTCAGTGGCCAAACAAGTTAGCCTTGGGGGCTATCTTTAGGAATGTAAGGGACAGGGAAGGGGAAAGGACAAAACCTGCCCGCACTTTTTCTGCCATGCTTGGGCCTGTTAGAGAGCATTTCGTTTATTTTGCAGAAGATGCAGCACCCACATGGTGCCTCACAACTATCCATAACTCCAATCCCAGGGGAGACAATGCCCTCTCTTGTGACCTCCAAGGGTACCAGACATACACCAGATACACAGACATACACAGGAGCAAAACACTCACATTCATAAATAAATTGGGGTCTTTGTTAGGGTTTTGTTTCTGAAGAGACACCATGACCACAGCAACCCTTAATAAGGAAAACAGTTCATTGGGGCTGGCTACAGTTTCAGAGGTTTAGTCCATTGTCATCATGGTGGGACATGGTGGCATGCAGGCAGACACGGTGCTGGTGAGGTAACTGAGTTCTCCATCTTGATCTGCAGGCAGCAGAAGGAGACTGTGTGTACATTGGGTGTAACTTGAGCATATGAGACCTCAAAGCCCGCCCCCACAGTGACACACTTCCTCCAACAAGACCACACCCCCTAATAGTGCCACTTCCTCTGGGCTAAGCATTCAAACACTTGAATGGAGGCCATTTCTATTCAAATCACCATAATCGTTAAAACAAAATGAAACAAAGTCTGAATGCATAAATCCTAAAAAAGTAGAAAAGATTAAAATGAAAATAAGCAATTAAAGTGAAAGATGGTGTTATGGCTACAGCCAGTGTTTGTTTACACTAGGGAGGCAGCCTTCCTCTTCCCCTTCCTTTGTTTCCAGATGGCAGGCAGAGACATGGCCTGGTCACTTGTCAGTGCACCCTCCCAGCTGAGACGGAGTTCTGTGACCAAAGTGTCCTTTCTGCTGGCGCCCAAGGTCTGATAATGCAGACCTGAAAATCAGCAGTTTATCTTTGGTGTCTGGGGCATCTGTCTGTCTGCACAACACTTCGTGAGACCATGGTTCCAAGTGGTGTAGAAGGCTGGGTCACCTGTATTCACCATTTGTGGTATCAGGATATGGCAGCCAATGTTGTCCGTGCTTCCTGGGATCCAGTTGTAGCTCCTCCAAGCTGTGGTGGGGATGCCCAGTGGGTGTTAGGGGTTGGTTCTCACCCACTCAGCACCACACTTCTTTTCTGTGCAGAGTCCTGAGGTCCAGTCACCCATGCTCACTGAATCCAGCCTCTGGATTGGGTATCCTGCAGATTGGCCGGAACCTGTTAGGTTCTCCAGGCAACCAGCAGTCTACAACCCAACAGAATGGAGGGTAAAGCTGGCTCTAACAAGATTTTAAGCTTAGCTGAAAAGTTTGTAACACTGTGTTTTTAAGATATTCAAACTAATTACTATTTTTTATTACAGGAAGATATGGAATCACGGTCTGTTGCTCTACAGGAAAACCAACACCCAGCATCAGGCTTGTCGGGAAAGGAGGAAAACTCACAGACACAGGAACAGCCAGCCAGGTACAGGCAGGCGCTCGTTTCTGAGTAAAACCGGCTTAGTGGCGATCAGAAGGGGTGAGAGCCGTGTGCATCGGACACATCAGGTTTATGGGAGGAATTTAACACAGTGGTGAGAATATAGTGAGAGTTATCAAAACAAAGCTAAATCGATAGAAACAGTGATTATTCATTTAATTTCCTGCTTTGTGAAGCATTTGCTGTTTTATGTCTGATTTCACATCGCCTAAGTTTTGTGTTTTATTTTGCCTCCCAGCTTCTAATGTCCTTTTTTCCTATTTATATAAAATTGAGTCATTAAATACAAATTGGTGCTGAAAACACTTTTTTTCGCTGTATGACCCTGCTGAGAATCAGGCCTTTGTAGACTGTGCGTGTTACTCTATCTCTGAAAGACCATTGATTGTGACTGCACCTCTTCTGTAGTGAATTTTGAAGGCTCTCATTTGGCTTGGAAAGTGTGGATAAAATAGCTTTCTGTGAGCAAATTTTCCTTAGCAAAGAAAAGTTATGTAGGTGGTGAGGAGAAGAGTCAGGTTTTAGAGACATGTGACACTGGCTTTGACACCAGCCTTTGAACCTGCCCTGTGTCATCTTGGAAATGTTAGTTGTCATCAACTATGTTTCCTCTAATGTGAACAGGAATATGATATATCCAAGATTATTATTTAATATGTACATGTTTAACTTCTACCTGACTATATTTTATAGCATTTTGCAATTAGAACTGGAGATAAATATGGAATTCTTTATTTAAATTGTGGCAAACATCAAAGTTTGAGTCAAAAGGTGCCCGAATAATTGCAACAGTACAGGAAGGCCTCTGTGCTGCTGTCCACTTCCATCTCGTTTTACAGTGTCTTAGGGCCTGCCTTAGGGTTCTGTTGCTGTGATAAAACACCATGACCAAAATCAACCTGGGGAAGAAAGGGTTTATTTCAATTACACTTCCAGATAACAGATAGCTGAGGGAGGTCTGGGCAGGAACTCAGGTAAGTCAGGGACCTGAAGACAGAAATGAACAGAGGCCATGGAGGAGTGCTGCTCACTGGCTTGCTCCTCGCGGTTTGCTCAGCCTGCTTTCTTGTGGCGTTGTCCCAGTTCAGACTGCCTCTTTGCAGAGATGCCAGATTGTGACATAGTGACAACAATTAGTCAGGCCAGAGCTCCTAAGGAGGCAGCAGACTAGAACTGAGTCGTCTGTGCTGCAGCGGTGTCGCCTCAGCTTTACCTGTTGGCACACGTCCTTCCACGTCCATCTGGGGTGTGGAAGGGTTAGGACTGCCTGCTCCTAAGGAAGATGTCCTGGTGTCGCATAGGGAAGAGGCATAGCCTCACTCAGGACCCTGTGCTTCTGCCAGCCTCGCCTTGGGATTGTCTTCTGAAGTGCTTGCTTGTTTATATGACTCTGAAAATGCAGGACATATATAGCAAAAATAATTATTGTGTTTTATAAATATTCATTTCATTAATTTATTTTCCCTTTGTACATGAATGCATTTTATTTTGATCAAATCCACTTTCAGGTCTTTCTACCCATATTCCCCTTGCAACATCATGTTCATATATGATTATATATGTATATATACACATATGTGATCAGTAGGATACATATGTCAGTACATAGGTAGCTATCTATGATATCTATATCTTTTTCAGTAGTTAACTACCTGTAGCTTTTCAACCAAAAGCGGGGCCTTGTGAACCATGCCCCCAATCTTCTGTAATAGTAACTAGATCTATCTTATGCAGGTCATATGGACCATCACAGAAGTTAATAACTCATAAGTGCAGCATCCTGTCATGTCTAGAAGACACTGCTTCACATAAGTCCTCCCACCCCTGACTCTTGCAGTCTTTCTGCCCCTTCTCTCATGACCCTCCTGGAGCTGCTAGGGGCTCAGAGCTGTACTAATGTATGGGTACAAAACTAAGTATTTAGAAGGCAGCTAGATATGTTACTAATTCAACAAAAGCACAGTGGTAGGTTCTGCTGTAGGGCTTATGTCCTCTCTAGCCACAGGTCTTTGGACAGGTTTCTAGCACCAGGCATGAGTCCCCTCCTGTGGAACAGGCCTTAAGTCTGATTTTTTAAAAAGTAGTTGGTTACCCCCATAACATTAATGCCGCTGTCTCACCAATAGGCATGCCTTACCTGGAAAGCTGTTATTGCAATTCTCAGTGTTCAGAACTGGGTAGGACTGTCAGTCCCTCTTGTCTTCCACTTGCCTACTACCCTTTGGCACTCAGAAAACTGGCTCTCATGGAGGAAGCATCTAGTTCTATACCAGTTTGATTTCTCCAAGTCCTGTGACAGAAGTATGCATTGTCTTCAGCAGTAGGATCTTAACTTCAGGTTCTGGTGGGCGACCAAGAATAATAGTAACTGCCTGTAATGTTTGGAGGGGTCACCCCAAATTCAGTATTCCAGTATAGCAGCAGTGAAGCAGGCTTTTTCTTTGGGCTACCAAGTAGACACTGGTCCCTGTGTGTGCCAGGGTTTTTCTTTTGGACCACCAACCAACTCCCAAATCATGACACAGAGACTTCCTATTGGTTGTGAATGCTGGGCCTAGTTTAGGCTCGTTTCTGGCTCAGTCTTTTAACTTAAATTAACCTGTTTTCCTTATCTACCTTACACTTAAGGGCCTTCTGCCTTTCTTCCTTCTATATATCTTACTTTCCCTGCTTCTTGTGTTTGGCTGGCTGGCAGCTGCCTGGCTTCTTGTCCTGGGCATGTCCCCCTCTTTCTTCTTGTTCTCTTCTTTCTTCCTCTCGTTCTTAGATTTCTCCTCCTACTTATTCTCTCTGCCTGCCAGCCCTGCCTATCCCTCTCCCGTCTAGCTACTGACTGTTCAGCTCTTTATTAGACCCATCAGGAGCCTTAGGAGGCAAGATGAAACAAATCCAACACATCTTTACATAGTTAAACAAACGCAGCAAAAACACATGCAACACACCTTTACAAATTAAAGTAATATTCCACAGTATAAACAAATGTAATACATCTTTGCATAGTTAAATATTCCATAACATAGCAGTTTCGTGAAAATTTTGTTGTAGCAAAATGAAGAAAGTCATAAATTGAGTCATGTTTTGAATACCCTAACAGATCAGCAGGCGGGTGGGTTACAACCAGGCAGGGAGAGCACTGCTATCTGGGGAGCAGTCTGATGACATTCTTGCTTTTTGGGTTGGTGGAAAGCAGTGTCTTGCTAAGTTACATCCCAATGATGTCACTTCAGAGTCACAAAGATATTAGGTCAGACACAGAGGTGGCAAGGAATGGCTATTAACTGGGATAAAGTAGCCCAAGATACGTTATAGCAGTCTCTGGATCCCCACTTCAGTCTCTGTAATCACGGTATATCTAGTCCATGATTAATCAACCTTGGAGAAGGTTCAATGCCAGCTGCACTGGCTTCTTTCCTGGACTCACATTAGTATAATCTAGAATTTTGGACTGTTGTTAGTATTTTTATATTATACCCCTGTGTTTTTGATAAATACATTAACAGCTTGTTTTAGCCCCTAATATTTGTTTTTATTAACTTCAGTTACTATCTCTTCTGCAAGAACAAGCTTGCTGTATGCTACCATGCACACAGCATTACATCTTTCCTAATCTTTCCCATATTGCCTACACTTTTAAAACTCTTACTGGTATGGAAAATGTAAATTAAATGTACTGCCTCCCCTATCAAAGCATTAAATGAGAAAGGGGGAGTTTCTGTAAAGAAATTTGTATAAAGATGCCATCTTGAAAAACATCCCTCCCTCCCCTCGTCGTGCTCAAGGTTTCATCCTGCTCTCAAAGTTGCTCTTTCCTTATCTACTGCAAAATGTAGGAACCCGAGCTCTGAGCACTCAGTGAGACATGAAATGCCTCAGGACTAAAACCCAGCAGGCCCCAGCAAAGCCAACTTCTGCAGGAAGAAAACCATTTGCCATCCCCAACCTCAAACTGTATTATAGAGATATAGTAATAAAAACAGTATGGAATTTGCCTTTCCAAAATACTTTGGACTGTGTGGTCGTCTTCTTAGGATCTCGGACCCGTTCAAGCACTGGGGTTTGCAGTTTGAAGTATGTTTAAACTTCATGAAGCTTGCTTTAGTAAGTCATCTTGTAGACACCCGTTCTCTCGTGGTAAAGTGGAATTGTATGTATTCGGTGACTTTCTTTGTTGGTTGACTCCATAGTTTGGGGTTCCCTGTATAACAGTAAGTTAGGGGTAAAGATAGGGCAGAGGGCAGGACCCTCTCTCTTTGACAAGTCTTCTATTCTCAAGGGTCTGTAAACCATCACCCTCTGCCTTACCTTCTCTCCCCACTAGCAAGGGGAGGTGTTAGGAAAACTGCTGATTCACTTCCCTTGTGTCTACAAAGAGGCCCAGGTGGCTGATGGGAGGCAGTGTCTGTCTGGTCTCACTCATGTGCTCAGGGCTCTGTGCTGCTAAAATTAACTGGTCTCCAGCAGCCTGTGGGTGTCACCTTTAGCTTGTGGGTGTTCTGCACCTTCTAATAGCACATAAGGCCTGCACCCCTGTTTGGTTCATTTCCCCACACCTGAGAAAACTACAGTTGTGCAGCAGGCATGGTGGCACATGCCTGTAACCACAGCTCTCTGGAGGCATGGTGGCACATGCCTGTAACCACAGCTCTCTGGAGGCATGGTGGCACATGCCTGTAACCACAGCTCTCTGGAGGTGGAAGCAATCGTGAGTGTAAGGCCTGCCTGAGCCACATAGCCAGATCCTGTCTCAAAGATCCCAGGGCTGGAGTGTGGATCATTGGTAGTACAGTGACCTTACCTTACAGAGTGCCTGTAAGCCACCTCCAGCACTGCAGCAAGAAGGGGAGGGAGGAACGGAGGGAGAGGGGGGAGGGAGGGAGAGAGGGAGGGAAGACGGAGGAGGGAGGGAGAGAGAGGGAAGGAGGAAAGGGGAGGAGGGAGGAGGGGGGGAGGAGAGGAGGGTGGGAGGGAGGAAGGGAACAGGGAGGGAGGGAGGAAGGGGGAGGGAGGAGAGAGGGTAGAGGGGAGGGGGAGAAGAGGGAGGGGGAGAGGGAGAGGAGGGAGAGAGAGGGAGGGGAGAGAGGAGGGAGGTTTGGAGAAAAAGTTCAGGAGAAAACTATAGTTCCAAAGCATATACTTTAGCCTGGGGCCTGCGCGGCCTGGCGGCATCTCTGCTCCGCCATCTTCCTTTAGAAAGTGGTCCGTGATGGTCGTGGCGCAGACAGAAAGGCCGCATCCCTCATTGTTGTTCTCACTCCCCCTTCCACCCATCAAGGGTCCTGTTGGACCTGGAACGACACGGGGAAAGCACTTCCAACGACTTTCTCTCACTTTCTGGCTCTTTCTGTCGGAACTCACTGTACACCTGTGAGTAACGTCCTTGAGATGAACTTCCCCTCCCTGCTCCCTCCTCCCATGGCACCCGGGGCCCCTCAGGTCATGTCTTTGTTTCTGGCCTGTCATATAATCAAGCCCCATATAAATGACTACTTGGGTCTCGCTGCATACTTTCCAACGTCTCAGAAGCTCAGGGCTCATCTGCGGTTGCAGCTCTGATTAAACTTTGCAAAGGCTGAGTAAGGATCCATATGTAATTGCTGTTGAGCATTACTCGAAAGAGAATTCCAAGAAAGCCAGCTCAAGATGGAAAGGGAAGCCAAGTTTTCTGCTCCATCTGTGGGCGCAAATTAAAGGGCGCATTTCATTTCCAAATCAATGCAAACCATGTTCTGATTTTAGGGGTGCAGAAGTCAGTGTGTCACACGCTTGCCCAGCTGGATCATCTCAGACAGTTGTGAGAAAAGAGAGGGGTCTGTGATAGAAACTCAAGTTACAGCCATAGATGATGGCTGGCTTAGCTAGCGTTACTGTTGCTGGGGTGAAACGCCGTGACCAAAAGCAAATTGGAAAGGGAAAGCTTTATTTGGTTTACTCTTCCACATCACTGTTCATCACTGAAGGAAGTCAGGACGGGAACTCAAAAGGGACAGGAACATGGAAGCAGGAGCTGATGCAGAGGTCATGGAGGGGTGCTGCTGACTAGCTTACTTCTCATGGCTTGCCCAGCCTGTTTTTTTTTTTTATAGAACCCAGGACTACCAGCCCAAGGATGATGGCACCACCAAGGATGGACTAGGTCCTCCCCCATCAATCGCTAATTAAGGAAATACCGTACAAGCCTGCCTACAGCCCCATCTCATAGAGGCATTTTCTCAACTGAGGCTCCCTCCTCTTTGATGACTCTGGCTTGTATCAAGTTGACATAAAACGAACCAGCTCAGTTTTCCAATACTTTAGTCTTAGGAATGTCCTACGTTGTTTAGAATTAAGGATGAGCAATGGGATCTTTTAAATATGTTGTTTCTGTGTGTGTGAGCCAAAATTGTCATCTTTAATTGTGTAGTTTACTGTTGAATCAGTCATAGACAATGAAGAGGAGACCCTGCCTCTCTCCACCTTGTCCCTGTTATGTTAGCATCACTCACTTCATGTAGCAAAAATCATGAGAACCAGCAACTGGTTTTTTAAGTTAGCTTTGGAGAGAGGAAATTTTCCTACTCAGAGTCTAATCATTCTTAAGCCCTGTGAAATTTTTGGCTGTCATCACTCTTCATGAGAGAAATGAAGACAGAGGAGGTAACTAAAAGCTTTGTGTTTTTTTAAACAAAGATTAACTTTAAAGTATACAAGTAAAAATACACTTAATATACAGAGTTGATCATGCTCCAAAAATTTTTCAAAGAACCAAACTCATGTCTTATTGTGTGTTTTTACTCTAAAGGGTTTCCAAGGAACCTGGTGCTAATGATTGTGATCCTACAGAGAAAGAGAATGCTGAGGTAAATTGCTGCTTTACTAGACTGATTTTTTTGTTCTAAATTTAGCTTTTTCAGTATTTATCCCAAATTATGCAGTACTTTCTCTACTATTGAAAAAATTCCTATACAAATTTTCTGTAGTTGATTTGTTTTGTTTTGGTTTTTGGTTTTGAGACAGGGTCTTTCTATATAGACAGTTCTCAACCTGTGGGTCACATGGGTCACCTATCAAATACCCTGCATATCAGATATTTATGTTACAACTCATAATGGTAGCAAAATTACAGTTATAAAGTAACAGCAAAAATAATTTTATGGTCTGGGTGTCACCACAACTTGAGGAACTGTATTCAAGAGTCGAAGTATTAGGAAGGCTGAGAACCACTGCTCTGTGTGGGCCTAGATGTCCTAGAGCTCACTAGAAAGACCAGGCTGGCTCAGACTCACAGAGTTCCTCCTGCTCTGCTTTCCCACTGCTGTAGTTAAAGGTGTCTGTCACCACACCTGGCTTGTGGTGAATTTTTTTTAAACTTTGGTGATAGCAAACATTTGGAGGCCATTGGGAGTTGAAACAAAGGCTTAGAAATGCATAATGACAGGGAAATTCTATCAGAAGTAGTTTACTGACATGTCTCACTTAATTTTTCAGTTGTTGTGACAAAACAACTTATAAGAGGAAGAATTTAATTTGGAGCTCATGGTTCCAGAGGGTTCCAGAGGGTTGGAGTCCACGACCATCATGGCAGGGAGCATGGCGGCAGCCAGGCAGGCAGACGTGGGGCTTCTTTTGAGACATGTCTAGTCAGTTCATGAGCCTGTTGATAGATTTGACAATTGGTTTGTTGATGTTCAATTTTTGCAGTCCTTTATATATCCTAGCTATGAAGTCAATGTCTAATACATTGTTGTCACAGTTTTTTTAAACCTTCTATAGACTGTCTCTTCACTCTGGCTGCTGTCTTCTTTTCTGTGCAGGATTTTAATAGCACACAGTCTCAGTGTCTATAATCTATTAATTTTCTGTAGCACTAGAGTCCTTTGTGGAAGGAAAATCCATACTACTACTTTCATAACTTTGAAGTGCTTTCCTCAAACATTTACAGTTTTCCATTAAGGTCTTTGATCTGTTTCAAATTGATGACTGTGTTGAGTGAGATGTGTGGACCTTAGTTCCTGGCTTCTAAATATGGAGACCCAGTGCTCTGAGCACCGTTGATCAGGGGCTTTCTTTTTTCCAGTGTGTTTTTGACAACTTCATCAAAAAATAAGTGGCTTTAAGTGCTTGGTTTTAATATGCATCCTGTATTCTATTCCATTCTTTCACATGTTTGTCTTTGTTTTAATTATTTATTTTTATCTGTGTGGGTGTTTTGCCCACATGTAAGGGCACTACATGTAGTGCCCCCTAGAGGCCAGAAGAGGACATTGGCTTACATGAACCTGGAATTCTAGACATTTGTGAGTTGCCCTGTGGCTGTTGGGATCTGAGCCTGAGTCCATTTTTGTATGCAGTTCAGATTTGTCTTCTCATAAGAATGTCACCATGTTATTGAAACACCTGTGGGCACATCCAGTGCCCCACTTACCAGTCGTGCTATGTCCTAAGAGTCAGTGTCTGTCATAAAAGTATGAAAAGCAAGATGAGCAATAGAATCTAAAAACTCTCTCTGGAAAACACTTGTCAGCATTTTCAAGTAACTGTCTACTAGAGCCACTTGCTAGCACTCTCCAAAGGTTGGCTGGCATTAGTATTTATTGCTTCCCCTCCCCCACTTTAAACTGTGCTGTTTGAGCCCAGATCCAAGTGTATGTAATTAGTGCTCCACCCCATGGCCACCCTGCCTCAGTATTGACAGTTAAATATTGACATAGAACTTCTTTCAACTTTGAAACTCGGGGATCCTCAGGATTGCATTCTTTCAGCACCCCAAAAGGGTGATTCTAAAGTACTGATTTCTATGTCTGACATCACAGTGGCTGTGAAACACATAAAGTGGCAGACCCAGAGTCTCCCTGGGCCAGACTGCTTGCTCATGACCTGTGCGGCGGAGGCCCCTTCCCTCACCTTACTGCCACCTCCTTACTCTTCTCCGTGCCTTTCTGTCACCCAGCAACCCATAGATGCACATAAATGCCACAGCCGTCACACTTGTCTAGCATCCGGGCTGAGCAACAGCAACCAATGAGCCAAACAGCCAGCAAAATGAGATCAGACATCTACACCAAGGAACACCTCAAATAACGTAACTCCAGATGCCTAGAGCCCAGAACAAAAGCACGAACGTGCACTGTCAAGACAACATGCCCCCCCCAGAAGCCAGCAGCACTAATGGAAGAAATTCACCTGGGAAAAGTGATTTAGCTGAAAGGCTCAAGACAAGGACTTCAGAATAGCAATTATTAATATGTTCAAGACCTTAAAGACGATATTAATAAATGCCTCAATGGAGACCATAGAAATGCAAACAAACAGTTGAAGGAAATAATTGTAAAAAAAACACAAAACATGCAAGTTTAATTTAACAAATAGAATCACTAAGAAAACCCAAACTGAAATAAAACTGGAAATGAAAACCTTCCCATGTCAAACAAGAAGTTCAGAGGTAAGACTCACCAACAGATTAAAAGACATAGAAGAGAGAATCTCAGACACTGAAGACAAGATAGAGGAACTGGATATCTCATTTAAAGAAAATGTTTAATGTAAAAACGTCCAGACACAGGCATACAGGAATCTAAGACACTATAAACGACCAAGCCTAGGAATATCGAGGCTCGAGGAGGGAGAAGAAACCAGGGCAATGGTTTCCACTCAATCATAGAAGATGTCCCTAGCCTAAAGAAGGGGTGCCTTTTAGTGTACAAGAAACATACAGAACAGAAAATAAGCAGGACCAGGAAAAGAAAATCACCTATGACACCCAATAATAAAAACATTAAATGCACAGAACAAAGAAAGGGGAAAAAAGAAGCCACGTATAAAGACAGGCCTATTATAGTAGCACCTGACTTCTCAATGGAGCCTTTGAATAACAGAAGGGCCTGGACTGATGTTTTATTAACTCAGAGATGTCAGTCCAGAATACTATACCCAGAAACTCTATCAGTCACAATCAACAGAGAAAGAAAAACATTCCATGATAAAACCACAGTAGTTTCTATCAATCCAGTCCTACAGAAGGCACTAGAAAAATATCAGTCTGAAAGGTTAATAACACTAAAGAAAACACAAGGAATAAATAATCCTAAACCAGTAAATCAAAAGAGGGGGAAATTTCCACAATAAAAAACAAAAATGTAATCAATAAATAATGCTTATTAAGAACTTTCAATATAAATGGTCTCAAGTCCCCACAAGAAGGACACAGACTGACAGATAGCCTTAAGAAGCAGGATCCACCTTCCTGCTGCATCCAAGAAACACACCTCACCAACAAGGACAGACATCACCTCAGAGAAAAGGGATGCAAAAAGGGATTCTAAGCAAATGGACCAAGGCAAGTAGATGTTGCCATTTTAATATCTGACACAATAGACTTCAAAGCAAGACTAATCATAAGGGATGGGGAAAGATGGCTTTAATTCCTGCTTGGTTTTTATTGTGAGAGTTCCCCCACTCCTATAGCCAAAGTCACATGTTGTGATAGTTGGTAACTTCAATATCTCACTCTCACCAATAGACAGGTCATCTAGACAAAAACTGAACAGAGAAATGCTGAAACAAATGACATCATTATAGAACCTAACTGATACTTTTTATTTTTTTGGTTTTTCAAGACAGGGTTTCAGGGTTTCTCTGTGACTTTGGAGGATGTCCTGAACTAGCTCCTGTAGACCAAGCTGGTCTCGAACTCACAGAGATCCCCATGCCTCTGCCTACCGAGTGCTGGGACTAAAGGCATGAGCCACCACCGCCGCCCAGCCCCTAACTGATACTTACAGAACATTTTACCGAAACACAAAAGAATATACCTTTTCTCAGCAGCTCATATAACTTTCTCAAAAATTGACCACATACTGGGACACAAATCAAGTCTCAATAGATAAAATAAAATTGAAATAGCACCCTGATTCCTATCTAACTACCATGGATCAAAGCTTGGTATCAACAACAGAAACAGCATAAAGTATGAAAACTCATGGAACTGAACAACTTAAAAAAAAAACATTTATCTTTGAATTACTCTAGCCAAGCAAATGAAAGACTTGTACAATAGGATAGCTAAAATACTCTAAATAATAAAAGAATTGTTGAAAAATCACCATCTCAGATTTAAAAGTTGTACTGTAGATCTATAGTAACAAAAACAGCATGGTATAATAGCCTAAAAACAGACACACTTATCAATGGAATCAGAACAAAGAACCAGACGTAATAAATCCACACACCTTCAGATACCTGACTTTTGATTAAAAGAAAAAGCCAGAAACATACACTGGAGAAAAGACATCATCTTCAACAAATGGTGCACATCAAAGTGGACAGCTTCTCATAGAAGAAGAATGCAAACAGATCCACATTGATCACCTTTCAAAAGCTCAACTGCAAATGGGTAGAGGACCTCAGTGAAAGGGCAGACACACTGAGCCTGATAGGAGGGAATGTGAGGAATAGACTTGAACTCATTGACACAGAACAGGACACCATGGCACAGACACAAAGACCAATGGTGAGTGGAACTTTGTGAAAATGAAAAGCTTCTTATGCGAAGGACACCATTCAAAGACCAGACAAACTAGTGAAAGAAGTGGTCCATCTCTCTGCAGGCTTCCTTTGCTATCTTCATTTGTAAGGTGACCTTTCTGAAGAGGTTTCAAATCTCTGGGTTCTTTGTGTGTGTGTGTGATGTTACTTTCATTTCATTGTGATAACTGCAGCTAGATGTACAGATTTTTTCAAATCACAGGATTAATTGTCATAATTCATTGACATTTTATAGAGATCACATGAATGTTAGTCAAGGAGACAGATGAAAAATTGCCTTGAGATTCTGAAGTATTTATTTTCTTAATGTTACCATTATTGTTAAATAAGTGTCAAGTGATGTTACAGTATGAAAGGGAGCCAGATGTGCCTGTGTGTGCCTGCAATCCACCACACAGAGCTGATGCAATCAGCCTAGGATACATACATGTGAGACTTCGTGCCTGCCAAGAGTTTTTCCTCACATTTCTCATGTAGAATTAACAAGGTGGTATGTGCTCACTACCTCAATGCTGGCGATTGGTTCCTGGTGCTTCACACGGATGATTAGTACAATTCTGCTACTCAGTAAGAGTCATTTTAATAAAACTGTTATGAGCAATACACACATACACACACACACACACACACACACACACACACACACAGTATAGAAATGCAGGTGGTGGTGCATGCCTTTAATCCCAGCACTCGGGAGGCAGAGGCAGGCGGATCACTGTGAGTTCGAGACCAGCCTGGTCTACCGAGCGAGTTCCAGGACAGCCTCCAAAGCCACAGGGAAACCCTGTCTCGAAAAACCAAAAAATAAAAATAAAAAATAAATAAATAAAAGAAATGCAGGTGTAGAAGCTACAAGAACACTATGGGCTGTGACTAATATCTACAATTCTACAATCTGAAGAATGACACCAGGTTACTTAATGTGTAAAATCCTAATGAGATTCAGAAAGGAAGGTCAAGCCATCAGATTTATTTATTTATGTGTTTTGTGTGCTCATATGTCTGTGCGCCATATGCATGAAGTGCCATGGAGGCCAGAAGAGGGCGTGGGATTCCCTGGAACTGGGTTACAGATGACTGCGAGTCATGATAAGGGTGCTAGGAACTGAACCCCAGTCCTCTGAAGACAAGCCAGTGCTCTTAACCACTGAGTCATCTCTCCAGCCTTCCCTAGTTTGCCAGCAGTAGGACAATCACCTCCAAGGTCTTTTTCTTCTCATAACTAAAGAGAGAAAGGCCTGGCATGTTTGGGGGCTGGTGAGATGGCTCAGGGAGTAAATAAGAGTGCTTGCTACCAAAGACTGACAGTCTGAGGTCAACCCCCAGAATCCGCAGGGCCCATGCCCAGAGAAGGACCTGGCATGTTTTAGATAGTTAATATATCAGTGTTCTCTTTTGGGCTTCTGTTCTTGTTAAGGCTTGCCATACTTCTCGAAGCTGTATCTCAACTTGGAAAGCTTAGGAAGCCATCACATCTGCAGGCTATTCAAACATCATACTAAAATTTTCTTCTTCTAGTATTAATTTGCTTTTGCACACATGGTGTCACTTTTTTTTTTTTTTTTTTTTTTTTTGGTTTTTCGAGACAGGGTTTCTCTGTATTGTTTTGGAGGCTGTACTGGAACTAGCTCTGTAGACCAGGCTGGCCTTGAATTCACAGAGCTCCACCTGCCTCTGCCTCCCAAGTGCTGGGATTAAAGGCATGCGCCACCAACGCCCGGCCTGGTGTCACCATTTTGGAAGTAAACATCTTAGCGCTCCTTCTATTCAATTACTGATTTTCAGAGGCTAAATAAATGTCAGTGAACATCGGAGCTCAATATTTAAGGAATAGTGAAATAAAACTTTTTTATGTGAGAATGTTCTTGTAGTATTTAAAATTACCTAACACATATCAAGTGAGGATTAGTCTAGTAGTATTAAGTAGTTAAGTCTCCTGGGTCATGTTCTCTATTGGGAGGACTAAGGTAAATGAGGGATTTTTACATTTATCTATTTATTTATTGTATGTGTGGGAACATGTACATATCTCAGCACTCTGTGAGGATTGGAGAACAATCTGGGGGAGTTGGTTGTCTCTTTCCACCAGGAAGATTCTGGGAGTTGATCTCAGACTGTCAGTCTTTGGTAGCAAGCAGCTTTATTTACTCTCTAAACCATCTCACTAGTCCTAAACTAGTTTTATTTGTTAATTTTGCTTGTGTGATTTTTGTGTAAGTAAATATATATTACGAAAAGCCAAATGGTACATGTTAAATCTTCTTTTAATATTTTTACTCATGCCTTATGATTTCCAAGGACAAGGATGAGTTAGAGAAACATCCCTTGGCGCAGGGAGCATCCCAGCATCAAGTCAAGCAAACGAACTCTCCACGTTTACAACTCCAAGAGCAAGTTCAGGAGCCAGAGATGAACAAGCCTTCTGATGGAGAAGATACGTCCGGGCATTCAAGATCTGCAAAGGGTCCAGTGCTCAGGGGAGCGTTGATAGAAGGAGACACACCGGAGCGTAAAGACGCTCTACGACTTGCTGTAAACCAGCTAAACCAGAAGGTCGGTGAGATTTGTGAACCTGTCAAAAGTAATGTTCGCCACGAGGAAGAGCCATCACGTGACGACTGTTCAGGAACACCACCCGTCAAGTCGGCCTCCCCTAAACTGGCTGGTGATAAGCTCAATTGTGAGGACGGATATGGAGCTGCCGCCCTGGTGTCTGAGGCACTGCAGACCTTTCCCGGGCAGAAGGAAGGTGGCCTTGGAAACGTCTTTCCATCTCCCTCATCGTCTCAGGTCGTGGAAAACAGTGGCCAGTCAACTACTAAATTTCCCTTAATGAAAACTAAATTAGACTGTGAAAATAACAAGTTTGAAATAAAAGAATCCCTTCATAAATGCAAGGAGAAATCTTCTAAAAATATAGAAAGTAGAAAGGTAAGAGGTAAATGCCCAGAAGTATGTATGGGTGAAAAGCAAGAAGGCTGTGAGTTCAGGAACAAGTTGCAAAAAACTATGAAACCAAAATGCAGGGACTGTCAGTTAGATATCAGACACATGCCGAAGTCCAGTGAATCAAAAGGGCTCTCAGATTCCCAAGAAAGGAGTCACGTGAGCGAATTAAAAAGCTGGGGTGATTCTACCCTTTACGACACTTACAAGAAAAGTAAGAGCACAGGGAAGCCACTCCACAGCAAGCGCGAAGCCCGGGTGCACACGGCAGGAACCGTCAGAGCCAAGCCGCCTGGTGGCAGGACAGTAAGCGCTTTGGCGGATGAAGATTCTCAGGACAGGCTGCCCAACAAAGAGTTCCGCATAGTGGAGGAAGAGATCCTTGCCTGGGAGAAAGTCCACCTTGAAAACGAGGTAGTTGCTCTTTTGCTGGCATGAGTTCCATTCCAATTTTCTGTAAGTGAAAACGGTCCACCAGTAAAAGTCAGGTTACCTATGCATGATTTGCATAGCCAAGGAGATGGTCTATCTCCTAAGCAGTGGAACACACTGCCACATCAGCCGCTTCAACCACCTTTGTGTTACTAATGTGCCATACTTCAAATAGTACTTTCATAATAACCTGTTCAAAAGCATTTTTTGCTTGTTTTTGTTTTCAAAACAGAATTTCTTTATGTATCCCTGACTGTCCTGGAACTCGTCCTGTAGACCAGGCTGGCCTCCAACTCACAGAGATCTGCCTGCCTCTGCCTCCTGAGTGCTGGACTAAAGGTGTGCGCCACCACTGCGTGGCTCAGAAGCAATTTTTATTTCATATTTGACATTTAATTTTTTTAACATTTTAACATTTAACACTGTTTAGTTATAAAACAGTGTAGTCTTAAAGTTGCTGCTTGAGAGCAGATATTTTTCTGAGTATTTCCCTGCTTCCATGTGCAGCTTCCTCTCAGGATAGAGAGAGGTCAGCTTGCACCATAGACCTGTGTGGCTGAGCTTCCTCTCAGGATAGAGAGAGGTCAGATTGCACCATAGACCTGTGTGGCTGAGCTTCCTCTCAGGATAGAGAGAGGTCAGCTTGCACCATAGACCTGTGTGGCTGAGCTTCCTCTCAGGATAGAGAGAGGTCAGCTTGCACCATAGACCTGTGTGGCTGAGCTTCCACTCACAGAGCAGTCAGAAATGCCACGGTCAGAAGTCATGCCCTGTGGTTTAAATTTACTGTATCATAGCTGCAATGACTCGTGGGAAATTCAAAGAACTAATGTCTCTTGGTCAATAATTATTCTCAGCATCTGTACTGAAGTAGATAGTAGACTTAAAGATAAGCCTGTACCTGCTAGGAGATACCTCAGCTGTAGTCAAGTATATAATTGTATAAACAGTCACTTTCTGTGTTGTTCAATTCAGTGTCATAAATTGATACATGCCATGAAGCTTTTTTGCTATCAATCTGTTCTTAGAACTCTTCCCTCATGTTCACAATACCTACTGCCCTTCATTCTACCCCCCTCCCATCTCCCTGCACCCATATCCACCTCCATCCCCAAAAATCTCATCCATGTCTATTCATGTTGTTTTGTGACCCACTGAGTTTTACAAGGGACGTCTGCATGGCCATGCTTCCAGAGCTATCGGTTGATTCCCTGGTGGGCTCGGCTGTGAGTACCTAACTGAAGACCACCATTTCCCTCCTCCCAGTAGTTAGCAGTGAAGGTAGGATGCCCTGAGGCCCTCCCGGTCCGTGACTTACTGTTGACAGGCCAGTGCTGTGTGAAGCAGCTGCAGGTGGCCACAGCTGTTGCAAATTAATGACTGCATTGCTTGTGTGGAGTCTAGGATGGCGGTTCCCAGCCATCACCCTAGCTTTCAGTCTTACATTCTTTCTGACCTTCTTCCACGGTGTTCCCTGAGCCCTGGGTGGGTGCTGTGAGTGCCTTGTTTAAGGCTAAGCACCCAACGGTCACGTATTCTCAGCATCTAGGGAAACCATGAGCCTTTGCGTTAACCATTGCTCATGTGAGGACAGGCTCCTCTGACTAAACTGAGAGTGGCCTTGTCCGTGAGTAGCATAGATATTTAGGATGTGGTCTTCTGTGGATGTTGGAGTATATTAAACCCATGCAGATTAAAACAGTGCATTGCTGTGTGATTTAAATTGCAACTTAGCAATTAGTTTTTGTGTGATTGGTGTTAATGTTCTCTGGCTGTTAGTAATGTGAAACTTTGGGTTTGTCTTTTAATAGTTTCAGTCTCCCCAAGTTGTTTGTAAGACAATGAACTGAACCTCACAGGCATGACTCACTTTTTGAGGTTCAGTGAGGTCAATTTTTTTTTTTTTTTTGGTTTTACAAGACAGGGTTTCTCTGTATTGTTTTGGACTCTGTCCTGGAACTCACTCTATAGACCAGGCTGGCCTCGAACTCACAGAGATCTGCCTGCCTCTGCCTCCCGAGTGCTGGGATTAAAAGCGTGCGGTACCACCGCCCAGCTGAGGTCAAATATTTTTATATAAGGTTTGTAATGTTAAAAATAAAAGATTCGCCAGGCGGTGGTGGTGCATGCCTTTAATCCCAGCACTTGGAAGGCAGAGGCAGGTGGATCTCTGTGAGTTCGAGGCTAGGCTGGACCGACAGCCTCCAAAATAATACAGAGAAACCCTGTCTCGTAAAACAAAAAAAATAAAATAAAATAAAATAAAAGATTCATCTTTGGTAAATTAACACACAGAGCATTAATTAATAATTAATTTAACTCATAATTGTTTTGTCCAAACAACAGTGGTTAATGTAACTTTTCCAGTTCGTATTAGTTAAGTAAATTATTTTTCTTTTTTTAAATTACTTTTTTAAAAAGTTACTGCACAGTAATTTCTGGTATCTAAACATATGTTCAGAAATTTAAATGTAAATATATATTTCTATTTTTCTCATCTGTATCCTGTGGCTCCTGAAGGACAAAGTCCTCTCAAAGACATGCCCCCAAACACAAAACGCATCTGCAGGTCCAGCCAGGCCAACGCCCCCTCAGTCTCAGAAGGAAAGCACACAAATCCACCCTCCGCCTTTGCATCTGGAGAAAATGTCTGAAGACCGCAAAATAAACAAGAAATGTGATGGAGAGTGCGCACCTGTACTCCCAGAGGCTTCTTCAGTGAAAGCCTATGAGAAAGCGACTCTCACTGGAGACCTGGCAGGGAACTATCGGGAGCCAGACAAACGCAGCTGTGAGTTACAGCCCACAGCTGGGCATGTGTTTGAAAACTTCTGCTCTGACGAAGAACCACTTCCGGGTAGCCATAGAGGAAGAACTCAGTTCAAGGTAATCACCTGTAACCTCAGCAAATAATCTGCATGATGTGGGGGTACAGGTGTGTGGGGAGGGCCTGTCTGAAGTCATGTGGACTTTCCCAAACTGAGCGAAGGTACACTGAGCATGCCCTCCGTGTGCGTTTGCTGAGTGATGAAGCCAACACACTCTGCACGCAAACAAGGGCATCCTCCTTGTGGTTCAGAAGACAAGCATGTGAAGTCCCTAGAAGGGTTAGAGCTGAACTGTAAGGAAGAACATGCTTGACACTGTGTGCTAGCAGTAGGCACTGGACATTAGATACTGGACAGAACCCAAGCCTAGTAAGCCAAAGGGCAGTCAGTGGCTTACATACCTCAAAGAAATGAGTCCTGTGGCTGAAATTACACAAAACACAGGGACTGCAGAGACGGCTCAGCAGTTAAGAGCGCTGGTTGCTCTTTTAAAGGATGGGGATTTGATCCCAGGCACCCACATGGCAACTCACAAGCATCTGTAACTCCAGTTCCTAGGGGTCTGATGCCTCCTCTGGCCTGCGTAGGTGCCAGGCGTGTGGTGCGCAGACACATATGCAAGCAATAAGTATACGTAATGCCTCTGCACATAAGAATTGTAGCCACAGGGTTTCTTCAACTAAAGACGCTGATAAGATAATATAAATAATTCAGGGATTGCCCTACTGCTGCAGTGGCAAGTGGATCTCTGTGAGTTCAAGGCCAACTAGGGTTGCAGAGTGAGACCCTGTTTCAAAGATGAAAAAGAAAGATGCTGCAATTCTTGTTTTCAAAAATGGATTACACTGACTATTGCTGATGAAAAGCTTCCATACAGGCTGGCATGGTGGTCCATGCCTTTTATCCCAGCACATAGGAGACAGAGTAGACAATCTCTGTGAGTATGAGGCCAGCCTGGTCTACACATCAAGTTCTAGGAATCCAGGGCTACATAGAGAGGCTGTGTCTCAAAACAAACAAAAAGCTTCCCTAAACAGTGGGATTATCCATGTATGAAACTGTGTCTAGGTAGAGGTACTTTCTACTGTTAAAAGTTAAGGAAAATATTTTCACTAATAAAATCCAATCTTTCTTTCCAGTAGCATATAACCTAGAAAATCAATTTATCCATGTCACAAATAAAATAAACATAGAGGAGTATGGTATTGTTAGCTTTTTTTTTTTTTTTGATTTTTCGAGACAGGGTTTCTCTGTATTGCTTTGGAGCCTGTCCTGGAACTCGCTCTGTAGACCAGGCTGGTCTCAAATTCACAGAAATTCACCTGCCTCTGCCTCCCAAGTGCTGGGATTAAAGGCGTGTGCCACCAACACCTGGCCTGGTATTGTTGGCTTTTGATAGGTATACTTGCATTGGCTTAAGGATAAATTAAGTGGACGGGTGTATAAGTTAAGGAGGCAGGTTTAGCTGTCAGTTGGAACTAAACAATGAATGAGAAGAAATAGAAATATCTCTAAGTTTGACAAACCCAAACCAACACAGTGGTTGAGCTGTGATGTGTGCAAACTGGATATTTTCTGTTCAGCCCATTGGAAGCTGTAATCCCACATTACTGGTAAAACTTTGAGAGCAGGTGTACACTTTCAGTTTTACATGAATCAAAGATCTATCTTGATTAAAGCATCCCATACATTATGTTTCAGAACATATGATTTTTATTATTTTATATTGTGTAAGAACATACATCATCAGCTTAAAAAATGTATTTGATACAGATTAAAACACTGAGGTCTAAGATGCATTGAAATATGAAGATTCATAAAAATCTAGAGATGTATTTAAAAATGTAAATGAAACATTTTCCCTCCTAGGAAAATATTAAAATATTTTGCAAATTCGCAGCATCCTTGAGCAGCTCCCGGGATTGACCTGACTGGGGCAGGGAGGGGAATGAAGAAAAGACAGACATAGGGAGAGCTGGATCAGTGGGCTGGGTCTTAACGGAGAGGATGAAGCCCTAGCTGCTTAGTGTTTGTGATGCACAGCTGACCAAGGAGGCAGGGTTACTGTGTACACCTGAGGCGAGGCTGTTACAGTCAGATAAACAATGAGTCAGGGATAGGGTGCACAGCTGGACCGAGGAGGCAGGTTTAGCTAGCTCAGCAGGAGCAGTCTCCTGCCCTCAGAGGACAGCAGAGAGCATTGGATCCCTTGGGACCAGAGTTACAGACCTTGTGAGCTGCCTTGTGAGTGGATGCTGGGAACAGAACCAAAGACCTCTACAAGAACAGCGAATTTGCTTACCCCCCCCCCCCCCCGTGCCATCTCTCCAGCCCTACAGAAATCTTTTTATCCACTAAAATCACACAGTGAAAATAAGGGACAAGTGAAGAAAACAATAAAAGTTAATTTTTCTGAACAATAACATTTATCCTTGTCTCAAACTTCTTCAAAGGTTGAAGAAATGAGCAAGAAGTGGCCGAGTCTGGAAGTGGAAGTCTCAGAGAAGCCGCGTCTTGTGGGCACTGGCTCTAAAGACAGTGCGCTGCTTGTCGAAAGGACAGGGGGGAAGGACCAAGAAGCTGCTCCCTACTGAGGAGAAAGATGAGCTTGCTAAGTAAGACTGTAGGAAGATTTCAAAGTCAATCATTCTGTCCTAAAATTAATCCTGCTTTGGGCTAGCATGCATGATTAACATGCCTCAAACTCACAGAGATCTGCCTGCTTCTGCCTCTAAGTGCTGGAATTAAAGGCTGTAATCCCTTTTAAAGAAATTTTAAATTTTATTTTGGTGTTTATCACAGGATATTGTAACACAATGACTCCATGCACGTTCATAAAAGTTGAATTTTATAAATAAGTTCATTTTCAGAATTTTAGCCCCTACCACTTTTCCTTCCCAACTCCATATCTCTATATGTGTGCATTCTCTCTCTCTCTCTCTCTCTCTCTCTCTCTCTCTCTCTCTCTCTCTCTCTCTCTTTTCTCTCTCACTCACTCACGCTTCCTGAGTCACTTTAGAGCTGTCTGTATGTGCATCTGTGTAGGACCATACAGGGTTTCTCTGTACTGGGGCCTATCCTGGCACTCGCTCTGTAGACCAGGCTGGCCTTGAACTCACAGAGATCCGCCTGCCTCTGCCCCCCCCCCCCCCGCCCCAGTGCTGAGATTAAAGGTGTGGGCCACCAACGTCCAGGTGAAGAATTTTTTAAGTGTAACTTAATTTCATTGAATGACTAATTTGCCTTTTTTTTCCTAAATTCTGTTAGTTTATCAACTTCTTCAGGCTTTGAGGATAGTGTTGAGCCTAGGGTCTCATGCATGCTAAACAAGCACTCTGTCCCTGTGATACATCCCAGGTTTCTTGTCACCATTTTAACCATCAAACAGTCTGACTCAGCCTCCCGGACTAACCTGGAAATCACACTGTAGTGCGCGCTGAGCTTACAAGCCTATGACACCATGCAGAGTTCAGCCTTTTTTGTTAATTACAAGATTCTGAATTACTGTTTGTAATTATAACCACAAATGGCATGAAAACATGGATTCATTTGCTGTTATGTCACTTCATAATTCATATTGTTTTCACAGTGTGTTGTGGCATGGGGCATTTGTGGTTTATACAATATCATGCAGCCTCCGAAGTTCTGAGGCTCACTTCTGAACCAGTCAGCTGTCTGTGTGCACCCACAGAGTGGCTTGCCCGTCTCTTACCAACACCCTTCCTTTACAGATCACCTCGTGCATTATCCCACAGAGTATGAGGGAAAGAACAGCTGTGACACACAGAGAGGGCTTGGAGCAGCTTGCCCCAGTTGCATGGTAGATAGAGAGCACTAACCCGGTATAAAGAAGGGTGTCTCTGGGTGGGAGACAAGGCTCAGTAAGTAGGTGGGGGACCCAGGTTTGAGTAGCAGCTGAGAACTATTTGTAATTCTAGTCTCAAGGGATCCCAAACCCCTCTCCTGGCCTCTGGGGCCACCAGGCACACGTGTGGAGACATAGATGCAGGCAAAATACTCATGCACTTTCAATAGATATGTGAATAAGTGTTTTAAAGGGGTTTCTCTGAGAAGAGGACTTAAGTAATGCTTTGTGAATAAATTTTAATGTTGGTAATTCTGGTTTTGTCTTTTCATGACAATAAGAATGAAACCGTATGCTAAAAAATCTTTTTTTTTTTCTTTTGGCTTTACTGAAAAACTGATCTAAGTGAAATTCTTCATTACAACATCAATAGTGTTTCAGTTTTGTTTCCATCCCTGGATAAAATACCCAGACAACAGGCAATTCAGGGGAGAATGGGTTGATTTTAGCTCACAATTCCAGGCTGCGGTCCATCCCTGTGGGGTTATCACAGTGAGGGGAGCTGGAGAAAGCTAGTCCCAACACATCCCGAGACAAGAGCAGAGAGAAATGCATGTGTGGTTCCTTGTATTCAGCCCCTCTCTATATGTCTACACTGTAGGATCCACAGCGTGGGGAATGGTGCCACCCACCGTGGGCTGAGTTTTCCCACATTATCTAATGTATAATCTAGACTGTCCATTATGGACATGACCTCAGGTCGACCTGATTTAGAAATCCCCTGCTGAGATCCTCTTCTCCGGTGACTCCTGGTTGTGTCAAGTTGATAATCAGAACTAACATCACAAGTACTATTATTCTTTATTCCTTAAGTTTAAATTCTGTTTATAGTTTAATCTACTTTATAGGAAAGGATTGTACTTTAAATCAAATGCAACTATTATGGGCATGTGAAGTAAATTATAACTAAAGAGATTGTTATATAAAAAGATAGTCTTTGTTTTTTGTATATTTTACATTTGCCTGAAACGATTTTATTTTATTTTTTAAGGCTGACAAAGAGACAAGCTGCAGAAAAGCACAAGGTACCATAAATGCACAATCAGAAACATAGTTTGATTGGCTGTGGGAGGGAAGCAGACCCCGGGCAACCTGGGCTGCAGGCTGAGTGACATCTCACTGGGAGGAGCTACAGCTGTCACAGCTGCCACCCATAACCATGAGCAGTGAGGATGTGAACCTGCAGCCTCCTCCCGGTGGCCATCCCCAGTACTGCCCCCCCCAAGCCTGCACCATGGGTATCTGGTAGGCAACTGGGCCTGTGAGTCCTCACAAGAGCAGTGTCTCTCCTACAGACTCAGTCATGTCAAGGAAGGTTTTGGAAACAACACTAGGTTTTATTATGTGAAAAATAATAGTTTCAACCAGAGGAATGGGACAGTGTTTCTGTGTGCCAAGCTGCCAAAAAGAGTAACCCAGGAAGTCACTCCTCCCTGAAGGAAGTCACTCCTCCCTGAAGGTGATGGAGACTGATGCTGAGCAGGAAGGAGGTAGAGTAGCTACAGAATTCCAGGTCCTGGTGGTTTCAGTTCAAGGCATAACGGATCTTACCCATTCTAGACTGTCCATGGCCCAGGCTTCTCCACACAATTCAGTTGCAAAATTAGCAGTCATCAGTTTGGGGTTCAAGACCCCTTAAATTTGGTGGCCTTAGTAATATATGGGGCCTTGGGTAGTAGATCAGTATTTATCCCTGGCATACAAATGGACTTTGAGAGCCCATTCCACATCAAGGGAATCTCTCTCAGCCTGGACACATGGGGGAGGGCCTAGGCCCTGCCCTGGATGAAATGACAGACTCTGGAGACCCCCCATGAAGGGCCTCACCCTCCCTGAGGAGAGGAGTAGGGATTGGGTAGGGTGTTGTCAAGATTAGTAGGGGGCAGGGGAGGAGGGAAGGGAGAGGGAGCTGGGATTGACATGTAAAACAAGCTTGCTTCTAGTTTAAATTAAAAAAAGAGAAATAAAATAACTGCAAGCAACTGTAAATATTAGTCTTAATTGTAAATAAAAAGTATCAAAGCATTATTTTATTAAGATATATTATCAAAGACAATATGATATTGTATCAGCCGAAATATATTATGGAGGTAAAGTAATAAGACTTTTGTAAAGTAGTAGGTTTTGAAAAAAGAAATTAAGAAATAGGAGACATTAGGGCTGGGTGCGGTGGTACACACCTTTAATCCCAGAGACAGGCAGATATCTGTGAGTTCAAGGTCAGTTTGGTCTCATGGAAAGTTCTAGGCCATAGTAAAAGCTCTCAAAATTAATTAATTATTAATCAACAGGAGATGTTAATTAATCAGAATTTCTTTTGACAAAATCAATTTATCTAGAATTACATTTCTACTTACGTGTTTTATTAAAGTTGGAAACCACAACTTCTGTGCATTTACTACATGCTGTATAAATGTGGGGTATGTTTTGAACTAGTGCTATTTTACAGATGGAAACCCAAGTAAATCAAGTAAATGAAATGGAAGAAGCCAACAGCCAAATTCAGCCTTCTGCAACAGCCTCTGGCAATGGTGAGTTGCCCTGTCCTTGCTTTGAGTCCAAATGAGGTTGAGTGAGCCCTTGAAGGGACGTGAGACAGGGTGCTGTGTAACAGGAGGTCTCTGCTGCATTTTCGTCCTATTTGTTCATCCCTCAGTCCTGAGTCACAGAACGCTGAAGTGTTCGGGTTCTGGGCCCACAAGAGATGCCCTCTGTACCATACTAGACAGAGAACCACTTCAAACTTGTGGCTAAACAACTCTGTGGACTCCTGCTTTGTGCTGTGCCCAATGTGAGAGGCATCCACACTGGGTTCATCTCGCTGTAGTAACCTTAGAACTCTACCTCCTTGACCCTTGATCCATTCTATCCCAGAACTATCTATTTTGAAACTTCAGAACCTGTCTGTCCAGCCCAGCTGTCACTTCTGCCAAGAGCCCACTCTCCCTGGCTGTTCTAGCTTTTTTGTGGGTCTCTTTTCAGCCCGCTATCCCTTAGACATTTGTTACTGTAACAGAACTGTGTGTTTTCAGTAACTTCTTGTGATAGGGGTTGTCCTTCTGTATATATGTTTCTCTTATTGGTTGATGAATAAAACGCTGTTTGGCCAAAAGAAGCAGGAAGATAGGCGGGGTTAGGAGACCAGGAGAATTCTTGGGGGGGGGGGTTGAGTCAGAGAGAGGACTTGGAGAGATGCCATGTAGCCGCCAAAGGAGTAACAGGTTGGGGTATTCTCCAGTAAGCCAAGACTACTTGGAAATACTAAGTATAATAGAAATATATTAATAATTAAGATAGAGCTAGCCAGTAAGAAGAAGCCTAAGCCATCGGCCAATGGTTTAAAAATTAATACAAGTCTTGTGTGCTTATTTGGGGCAAAGCAGCTGTTGGACCAGGCAAGACAAGAAAAACTTCAGCAACATTCTTGACCAAGATAAATTACATGTATGTAAAGTTTGCCATGGGTTAGGAGGTGTCTGAATGTTTAAACACACACTTCACCACCATTGTCAGCGTGGGTAACAATGTATCTTCCTCCACAGCTGTTTCAATTGTCTTGTATCCCAGTTAAGAAGCTACCAATTCATCTGAAAAGTCCTTAAATCCTTCTCTACCTCCATCACCAGTACAAGAGAATTATAGTGTCCAACTCCTCTGTATTTTTGCATAGTAGTATCATGGGCCTTTTTCAGTTCTACCATTCCAGTAAGTGGCTACTGTGTATATCACGACACCTTTAAGCAATATTTTTAGTAATTCTTTGATAATTGCATATGATGTATTTTGGTCATATTACCTGCCCTTCCCCAGCTCCTCCCCACCCCCCCTCCATTTCTCCCCAATTAGTCTTGAGGATGGGACCTGCCCTGGCATCTTTGTGACCTACCAGAAGTCCCATCACTAAAGAAACTGACTCTTTCTCTCCCCACTGCTATCAAATGCCAATAGCGCCTTGAGCTTGTCGTGGGATTTTATGCCCATCTCCCTGTCCAGTGCTGGGATTGTTTTCTGCTCAAGCTTATGCATGTCTTTTGCCGTAACAACCACTGTGGCTTCCTATGTGTAACTGCCCCGTCTGTGTCTTGTTGTTATCCACAACTCTGCCTCTTAGAATTTTCCAAGCCCTCTTCCTCAAGGGTCCCTGAGCCTTGGGCAGGGGTGTGATATGTATGTCCCATTTGGGGCTGACTACTCCCCAGCCTCACTCTCTCTACACATTGACTATTGAGAGTCTGTATTCATCGCCATCTACTGAAAGGAGAAGCTTCTCTGATGAGGGTTGAAGACACTCTGATGTATGTTTATAGCAACAAGTCATTTACATATAGCAGTTAGAGGTCATTTTAGTGTCTAGTCAATTTAGCTGAATAATAATTTTAAATTCTTCCCTAGGGCCTCTGACCCATTTAGCCACAATTTCTTGGCCCCTTTAACTGTGCTAGGAATGGATTCCATCTCATGGCACAGACCTTAGACCCAATCAGAAAGTGGTTGGCTTACCCTGACATTCCCGCCACTGTTTCTCCAGGGGCATATCTTGTCGGGCCAGTCATTGCAGGGTTCACAGCTGGGTGAGACCGCTGAGTGCTTTCCCCCCCCTCCCAGTGCCATGAAAGCTAGCCAGCAGGGCTGAGGCCTGCGGGTGAGTGCCCGCTTCATTTCTCTATGTTCTCTTATGAGTGCAAGGTGTCTTCAGCAATAGGACCTCACTGTCAAGTTCTGGAGGGCAACCAAGAGTATTGGCAGTAGATTGTAATGTCACCCCATTAGCAAACAACAGGGCTTTTATTTGCTGACATGAGGTGTCTAGTTGGGGTTTGTCCCCCCATTCTGTTGTTGTGGTGTTGTTTTACCCTTTTTACTCTTTATTCTTCAGGGGTCCCCACCACCCAGTCCCCAAATAAATCCCACACAGAGGCTTATTCTTTCTTATTGAGCCTGGCCTTAACTTGGCTTGTTTCTAGCCAGTTTTTCTTAAATTATCCCATCTACCTTTTGCCCGTGGGCTTTTATCTTTCTCTATTCCATATACCTTTCTTTACTTCTTTCTGCATAGCTCGCTGTGTAGCCAGATGGCTGCCCTGACGTCCTTCTCTCCTTGTTCTGTCTTGCTCTTTCTTCTTTTCCTCCCAGATTTCTCCTTCTGTTTATTCTCTCTGCCTGCCAGCCCTCCTATCCTTTCTCCTGCCTCGCTATTGACTGTTCATCTCTTTATTAGACCATCAGGTGTTTAAGACAGGCAAAAAAATCACAACTTCACAGGGTTAAGCAAATGCAAAAGAAAAGAATGCAACACATCTTTGCAGCATTAAAACACGTGTTTCACAGCATAAACAAATGTAACACATCTTCAATTAATATTCTACAACACTACTCAGTGTTATTTTTAAAGTCACTATTAAGCTTCTTCCCACATGTTTATTTTCTATTTGTATGGCGTTTGTGTGTGTGTGATTCTGGGCCCTTGTTCATGCGAGGCATTTGCTCTACCGCTGAGCGGAATCTCCCAACTTTCTGGTTACTTTCTTACTTTGAAAGAGTTTTGCTAAGTTTCTCAGCTGGCCTTGAACTCACAGTGTGGCTCCAGTACTAATGGCCTTTGATACTCCTACCTCAACCTCCTGGGTAGCTGGGCTTACAGACCCGTGCTACTGTGTGTTCTGATTTCCTTTGTCTCTTTGATAACCTACACAAATGAAAGTTTGTTTCAACTCACACTTCTGGATCACTGAGGCCAGTCAAGGCAGGAACCTGGAGTCAGGGACAATGGAACAATGTTGTTAACTCACCAACTGACTCTCATAGGGGCACACTCAGGTACCTTTTCTCATACAGCCTGGATTACCTGCCTGGGACAATGTGACCCACAACAGGCTATGCTTCCCTGTGCCAATTAGCAATCAAGGCCATGTCCTACAGAATGCCCACAGGCCAGTCTGAGTGCTTAGCTGAGGTCCCCTCTTCCCTGTTGACTCTAGATTATATGAAGTTGACAGTAGAAACTAACCACACACTAGGCCTGAATTGTATGTCTCCTTTAATAAACTGTCTTTATTTGCCAGGCGTTTGTGGTGTATGCCTTTAATCCCAGTGCTCAGGAGGTAGAGACAGGCAGATCTCTGTGAGTTCGAGGCCAGCCTGGTCTACAGAGCGAGTTCCAGGACAGCTCCCAAAACAATACAGAGAAACCCTGCCTCAAAAAATAAAAAAATAAACTGTCTTTTTTGATACTTTGGCCAATATTTATTAAATTTTAATCATTAAATTCCAATTTGATTTCTCTATCACCAGGGAACACATTTCTGAGATTGTTTTGACTTAATAGTCCTCTAGCTGGGTTTTGGTGGCGCACACCTTTAGTCCCAGAACTCAGGAGGCAGAGGCAGGCGGATCTCTGTGAGTTCGAGGCCAGCCTGGTCTACAAAGTGAGTTCCAAGACAGCCTCCAAAACAATACAGAGAAACCCTGTCTTGAAAAAAACAAAAATAGTCCTCTAAAGGTTTGCTTCTGATCTTAGCCTGTTATTGACGAGATGAGGCTTGCTTATGCTCCACACCGTCCCACTGACTGCTCCATCCCTTACTGGGCAGGTGGGTTTGGAATTTCAGAAGGCATCTGTGAATTTCTTTGAACTCTGCGACCAAATTTTGTGTCTTGTATTTGTCTCTGGATGCACAAACTGGGCAGTATGCGACCTCCTGGTTCTGTCCTCTCCATCCATGCTGGAATGTTGACTGTCTTGGTATTCTCCAGGTCGTATGCAGATAGCCAGGTTCATGAACACAATGCCCTGCATTCCATCGCATTTTTAGATTTTATGTGTATGGGGGTATGCCTGAATGTATGCATGGTCACCATGTGTGTGCAGTGCCAGCAGAGGTCAGAAGAGGGCACCAGATCCCCGGAAACTGGAGTTACAGGTGGCTGTGAGTCACCATGTGGGCACTGAGAATCCAACTCAGGTCTTCTGCAAGATCAGCCACTAGTCTGAACCTCTGAACATCTCTCTAGCCCTTAGGTGGTAGTGGTTGTTATTTGTTGTTGTTGTTGTTGCAGGGTGTAGTTGTAGCTTACTTTGTGTTTAGCCTGACAATGTATTTCACCTGAAGTTTTCAATCATGGTCATGTTACATAATTACTTAGAGTCTATTGACTCTTCAGTAACATTTTACTGGGCACAGGAGTGGCAACCCCTGACAATCCAAAATTTGCAAGCATCTTTTGACTTCTAAAACAGAACGCCTAGGGAACTGTTGTTCAGTGGACACAGATTCTGTGTGGTAAGTGTAGAAAGGACTTGAGAGCTGTGAGAAGTCATTTGGATTGCAATTAGCAATCTATCTGAGAGTCAAAGAGACCTGCTCTGCTAAGAGATGGCTGGCATTCACAGGCGGTTAAGCTGATGCCCTCACACTGGGGTGTCTAACAGGATGAGCAGGAGGCAATTTTTAGGTTGCTGCAGTGGTGTAGTTGTAGGATGTGGCTCTTTTTTTTAACCATAGTTTATATTTGTCTTGACTTTAAGTCATACCACGTCATAGGGACAGAAGTATTCTCATAACTCTGATAAACTGCTTGTTACAGTCTCCTATGTTTTCTTTTATTAACAGATTATAAGATAGACTCTTTTGTATGTATTTTTATACACTCATGATACACATCTTATGTTTTTTCAATATTCCTATGATATGTGGTTCTGTGAATTTTTCAGATTATGTGAAAGCTCAGTACAATTAAAAAAAACACAGTGTATATATGGACTGACACTGATCAAACCTGCCTTGTTCAAGGCAGAATTGTAGTTAAGTTTATTCACCATTGTGTTCTTAATTAAGTTCCTATTGATTTGGATTTGTTCGAGGAAAAATTAAATTTTTAAAAAGGAAGCTTTCATGAGTCTACCTCTCTTTGAATTTCAATATGGGATATGTTTAAGTCACATTAAACAGCTTGGCCCTTCCTTCCTGTTCTTATGACAGCCTCCAGTCCCCCCTGACCCTCAGTGTTGGGCAGGACATTTCTGGAAGACTATTGGGAGAACCACATTATGATATGACCATGAGCCTATGGGGCCCAGGGAATGGAATGTGGTGAGATGGATGAGAATGGCCCCACAGGCTCATATACTGGAATGGTTGCCACCTGTCCCCTGTTGGCAGAACTGTTTGGGAAGGACTACGAGGTGTGGCCTTGCTGAAGGAGGTGTGTCATGGGGGTGGGCTTTGAGGATTAGAAAGACTGGTGCTGTGCTGTTCCCAGTGTGTCCCTTTTGCTTTGCCTCTTGGTTATGTGTCAAGATGTAAGTTCTCAGATACTGCTCCAGTACCATGCCTGTCTGCTTCCTGCTGTGCACAGCCATGATGGTCAATAGACTCTAGCCCTCTGAAAGTAAGCCCCAAATTAAAATTTTATAAGTTGCCTTGGTCCTGGTGTTTTAGCACAGCAATAGAAAAGTAACTAAGAGTGATACATTTAAGATACCTCAAACATCTCAACCCTTCCTACAGACCTGGCCTTGGGTTCTACCCAGTATTAGCAGAACCTTTCTGCTAACCCACTGTACCCTGACTTAAGATTTTATCTAGTGACCTTCTGGGAATGGGCAGTCCTTTCGCATTCTGCAAGGAGTTCCCTGGAAGCTTTCCAGGTCTTTCCATCACCTGCAGATGCCTTCCTGCACAAGTGTTGTGTCATACTGTGCTGGTGAAGGGGTCTCAGCAGATCTGCAGCACGCTCTCTTCCCTCCTGTGTTCTGTCCTCACCATAGTGAGTCCAGAGGGTTCCACATGGGTTCCTTCTCCCTGTTTTCTGCCCTGAACCCTCTCTTTACAGGGAAATACAACACTGAATGACCTTTTTCACCCATTTTATGTCATACTCCATTATCTTAATAATTGCCAAAGAAAATACTTTGACTGTTTTGGTTTTCTTGCTGTTTCATGTTGAAGGGAAGTCAGTACCTGTTACGCCATCTTGGAGAGAAGTAGATTACAATGGAGTCTCCATAAACGAATGGACCAACTGGCTCGAGCTCACCCTCCATGTTGCTTTTTCCTCCTTGGGACATTCTACCTTGAGCCCATTTTAAATCAGTTTTCATCAGTGACCATAGGACTGTCTCTTATGGTGTTTATCTGAATATATAATGCTCATCTATCTGAATATATAACATTCACTTATCTGAATATAAATTACATGTTGTGTCTTTTCTCCCCTAGATTTGAACCTAAGCAAAAGCAAGGTGTATTAGGGTCCTCTAGAGTCACAGAATGTATAGAATGAATATATTTATATAAAGGGTATTTATTAGAATGGCTTACAGGCTGTGGTCCAGCTAGTCCAACAATGGCTGTCTACCAGAAGAAAGTCCAAGGATCCAGTAGGTGTTCAGCCCATGAGGCTGGGTGTCTCAGCTGGTGTTCAGTACGTGCTGGAATCCTGAAGAAGTAGGCTCCGATGCAAATGAAGGATGGACTTGCTAGAAAGCAAGCAGGCAAAGAGAGAGAGCTTCCTTCTCCATGTCCTTCATACAGGCTGCCAGCAGAAGGTGTGGTCCAGATCAGAGGTTGGCCTTCCCACTTTAAATTGTTTGATTAAGGGGGAAAAATACCCTTACAGGTGTGCCTAGTCATTTGGGTTTTAGTTAACCTCAGATGTCGTCAAGAAGACAGCCAAGACTAGCCATCACACAAGGTCTCATTTGTTTTATCTGCAGAATTTAACACTGTCTGATCCTCATTGTTCAGGCTATGAGTGACTGACTGTGAAAACGCAGTTCCTGTGTACAAAATATGCACATGTATAATTTATTCTTGTGCTGTCCTCTCGCATACAGATTCTGATAGCCTGTTAAAACTCTGGCATATGATTCATTCAAATGAAAGACAAGTGGAGCTTAAAAACAGTCACTACGAACTACTAAGAAAACTTGAAAACATGGAAAATATGGCTAGTGAAGTTCAGAGAGAACAGATGGAAATTAAGAAAATAAAATCCTGGTTACAGCATAAAGGAGTGAACTGGGAAGAAGTCTGCACTTTGAGGCATGGTACCCTAGTTGGCTTTTCTAAAATTGTATTTTCATTTTATGTGTATGTGTGTCTCCCTGCCTGTGTGTCTGTGCACCACATGCATGCAGTACCCACAGAGACCAGAAGAGGGCGTCACATTGCCTGATTCTAGGCTTATAGGTGACTGAGGGTCACCAGATGGGTCCTAGTGATCCAACCAAGGTCCCGTGCATGAGCAGCCAGGGCCTTTCACCACTGAGCCATCTCTCCAGCCCCAGGACATCTTAGTTTTGAAGAAACACTTGAACCTTCATATTATATTGTAGATCTGCTGTGGGATTTTCATAATTGCTGGCTTATGGTCTAGCGCACGAGAGGGGGAGAACATTTTCAGTCCTGTGGTGTCCAATTGGAGAGAATGTACCCACCTCATTTAGGTGTGAGCATTTCAAATAAGTAAATTCATAATCTTCAAAACTGGAGTTCAAATGACTATGCTGTTGAGTTCTAATCTTCATCTAAGATTGAGAATTTGTGATTATTTTTATATTTTTCTGTTATAGTTGGTGCTGCAAGAAATACAATTTGAACTTTGTTTTCTGAATTTCTAAATATTTTGAAAAAATCATCCATATACAATTAGTTGTTCAAAGTATAGGTATCTTTTTTAAAGGCTTAGATCAATACTTCTCACTTGTTCTAAAGAAAGCTTAATATTCATTGGTAGCACATTCGAAGAGTAAGAAAGGATCATTCTCTCTCAACTCAAGTATTTTTAAATTTATACAATTGTACTCTTGAATATTACTCATTTATATTGCAAGGGATTCAAACAAAGGTAGTCACAAATGATAAGACCTCTAGAGGCTGATGAGCTAGACCCCATCTGTACTTTGTTAACACAAATTAAATAAAAAGAAAATGGAGATCACTGCCTAATTTACTCAGTATGTCTCTTTCCTACATGGATAAAATTAACTCATATTTCTATGTTAAAGAACTACTCATTGCTGTTGAATGATCAGATCATGTATTGTTCACAAAAGACCATCAAGCTTCCTGTGTAATAAATAATATTGAGATATGCTTGAAATGTTAGGAACAAGCAGAATGAGAGATAGCAGATACTAGATTCCTTCCTTCTTCGAGTCTTGGTTATGGCTACAGACAGGCCCTGCTGTGTGACTATCTGGAGGTTCTCCTTTGCAATGAGAATCACTGTGAGGCACATCTGGCACATTGTATGAAGATGAACTTTTATTTCAAGTCAACTTATTGAGTTGTTTGGGAGGATAGTAAATGAAGAAGTTGATCTGTTAGTATAGTGAAATCACATCCCACAATGAACATTTTCCTAAACGAGTTGTAATATGTTTTAACACTTCGGGTTCCCCTTAAAACAAAGTGAGACACAAGAAAATGCTGAGTCTATGTTTCAACAAGAGAAGACGCAGCTGAGCAGGATAAAGGAACCACGTGATAAAAATGCAGAATGGACTCAACACCCGGAAACCAGGATGGTGATTACAGACATAAAGGCCGCAGAAACTGGCTTGAGACAGGTAAAATAGCTGTGAGTAAAAGTTCATATTTATGAAGGTTTGATATTAGTTAGATCACATCAGTCTTGTGTGTTTTTAGATGAATACCTGTGACTAACAGAAAATGATGTGGAAAAAAGGGTATTACTCGCCAACTCATCACTATGAAAACATGAAGGCATGCAATTGCACAAACTTGAGACATGCACCTCATCACTTGATAGTGTGATCCACAGAGCACTGTGGACACCGTGTGTAGTCTATTGTTGACCTAAATGTTGTTATGCTATCCATTCTTGAGTTACTTAGAACAAAATGGTACCTCACTCTAAAGTTAAATTTGTTTGTGAATTATTAAACTTGGTAATGGTGTTCAGCATGTGTTTCTTGAGGGAAGGACTAAAAGGTCTCTGGGGTTTAGCAAACTGCCACCACGTAGAGAACCATTTAGTGTTTAGTGTTAGAACACGGGCTATCCGCATTTGGATCTGTAACGTATCTTGCTAGATCTTTTATAAAGTAACAGTTTTATCCATGCTTGTCTTTGCAGCTGCCTTTGCTCTTTGAAAACTTTATTTATTCATGTAGTTAAGTTATTTGTGTTGGGTATCTATCCTTGAACAGGTCACATTCCTTTGGTGTTTTGGGGTTTTGTTGCTGCTGTTTGGTTGGTTGGTTGGTTGGAGTTTTTTCTTTCTTTCTTTCTTTCTTTCTTTCTCTCTTTCTTTCTTTGGTTTTTCGAGACAGGGTTTCTCTGTGACTTTGGAGGCTGTCCTGGAACTTGCTCTGTAGACCAGGCTGGTCTCAAACTCACAGAGATCCGCCTGCCTCAGCCTCCCAAGTGTTGGGATTAAAGGCATGCGCCACCAACACCTGGCTGGTTTGTTAGTTTTTTGTTTTGTTTTGTTTTCAAGACAGAGTTTCTCTGTGTAGCCTTGGCTATCCTAGAACTCACTCTGTAGACCAGGTTGGGCTCACAGAGATCCACCTGCCTCTGCCTGCCTCCCGAGTGCTGGGATTAAAGGTGTACACTAACACCAAGTGCTGGGATTAAAGGTGTGTACTAACACCAAGTGCTGGGATTAAAGGTGTGCACTAACACCAAGTGCTGGGATTAAAGGTGTGCACTAACACCAAGTGCTGGGATTAAAGGTGTGCACTAACACCGCCTGCCCAGCTTTTGGTGCTTTCTTTTGAGGTTCTACTGTGCCACTTTCAAGGTGTGGGAGCTTACTCATCACTGAACCCTTAGTAAAACGATTCTCTAACAATCTTCTTTTTGAAGACCCAAAAGAGCCCAAACTGCCAGTTTCTCAAGAACAAAATCCCAGCAACTTATAAGATAGTGTTGGAGCAAATCATCTTTGCAATAAGATCTGATAGTAAGTAACTGCACAAAGCACAGAAGAGGTCTTAGATACTCAGACATTTTCCGATGTGTAAAATTTGTATCAAGGAAAAGGCAGAGAATTTGAGCCTTGTGTTTATGCATTTGATGTATATATCTGGGGAGAGGTAGTGGCAATGTTGGGTTGAGTGATTTATGCTCTCTATGCATAACCAAAGCAGGCTTTGAATTCCTGATCATCCTACTTCCATCGCCCAAGTTACTGTAATGTTCTTAATTTAGCTCTGCTTGTCTGTCTGCATGACATTCATAATAGGCCAATCCAAAGAAAAAGCTTTCAGTGTTTTCCATAGAAATAGGCCATTCTTATGATTTCAAACACATCTATGACAGTAGATATTCTAATTTGGGACAGTGGTTTGACCTCCTTCATGTTCTGTTGTGGAGATTTCTGTGCAATTTTAATATTGCGACCACTATGTAAGGAGGAGAAATAATGCCAGCAGAGACCCATTTTCCAAGAACATTCCCTCCATTTAAGAAGACTATGACTCGCCGGGCGTTGGTGGCACACGCCTTTAATCCCAGCACTTAGGAGGCAGAGGCAGGCGGATCTCTGTGAGTTCGAGGCCAGCCTGGTCTACAGAGCAAGTTCCAGGACAGCCTCCAAGACAATACAGAGAAACCCTGTCTCGAAAAAAAAAAAAGAAGACTATGACTCTATTCAATGTACACAGCCATTGAAAGTCAATATATTCCATAATATATATTCAGTAAATATTCTGTCATAATCCTCAGCCCTAGATCTATATATCTTATTTTATGAACTTCAAAATGCCTTGTGCCAAAATTCCAGTAGGGTTTTATTCAAAATGTTTTAGATTATTTTCAAATTGTTTTATTCTTACAGAATTTCATACATGAATAAATCTTTGATCATATTTACCTCTCCCTCCTTACTCCTCCTTGGTCCACCCCTGACCCCCCCAGTCTCTTCAGCTTCACATCCTCCTTTTTCAAAATTGCACACCAAGTCCACTTGGGCAGCCCATATGCTTGGGTGTGGGCTATGCACTGGAGTATGGCCAGCCCTTGAAGAAAATTGACTCTTCCTCCCCGAAAAGCCATGAACTCTCCATGTCCCCTCAGCTCAGGTTTGTGAGGCTCTGTCCGTGCTAGAACATTGCCTTACATTACCATACAGGCCTTGAAGAGACAACAGCTGCAAATGGGAACCCTGCACTTGCTGTCTGGTAAACCATCATCTGGACTGCAATAGTCTTCTCATATCCAGAAGACACTCACATCCAGAGGTCTTTCTGCATCTCTAACCCTTAAAAGCTTGCAAACCCCACTTCCACAGTGATCCCTGGGCCTTGCTGCTCGTGGGCGGTTGGAGTGCAGCATAGATGTCCCATTTGTGATTGAGGAATTCATTGATACTTATTCACTGCACTTAAACCAGTTGGGTTATGGCTTTTATAGAAACTTCTCTGATGAGGTCTGAGAGCTGCGCTAATCTATGGGTACAGAGATACAAACTTCAAGCCAGTTTGACACTGTGTCCATTTAGCAGAATAATAGTAGCAGGCTCACTCCTTGAGTCTATGACCTCTGAGTCATGCGTGTACTCCTGCAGAGAGCAGGCCTTAGAGTCAACCAGGAGGTAGTTGTTACACCATAACATTCATGCCGCTATTGCACCCATGGACGTATCTTGCCTCACAAGTCATTATTGTCGCTTACAGGGCTCGCAGCTGGGTAATCAGACTGCTGATAGATCTTTCCCACCGCAGTCTACATAACACCTTCATATGTACATGAATTGTCATGTGGGTGCTGGAAACTAAAGCTCCTCTGCAAAAGGATTTAAGTAATTTAATAATTTAACTTTCACTTGTTTATCTTTTTAATTGTCCAGATGTTACTTGTTTATTTTCTGTGACCTCATATGTGTGTTTATCTCTCTTCTGACTGAAGCATTCCTCCAAGTAGCCTCTGTAGATCTGTCTTAGTGCTCATAAATTCCTTTAATCTCTTTTTAACATGAAAAGTTTTTATTTCTGCTTCATTTTTCAAAATAGTTTTGCTGGGCGGAGGTTTTGGTCTTTCCGAACTTGGAATGTGTCTTTCCAAACACTTCTGTCTTTCAATTTTTCTGCCAAATAGTCAACTGCTATTCTGATGGACTTGCCTTCATAAATTACTCTTGGAGTTTTCAATACCTCCTTTTAATACCCCCTTTTTATTCTATGTTTTAACTATAATATGCCTTGGGGAGTTTCTCTTATAGTCCTGTCTATTCGACATATTGAAGGCCTGTTATACTTGGGTGGACAACTCTTTCTAGGTTTGAGAAATTTTCTTCTATAACTTTATTGAAAATATCTTCTACATCTTCACTAGTGTATTCTTCTGACTTTATGCCCATAATTATAATGCTGTTGCCATGTCACAAAGTTCTCCCTCCCATGTTTGATTTTTTTTTAATTTCTCATTGGCCTTTACTGAGTAATCCAATTCCTCTACTTTGTCTCCCAGTCCTGATACACTGGTTTCACATGATTCATCCTGTTATAGACTTCCCATTGACCATCATTTTTTTAAATTTCAGGACAATTTAAGTCTGGATTTCTTCAGCAATTATCCTTATTGGATGGAATTAATTTTCATATTTTGAATTGAGTTCTTATTGAATGGAATTAATTTTCATATTTTGAATTGAGTTCTGCGCTCATTCAGGTCTTTGTTCTTCTCTTAGAGTATATTCCTCTCTTCTATGAGTTGTTTGTTCTTCTCTTAGAGTATATTCCTCTCTTCTATGAGTTGTTTGTTCTTCTCTTAGAGTATATTCCTCTCTTCTATGAGTTGTTTGTTCTTCTCTTAGAGTATATTCCTCTCTTCTATGAGTTGTTTGAAGACAGTTTTAATAGTTCTCTTGACTTCTTTGTCCAGAAGATCTGTCCAGCTGTTCTCACTGGAGTTCATTACTACAGAATTAGTATTGTGGGAGGGACCATATTGTGGTAACTTTTTGTGTCACTTTTATCTCTACATTGGGGCTTGTACATCTGAAGTAGTTTATTAGCTGAGTCTTTTTGTGAGTTGATTACTGTCTTCAGTAATTTTGTGGTGTTTACTTAGACTTTTTTCTAAAAAAAAAAACACCTTTATTCTTTTAGTGTAGACATGGAAAGGTGTTCCAGAGAGTACTGAGTTGTAAAGGGATGGGAACATTTTCTTTTGTGGAACTGGCATTGAGGACTGCAGTTCCCAGTCCTAGTTTCCTTTTGAGAGTCTACTACTGTCTGCCTGAACAGACACTATCCAAGTGTCAGCCTACTCCTACCTAGTTCTCTCCTCCACAGCCTCTGGTGTGGCTGCCTTGATGCCTTACCTTGAGTCACCTCTGGTCTTACACAGAGAACCACTTTCACTGGCACACTAACTGTGTGAAATACCAGATTTCATTAGAACATAGAATATAATCAAAATACTAATACTAATAGCAAATATTGAATGCAATTGTACAGTTTATATGTACACTGCTTCATGATTAGTCTAATAACCCTGATGTGACAGTGTGGTAGGCACTGTTGTACTAGCTCCATCTAACAGGGTATGGACAAATCGGTTTACTCAAGCTGACACCACACCTAAATGACTGGGCTGGGACCCAGACCCCCATGGCGCTGGGAGAATCGTCTCTCATTTTATCTCATTTTGCTTCATTTGGATTGTTTTGTGTTTGTGATCTTTAGCTTGTTTATTTTGATTTCTGTTTTTGTATCTTGGCTTTTTGTTGTTTGGTTTGTTTTAAGGAAAGAGAAAAAAAGAACAAGTTGGGTGGGTAAAGAGGGGGGAGATGGCCGGGTGTTGGTGGTGCATGTCTTTAATCCCAGCACTTGGGAGACAGAGGCAGGCAGAGCTCTGTGAGTTCAAAACCAGCCTGGTCTACAAGAGCTAAATCCAGGACGGCCTCCAAAGCCACAGAGAAACCCTGTCTCAAAAAAAAAAAAAACTGAAAAGTAAAAAGAGGGGGGAGATTCTAGAAGGAAATGAATGAGGAGATGTCATATGAAAAAATAATGTTTTTCAATTTCTTAAAAAGCTTAAAGAAAAAGATTGCATACCTAGAATCTTTGAAGGCCACAAAGTAGGAACGTAAAATTTAAATAGTTATCTCAAACTATAGTAAAAAAAAATAGCATCTATTAAATAATGTCTTAAAACATCTAGTTTTCACAAAGTATCACTGGCATATATATCACTGTGATCATTCTCATATATATTCATTCAAATATATGTGTTTTGAAGTATTTCTAGAAATTCAAACATGCGCATTTCCACCTTTTACCAGTTCTATCAATTTGTGTATCCAATAACACATGCCTCAGTGTTAGAGTAAATATTGGTTAATTTTCTGTAGAGAGAAGATAGTATTATTTTAGGTATGGTGGAAAGTCAGTTAATTCTACAGTTACAGAACAAAAGTTCCCATAGACAATATCCAGGTGAAGGGGCACAGTCGTGTTCTCACAAAATTCTGGCATGAAATGGGTAAAGGGCAGACTGAATGATGCTAACAACTTCCTTTTTCATTGCTCATTTTAGTTGCAAGGACCACAGGGTCAATGCTCACAGACAGTATGGAGTTCTGAGAAGACACAAGCTATCTTACAAAGGTATGGAGCAGCACACAGAGTACCATGAGCTTTGTAAAAAAGAGCAGTGTAGAATAGAAAATCTACCAGTTGTGAGAATGAATACCCTTTTGGGAAGCCAGGAAACTCTTTCAAAATTAAGATTGTTGAAATGCGTTATTAACATCTTAGATGTAGTTCAGTTGGACAGAGCTTGACCTGTGTGTACCAAGTGAAGGTTTCTTCCCAAACTCTACAAAAAATAATGTGTAAATTTTACACTATTATGCATATTACCCACAAAACAAAGCAGAAAGAAAATGAAATGTGCTTTTCAAACATTAACAATGAAATTATTCTTTTAGATTTAGTTCAGAAATTGTGATGCTTTCCCACTCTTTTATTTATTATTAGAAACCAGCTTGCTTCACATGTCAATCCCAGCTCCTTCTCCCTCCCCTCCTCCCAGTCCCCCACCAGTCCCACCCTATCCCCCTCCACTCCCCAGGGAGGATAGGCCTTCCATGGGGATGTTCAAGTCTGTCATATCATCCTGGGCAGGGCTTAGGTCCTCCTCCATGTGTCCAGGTTGAGAGAGCATCTTTCCATGTGGAATGTGGAATGTGCACTCTTCCCGCCGACTGCCTGGGTCCCACAGATATCTCAGCCCCCAAATAATACGCAAAACACTATATTAATTATGAAGCTGTTGGCTGTTTGCTTGGTTTCTTATCAGCTAGCTCTGACTTAGTTATTAACCCATAACTGCTAGTCTGAGTGTTTCCATGTGGTCTTCTCTTACCAGAGAAAAGGGTCTGGACCTCTTACTCCTCTAGAGTCCTACGTGGTGACTGACTGTGCCTCTGTTTCCCAGAATCCTCCTCGACTCCTAGCCCCACCTATCTTGCTTCCCTATTGGCCAACAGTGCTTTATTTAATCAGCCAATAAGACAACATATACACAGAAGGACTTCCCCCATCATCAGTGGGCTTCCCAAGTCCATTCGTACGCCAGGGATAAATACTGATCTTGCTAGAGTAATAAGATAACAAAAGGAGATCAAGGGGCTACAAATTGGAAAGGAAGAAGTCAAACTTTCACTATTTGCAGATGATATGATAGTCTACGTAAGTGACCTGGAGAATTCTACCAGGGAACTCCTACAGCTGATAAACACCTTCAACAAAGTGGCAGGATACAAAATTAACTCAAAAAAATCAGTAGTCCTACTATATATAGACAATAAATGTGCTGAGAAAGAAATCAGAGAAGCTTCACCACAAACAACATAAAATATCTTGGGGTGATAATGTTTTTAAAGGGTATATTTGAATCATTGTCAAATATATTTTAGGCTTGAAGTTCGAATTTCCAAATTAAAAATCACACTGAAAGAGCGATCAGCAATAATTGAGCAGATTCAGAACCAACTGCTGCATGGAGGTTTGGTGAGTCTTCTTTCCTTGTGCCATTCTAGAACTGTTTCCCCTTGTGCTGTTTGATGTCAGTCGTAGGTGCCGCAGTAGAGAGAGTAGCTCTCCAAGATGCTAAGCCTTCGTTTCCCAAAGGAGCAGAGGGGTTCAGCCTTCTTGGAAAAGACTGGCACCAGAAAGCTCATTCCGGTTACTTTATTCAAACATATACAAGGTTAATTGGGGCTGGGAAAGGTTCCAACTACTGAAGTCATGTTGCTCTTGCTACCCATGAGAGCAGGCAACCCACACAAGTCTCAGTCCCTTTTGAGTGAGGCAGCCATAATCAAATGTAAGAGCTCCAGGTCTGCCAGGAGGGCCTTAGGACCAAGGTCAGTGTGGCTGCAAGCTCTCATGCAGCACCAAGTGCAGACTCTCCAGAGAAACAGCGTCTCTCCCAGCTTTAAACAGTTTCAGAACAATTTCTCCACATCTACTGATTAAACCAGACATAGCAAAGGTTTTACTGAAGCATTTCACTCAAAGCCAGACACAAAGTCTTTACTTTACTCATCATTACAGTTATATGGGAATATTTTAGGATATATGAAAAGTGCCGTTGATAAAAGTATTTCCTGTGTTTGGGCATAGTGGCAGATACCTTTAATCCCAGCACTTAGGAGGCCAAGATAGATGGATCTCTGTAAGTTCTAGACCAAGGGCTACATAGCTGGGAGTGTGTGTATGTGTGTGTGTGTATGTGTGTGTGTGCCTGTCTGTCTGTGTGTCTGTCTGTGCCCGTGTGTCTGTGACTGTGTCTGTGTGTCTGTCTCTGTATTTCTCATTCATAATGCTACTACTTTTTTAACCAGTAGTGGACATCCTCTTGATTTTATAGAAGTTCATTGAAATGATAGCAATAAGGGACTTTGGTAGCAAGATTTTACTAAACAAGCAGCTTATAAGTTGGCTCAGGGGTTGAGAGCATGAAGTGTCCTTGTAGAGGAGCAGAGTTCAGTTCCCAGCACACACATCAGGAGGCTCACAACCACCTGCAAGTCCAGCTCCAGAGGATCTGATGTTCTCTTCTGACTTCTGTGGGTACCTGTACACACATACACGTAAATGAAAAGAAATCCTTTTTTAAAATTAAGAATTCACCAGGCATGATGGTGAACACCTTTAATTCAAGTATTTGGGAAGCAAGAGGTAGGTGGAACTCTGAGTTCAAGGCTAGCCTGATCTACATAGTAAGTTCCAGGATAACCATGGCTACACAGAGAAACCTTGTCTTAAAAACATGTTTTACTAAATAGGATTCTTACAAAATGAATGTTTTATAATTTTGTATTATAACTAATACTGTATCTTAGATATATTACGATATATAACATAATGCTTTAGGACACATTTTGTTTCTCCATTGGTTGATTAATAGACTTGTGGACCATTTGTACCTCATGACTGCTGTGGAAAGGTTGCTGTAGACGTAGTGTACAGCTGCCGTTGCCACTGGGAAGGTTATTTGGTCTAGAGTTCAAATCTGTTACCAGAACCCTTTGGTGAAGTTTTAAGGATGGGTAAATTGTAACTTCCATTTCTAATTCAGAACAGATACTTGGGGCTAAAGAGGACCCAGCTGTTGAGAGCACTTGTTGCTCTTACAGAGGACCCAGGTTCAGTTCCCAGCACCCACATGGTGCCACCCAACCATCCTTAACTCCAGTTCCTAGGGATCTCTGATGCTCTCTTCTGACCTCCACAGAACCCAGGCATGCATGTGCATCAAATAAATAAGTATTGAGAAATTGTTTTTGAAGAATGGCTATTTTGTCATTATACAGACATTTCCACCAAGGAAAGTTTTTCTCTGTTTTGGCTTTTATGTGTGTTTGTTTGTTTGTTTGTTTGTTTGTTTTTCAAAAAGAAAAGCAATGCCATTGAATGCATAAAGGAAATGTTTTGTATAATGGGATGCTATAGAACTGAAGATCCAGAAATTGTTTATTCACCTGTGTCCATCAGCTTTCCAAAACCAGAGTCCTCTGCTTTGCATCATTGCGGCTGTGCTGGGGAGTCGCTGTCCAATGCCTCCCCCCCCAGTGTAAGGCCAGTGTCTACAGAAAAGCTCAATGGCCGAAGCTGTGTGGCTGTCACAGGAGGGGATCACAAGCACAGAAGTGTGGTGATTCCCCCGCAGGCTTTACAGCAGGCAGGGAAAAAAATGATTCAGGAAGAGACAAGAATGAAACTTGACTCAGCCAGATTTTATTGTAATCAGTGCTGGACCAGGACTTCTGGAGTCTGGCTCAGATCATGTTACTTTGGCCATATTTAAGCACAACACAATTTTGGAAAAAAAGTATTCACATAACAACTAACTCAGTCCCAAGTGCACAACAATTTAAAGACATGTTTATCTTGAGATGCCTTACAAAGTAAATCTGGCTTCTTTTACAGAATGGGTACCATTGACTCAGGGATAGTGCCCAAGATTTAGGGTCTAGGGAATTTGACCAAGGTAGACATCATGCCTGTGGGAATCAGGATTGGCCTGAACCTAAGATAGCATAGAAGTCACTTAGACTGTTGTAAAACACAAGTAACATCACTTATAAAGATGGGTTTATGTCCTAGAAACATGCTCAAGATTTAGGGGGAAAGGTCTTGGATAAGTAAAAACATAAATTCTGCGCGATAAGGCAAAGCCTGTCTCATCAGACAGCAAAGGTTCACCAAGTTGTAGATAGACTCCAGGAAGAGCAGCTTCGCACCTCATTGCTTTGAGTAGGTGAGCCGTGTTTAATCCCCTAGCTTCTCCGGGGCTTGTCTGTGTGCAAAGGCTCTTTACTCTCCATCTGGAAGCTCAGCAGGGATGAGGCAGGAAGAGGAACCAAAGCAGGAGTGGGGAGGGGGTCCAAAGAAGCTTCCCAGTGGAGCCCACTTCCAAATCCACAGAGAGAAACTCCTGTCCTGCCCAGAGAAAACGGAATGCATCCTCCCTCTCAGAGAAAGCCATCGATAGTCTAGGGTTCCACTTCAGTGATGGACAATGAAGGCTCTGCTACTCCCAGACAGAACAGAATTCTCCAGTTCCTTCACTGCCTTTCCAGATTTGACCATCACATGATTACAGTGTGAACCCCCACCTGGAGACAGGACATGGCTGCCTCCTGTAACCTGTTACCTCTCAAAAGCAGGCGCTGTGCAGGTCCACTGTAGGTGTTTGCACAGAAACCAGAACTCTGTCTTCCACATCATGAAGAGCACTGAAAAGCAATTCTAGATTTCTAGAAATTGATTCCACTTTATTTCAATACTGTCCACCTATGTTGAAGAGTCTTCTGCGTATGAGAATGCCAAAGACATCCTCTCACTAAATGTCCTACAGAAATGTATTGAATTGAAATAGCAAAGCTTGAGAGTTGTATAGTAGGATTCCAAACCTATTTGGCGGATTCAAAAAGAATGAGATGGGCTAGACAGAAGGCTTAGAGGTTAAAAGCACTTGGTGCTCTAGCAGAGGACCCAGTTTCCATTCCCAACACCCACGCGATGGCTCAAAACTGCCAGCAAATCCAGTTGTCGGGCATCGGATGCCCTCCTGGCCGCCATGGACACAAGGCATGCACAGAGTACACATATATGCATGCAGGCAAAATATTTGTGCACATAAAATAAATCTTTTAAAAAGAGGTATATTTTCTAGATTTCCCCAAAAATGAATAAGGAATAAGGCATAGAAATAATAGCCACTTTGAGGTCTCCTCTGACTCAAAAAATAAATACGAGGTTTTTCTTATTCCCCAGCTCTATCAGCAGTCACTAATTTCTCCAAACTGTCCTCAATATATCAGAGATCACCAGAGCTGAGATATTTCACAGATACAATTTTATAGTTTTGTGCAAAGCATCTGGGGTAGGTGAAAAATGGAACTCTAGCTCATCCAAGCTTCCATCAATATAGTTGAGTTTCCATTTAAAAGGGAATTTTAGGACAATATTTACCCAAAGTTGTCAGTGTAGCAAAGGAGAAGAGAAAGGACTGATGACACTTGCATGAAAATGTCTACTATTTAAAAAGAGAAACAAGACAAAAATTCTGGACAACAGCTCCACATTGCCAGAGTTTGAAAAGTGTGGTTTTCAAAGCAGCACCAATCAAAATCTACAGGAAATACACACCTTGAGCATCTCCAATGGAATCCATGCAGTAATGGATGATGGGTGGTAATGCATGAGGACTGAGCGAGAAGGAGGATATCGATGAAAGGATGACCTCAGTAATGGGCCGAGACTGGAACTGTGGATTAGATGACCTAAGGAAACCTCGAGGAACTCTGTAGGGAATGGGTGACTTACTCAGAGAAAGAACAGCGGGGCTTCTGCATTCAAGCTGACGATGGAGTAGTAAGTATGGGCGTGCCTAGAGTCTGCTCATGAGACATAAAACACGATGAGGACTCCAAAATGTCCTTGGCACCCTGTATTTTGTTCATGAATTTGTAGGATTAAATCCTAGATTTTAAGAGGTTGAAGAGGTGGCTCGGCATGCATTTCTCTGGCAGAGGACCAGGCTCCATTCCCAGCACCCACATGGTGGCTCACAGCTATCTGTAACTCCAGTTCAGGGGGACCGATGCCCTCTTCTGGCCTCCATGGGCACCAGGTAGGTACACATACATGCATGCAGGTTCTCACACATGCACATAAGATAAATCTTTTTTTTTTTTTTGGTTTTTCGAGACAGGGTTTCTCTGTGGCTTTGGAGGCTGTCCTGGAACTAGCTCTTGTAGACCAGGCTGGCCTCGAACTCACAGAGATCCGCCTGCCTCTGCCTCCCAAGTGCTGGGATTAAAGGCGTGCGCCACCAACGCCCGGCAAGATAAATCATTTTTAACATCAGATTTTAAGCTAATAGAAGGTGCTGGGTGATGAAAAGAGCTTTTTAGATGGGCTGTGTACTAAGGATATTGGAGCCCACTGGGAGGGCTTCATCAGGTCGGAAGGGGGTCCAGAAGAATCAGGCACAGATTATGCTTTGTGGAGTGAGCATGAAGACACTCCTTGAAGAAAGATAATAAGTGGAGAAGAAAATTCCAAACTCCCCAAAGAATTCTTACAGAGGATGAATGACTTGGCAAATTACAGGAATGTAAGTTCTATAATGAAGAGGGGGACCTGACAGATGGCTCATCAATTAAAAGCCCTGGCTACTCTTCCAGGGGATCAAGTTCCGTTCCCAGCACCCACTCTGATGGTCACAACTCCAGCTCTAGTACATCTGACACCCTCTTGGCCTCTGTAGGCATCTTCACACATGTGCATGTGTACATGCACATGCTCACACACATGGGGGAGCACATAATAAATTTCTTCAAAAATTAATGATAAATATATAGATAAATGAAAGCTGGTTTTAAGGAGTTATTTTTTTAATTTGATTCTAAGTGGAATGCTACAAACTTGTACAAATGCATATTACTCATAACCTTGTAAGAAATGATTTTCTAAGAGAAGAACAAGACTCCTGATACTTTTAAATATTTTTATAATTTTTTAAAGCTTGGAGATGAAATGGAAGAACTCATTCAGCAAGCACAATCTCTAGAATGTACTTTGGAAAAACAGATGGATAAAAATGAGAACTTAATGACAGAACTAGCTGGGTAAGATTTTAATGTTTTAAATCTTTTCAATTAGCTTCATCGCTATTTATTATTTCATATTTTCGAGTATTTTATATATGAGTGCTATATTTACTTTATTTCCCCTCCCTCTGACTCCTCTCATGTCCCCCAAATCCTTCCCAAAAACATAGCCTCTTTTCTTTGATTTTTACTGTTACATATATGTTTGTGTGTAAAATATATAAATGCAATCTACTGAGTTCACTTGATACTGGTCCTGTATATGTGTTTTAGGGGTGACCACTTGGTGTCATACGACTTCATTGTAATTTCTTTATTTTGTGTGTGTGAGTGATGTGTCTGCATGTGTGTTTGCCCACCACACGTGTTCCCGATGCCCACCACACGTGTTCCCGATGCCCACCACACGTGTTCCCGATGCCCACCACACGTGTTCCCGATGCCCACCACACGTGTTCCCGATGCCCACCAAAAGAGGTGCTGGCTCCGTAGCAAACAGCGACCAACAAGTCCTTGCATCTTTCAATGACATCCACATCACTCCAGGGCCTAATCTCTGGGTTGCAGATTATCTTTAATAATTTGTCAGTGTTTCATGTTAAAATGGATAATAATAGTTACAAAACATCTGAATGTCTTCTAATACTTACTGCTCATGTGATATAAATGTCATAAAATTTTTCCTCATATTATTTGTTAAGCTTATAATTTGCCCAAGAGCCACAGACTATTTAACAAAAACCTCAACACCAGACATGGGAAGCCAGTTTTTGAGTTATTGGTCACAAGTTATCCAATAGACTCCAAAACAGTGTAGGCTATTGATGTTGTCCTTGAATATTTCCCAGAGGTTGAAAGTAAATTCCAGGGGCCCTGACCTGAATGCCTTCTCCCTAGCTTTAATGGTACCAGAAGGTGCTATGCAAGATTTACAGGTGGGGAAGCAGTAATCCTGCCTAGCTATGATGCCTATGGACTGCAACACCAGCCAGCATGATACAATATCCATAGGGTGCAATAGTGATATACATACTGAAGGCCACTCAACGCAAGCACAATCACAGCTGGTACAGGACCTAGACAGTAACACAAGGCTAGTGAGGTCTGGATCTGGGATCCACCTACAGCCACTACCTTACTAAAACAGTGCAATTTCTAACTATATTCTAAATATTTCTCCTTAAGCACACAGATAACTATACTTCTCACGCCTCTTCAAGGAAATGTCTCTTTGCAATAAACAGAGATCATTACAAAAAAATCACAACTGATCAAAATGAAAAGAGCAAGTGACTGTGTGGTGCCCTGTCCCAGGTGACACATCTTAACACAGCTTCCCACCTAAGGCTCAGGGGTCCGGGCAGAAGGGCGGGAAGGCTGTAAGAGATAGAGGAACATGGAGCTTGCTGAGAGAGTGTGTCTCCTAGAAATGTCAAGAAGCTGCAACCCTGAAATCTCATCAGCATGGCTTGGACAATGATGACATCAACAGACACGCTAACATGGGAGGGACTGTCACAGGCCTCAGCTCCAGACCGAGACCTGCAGGCAGCTAAGGCATGCTGAGAGTTGAGGAGACAAGCTTTCCCCACGAAAGAGCCTCCAGTTGGTTATCCAATATCAAGTGGTCAGCCCAAAACTGTATACATACAAGTAACATTATATGGGGTTGAGCAGTTAGATTTACATATTTAGAACTGAATATAGGTAACAACAATTAAAGAAATAGAGGCCATGAATTAGAAAAAGAAAAAGAGGGGTACATGGGAAAAGTTGGAGAGAGGAAAGGAGGAAAATTATGTAATTCTATTTTAATTTCAAAAAATAAAAAATTAAGATTATAATTTCAGGCTGGAGAGATGACTCAGCAGTTAAGAGCGCTTGCTGCTTTTCCAGAGGACCCAGGTTCAATTCCTAGCACCCACATGGCAGCTCACAACCATCTGTGGCTCCAGACCTGGAGATTTGACACACTCTTTTGGCTTCCATGAACATGAGACATGCTTGTGATGCACATACATACATGTAGGCAAAACATACAAAAAATATTTAAAGATTATAATTTCATATTTTCAATTAACTTTGAGACAAATGAGAGTTTCATGACTTACACTTTTGTTCCTTTTTATGATATTACATATTGTCTGCTTAAGTTATTAAATATTGATGCTGAAAACATGCCAATTCTGTACATTTTTACAGATTTAAGAAGTTCTTTGAGGAGACAAAAAAGAAGTTAAATAAGCTTGAAGGCACTGGAGATTTAAAAACCAGCCTAGTTGATATGCATATTCCAAGTAGTACACTAAGGCATGAGGTAATTTCTTCTTCTTTTTTTTTTTTTTTTTTTTTTTTTGGTTTTTTGAGACAGGGTTTCTCTGTAGCTTTGGAGGCTGTCCTGGAACTGGCATGAGGTAATTTCAATAACCTGTAAGATGAAATATCTCTTGCTTTGGGTAAATATAGCTATATATTCTGTGGTTAGTAAAACAAAGATTTAAAACAACAACTTCGCTGATTTGAAATCAATGAAAAAATATTTTTTTCTATTAAAGGTGAGCTGTGCTGATTCTCTTTATATCTTTATCTTATTTATTTAGGTTTATTTATTTGTTTTATAATGTATGCGTGGCTCTATGCCATGTGCATGCCTAGTGCCCAGAGGTCAGAACAGGGCATTGGATCCCCGAGAACTGGAGTTACAGATGGTTGTGAGCCACCCTGTGGGTACTTGGCACCAAACTCAGGTCCCCTGGAAGAGCAGAGCGACAAGGACTCTTGGACACTGGGCCATCTCACCTCCTTTTTATTTACTTTTTATTCCCAGTCCACATGACTAAATATCAGTAACAATCCAAAGAGCACTAACGCGAATGGCTTCCTGACACGTGAAGCAAGAAGCTGAAGCAGAGGCTTGAGGCCAGCCTAGGCCACAGGAAGACCCTGTCTGAAGAAAAACTGCAGTTTTTGTTTTTTGTTCTAAGCTCATTTTTTCTCCTTTTTCTAATTTAAGTTAGAAACAATCTTGTTTCATATGTCAATTCCAGCTCCCTCTCCCTCCCCTCCTCCCCATTCCTGTCCACCAGGCCCCCCCAGCCCCCCACCCAATCTCCACTCATATCCCCAGGGAGGGTGAGGCCCTCCAGAGTCTGTCATATCATCCAGGGCAGGGTCTAGGCCCTCCCCCAAGAGTCCCGGCTGAGAGAGCATCTCTCATTGTGAGATAGGCACCCAAAGTCTATTGTACGCCAGGGATAAATACTACCCAAGGCCCCATAGATTACCTAGGTCTCCTCACTGACACCCACATTCAGGGGGGTCTGGGTCAGTCCCATGCTTTCCACACAGCCATCAATCTGGGGTCCAAGAGCTCCCCCTTGTACAGGTCAACTGTTTCTGTGGGTTAAACCAGCTCAGTCTCTTTCTGACACTGGATTCCAGGAGTTCAGTTCAGTGTTTGTCTGTGGGTATCTGCCTCTGCTTTCATCAGTCGCTGGATGAAGGTTCTGTTTCCCAGACTCTCTGGCAGTGGGATTGTATGCTGGCACTCCCCTGATTCATGTCTAAAATCCATAAATGAGTGAGTACATAACATGTTTCTCTTTTTGTAACTGGGTTACCTCACTCAGGATGGTTTCTTCTAGTGCCATCTATTTGCCTGCAAATTTCAAGATTCCATTGGTTTTTTTTTCTGCTGAATAGTACTCCATTGTGTAGATGTACCACATTTTCTCTATCCACTCTTCAGTTGAGGGGCATCTAGGTTGCTTCTAGGTTCTGGCTATTACAAATAATGCTGCTATGAACATAGTAGAACAGGCGTCCTTGTTGTATGAATGTGCGTCTTTTGGGTATATGCCTAAGAGTGGAATTGCTGGGTCTTGTGGTAGATTGATTCCTATTTTCCTGAGGAATCTCCATACCGATCTCCAAAGTGGCTGTACAAGTTGGCACTCCCACCAGCAGTGGAGGAGTGTTCCCCTTTCTCCACATCCTCTCCAGCATAAACTGTCGTTGGTGTTTTTTATTTTAGCCATTCTGACAGGAGTGAGATGGTATCTCAGAGTTGTTTTGATTTGCATTTCCCTAATGGCTAATGATGTTGAGCACTTTCTCAAGTGTCTTTCAGCCATTTTAGACTCCTCTATTGAGAATTCTCCATTTAGTTCTGTACCCCACTTTTGAATTGGATCCTTTGGTGTTTTAGAGACTTGCTTCTTGAGTTCTTTGTAAATTTTGGAGATCAGTCCTCTGGCAGATGTGGGGTTAGTGAATATATTTTTCCAATCTGTGGGGGTGCCTTTTTGTCTTGCTGACTGTGTCCTTTGCCTTACAGAAGCTTCTCAGTTTCAGGAGGTCCCCTTTATTAATTGCCAATCTCAGTGTCTGTGTTACTGGTGTTATGTTCAGGAAGCAGTCTCCTGTACCAATTCATTCAAGGGTGCCTCCCACTTTCTCTTCTAACAGGTTCAGTGTGGCTAGATTTATGTTGAGGTCCTTGATCCATTTGGAGTTATGTTTTGTGCATGATGAAAGACATGGATCTGTCTGTAGTCTTCTACATGCCAGCATCCGGTTATGCCAGCACCATTTATTGAAGATGCTTTCTTTTTTCCATTGTATATTTTCAGCCTCTTTGTCAAAAATCAGGTGCTCATATGTGTATGGGTTAACGTCGGAGTGTTCAGTTCGATTCCATTGGTCTATCTGTCTTTTTTTTTTTTTTTTTTGCCAATACCAAACTGTTTTCAGGACTATAGCTCTGTAATACAGCTTGAAGTCAGGGATGGTGATGCCTCCAGATGTTGCCATGTTGAAAAGGGTTGTTTTGGCTTTTGTTTTTCCATATAAAGTTGAGAATTGTTCTTTCAATGTCTGTGAAGAATTGTGCTGGGATTTTAATGGGGATTGCATTGAATCTGTAGATTGCTTTTGGCAAGATTGCCATTTTTACTACATTGATCCTACCTATCCAAGAGCATGGGAGATCTTTCCATTTCCTGGTGTCTTCTTTAATTTCTTTCTTTAAAGACTCAAAGTTCGTGTGATACAGGTTAGCATTACCCCAAGGTATTTTATGTTGTCTATGGCAATTGTATAAGGTGATGTTTCTCTGATTTCTTTCTCAGCCCTTTTATCAGTAGGGCTACTGATTTTCTTGAGTTGAGCTGTAAGAGTTCCCTGGTAGAGTTTTTTGGATCACTTATGTAAACTATCATATCATCTTCAAATAGTGAAAGTTTTACCTCTTCCTTTCCAATTTGTATCCCCCTTGATCTCTCTTTTTTTTTTGTCTTATTACTCTAGCTAGAACTTCAAGTACAATATTGATGAGGTATGGAGAGAGTGGACAGCCTTGTCTTGTTCCTGATCTTAGAGGAATTGCATTGAGTTTCTGTCCATTTAGTCTGATATTGGCTGTTGGTTTGCTGTATATAGCTTTTATTATGTTTAGGTATGTTCCTATTATCCAAGATCTCTCCAAGACCTTTATCATGAAGGGGTGCTGGATTTTTGTCAAAGGCTTTTTCAGCATCTAGTGAGATGATCGTGTGGTTTTTGTTTCTCAATTTGTTTATATGGTGGGTTACACTGATGGATTTTCATATGTTGAACCATCCCTGCATCCCTGGGATGAAGCCTAGTTGGTCATGGTGGATGAATTTTGTGATGTGTTCTTGGATCCGATTTGCCAGTATTTTTTTTTTTTTTTTGGTTTTACGAGACAGGGTTTCTCTGTATTGTTTTGGAGGCTGTCGCTCCAGGCTGGCCTCGAACTCACAGAGATCCACCTGCCTCTGCCTCCCGAGTGCTGGGATTAAAGGCGCGCACCACCACCGCCCTGACCGATTTGCCAGTATTTTATTGAGTATTTTTGCATCAGTCTTCATGATATTGGTCTGAAGTTGAAGTTCTCTTTCTTAGTTGTGTCTTTGTGTGGCTTGGGTATCAAGGTAATTGAAGCCTCAAAGAAAGAGTTTGGCAAAGACCCTTCTGCTTCTATTGTGGGGAATACTTTGAGAAGAATTAGTATAAGCTGTTCTTTGAAATTCTTCTCCAGCTCCTGTTAATGCTGGCAGATGACTTAACAGCAAGCAGTCAACCATTACAATGTCAAAATCATAAGCACCTTGATGGTTCTATTTGCTAGCAGCGTTATCGGGCTACAGTTGACAGGCTATGAAAGTCAGTCAGTTTGAAGTATACATTACAATTTAGCAACACGGTGGATATTCACAGATACACAAATATCACCTCAATTTTTTAGTATTTTTATCATTCAAATATGTTCTAAATCTCTTAGCAATTGCTCTGAGATTTAAGGAACCCAGTACACTTAACTGCTGTCAAGTTCATCTATCTGAACAGAAAGACACACAGTCTGCATTCCAGCTGCTTTGTGTCTGGCTCCTTTTATTTTTTTTTCCGAGACAGGGTTTCTCTGTGGCTTTGGAGGCTGTCCTGGAACTCACTTGGTAGTCCAGGCTGGTCTCGAACTCACAGAGATCCGCCTGCCTCTGCCTCCCGAGTGCTGGGATTAAAGGCGTGCACCACCAACGCCCGGCCTGGCTCCTTTTATTGAGTATACTTTTATTGTTCAGTCTGTTCAAACACCTGTGCATACTTCATTTCCTGTCCTTGCCGATTAGTGTCCTGTCATATGGGTAAGCTGTACATTTTGTTTATGTGCTCACTGATCGATGGGACTCTGGGCTGTCCCCACTTTAAATTTTGATTGCTGACACTGCTCTGAAAGGTCTTAGGTGCCAGCCAGGATCAGGGTCTTTCGGAGCAAGCCTTAAGTTCACAGACCAGAGCAGCAGGGGTGCGTGTACATCCAGAAAGCTCCATGAGGAGAGGAGCAGGGGGCAGAAGTCTGGCCATGCCAGCCAGTCCTCCTCCTCCACTATAGAACTCTCAAGCCTTCTGTTCTTGTAGCCCAGACACCGGAAATTAGGGGCCCTGGACCCTGACTGGCATGCAAATAAGGTTATAAATGGGGCCGACCAAGGAAGAATTGTCAAAAAGTTATCAGGAACTCCATTTGCTGTGGTTTCACCTGTTACTTTCCTGACCTGATTCTCCTTGGAGCTCTGCATGCAGTCAGGAGGGGTTAGGTCCCCTGAGTCCCCTTGCTCTCAGGAGCCCCACGTGGGGTGGGAAACTCTTCATCCAGTGAGAGCTGATGTGATCAGTTTATGCTTTGCTGAGTCCCTAACATAGTAAGATCTGGCCTTCAGTGGTAGCTGGCTCTTTCTCTCTTCTCCACTGAATCCTTCAGGCTCTCACCTAGTGCTTCCTTCTTTGTTCTCATCTCCTCAAATCATGGCCACAGAATCTGTGACCAGTTGACTGCTGACAGCATTGAAGTTTTATCACTTCATTCTAGTTCACATGAGTGTCTTTACCAACATGACATCAGCTTGTCTTGTTGGGAATTAGATCATCATCTTACAGTTGACAGTTAGATTCCTTTTTGATGTGTTGTGTGATTTTTTTTTGGGGGGGGGATGGGGTATGACAGACAAAAAAAGCAAAACAAAACAAAACCAAAAACACCAAATCCAAAGCTGGGTGGGATGGTGCATGCCATTAATCCCATAGCTCAGGAAGCAGCCTGGTATATAGTGAGTTCCTGGGCAGCCAGAGGTACATAATAGAAAGGCCCTATCTCAAAAAACAAAAAAGAAAAAGAAATTAATCCACCTAAGCCTAATGAGTTTGTCGTGGTAACTGACAGGAGCATGGGTGACTCACCAGCAGCTGTGTCACCCAAAAGACCCCTCTCAGCCTGAGTGATGACTCTTGGAAGCTGCACCCCAGGAGTTCTCCTCACAGCTTAAAGGCAGCTCTGCAGGAGAGCTCACTCTCCCCAGCAATTACTGTCTTGCCCATCAGCCACCTTAGTGAGTTGCAATAGCCCATGGGCTTCCTTGGCCTCCTCCACTCTGAGAGCCTCTTTCTCCCTCCAGCAAGGGTGCTTCAGCTTGGAGGAAGTGGATACAACACCTGGCGTTTAGCTTTGTGCTAGAGCCAAAGTGGATCCTGTTCACAACACAAACTTGATTCTCGAACACCTCAGTTCCTTACATTCATCTCTTACACCTAAACCACTAGAGTCACACAACCCAACCCAAGTTTCACAGGGCAACAGGTCAGCCCATTAGAGGAAATTCATGTCCAGAATACAGCCCCTAAATATCTGTAGTAACCAGGGAACACAGCAATGAAATTGTGATCATAGCAATAATTTAGTAAGTATTGCTCCCCTAGAGAAATTCCGGTACAAGCTATGTCAGACTAAGTCTTAATCCCAGAATTTGATGGCAAAAGCAAATGGATCTCTGTGAGTTTGAGGCCAGATGGGTCTATACAGAGAGTTCCAGGTTAGTGAGGGATACATAGTGAGACCCTGTCTTAACAAAACAAAAGCTCCATACTGGAAATTAGTTACCAAAACAAGCTCACACTCAGGAGATGGGTCTTATGAGAGACTTCAGTGTTTTAAATCCACCACCATAGAACATCAATATATCTAAAGGGAAGTCATCCTAATTCAGCCAACTCAATTTTGTCACTACTGTTGTTTAATGTGTTCCTGTATTTTATGGAATGAGTCCACAAAGTTTACAAGGCAATGCTCTTGAATCAGAACATGTTTTTAAAAAAATCATGTCAATAGCCAGGAGGTGGTGGCGGTGCACGCATTTAATCCCAACCCTCAGAAGGCAGAGACAAGTGGATCTCTGAGTTCAGAGACACAGAGTGGGTTCCAGGACAGCCAGGGCTACATAAAGAAACCCCGTCTCAAAAAAAAACAAAACACACACACACAAGAAAGAAATGAAGATAAATTAGAGGCATTGAGTATTTGGGAGGAAAGGGCCAGAGACTTCTGTTGGTATGTGATTTATCATCATGTTATTAATAAAGGAATAAACTAGGCATGGAAAATGACAGCCGTGGTTCAGGTGTAAACGAGGAAGATGTGTGAAAAGAGTTTATTTTTGTCATTCCTGCTGGATTTAAATTTGCCTATTTTCTGGGTAATCCAATGGAGTGCATTCTAATGGTCTGCTACAGAGTATAACTTTAATTTATGACAGCTGAACCAGCATCGGTTGTCTATTGGTTTTATGTTAGCCCAGCCTCGGTTTATGTCCTTCACCATGAATCCCTACTTTTTATTCATACAGTTATACAAGCTGAAAGAAAACTGGGAAACTACATATTACAAATATCTACACATGGTTGTAAAACTTCAGATTATGGAGCAAGAGCTAATAGCAATAAAGACAGAACAAAGGAAGAGTGGATGCCTCCTGGAGGACCACCAGAGCTTACAAGTTCTTCCCGGCAGAAGCTGGGCACCAGAGCTCGCGGTAGGTGGCATGAGAGCAGGGGAACCACGCAGAGCCTGAGGAGAGCAGGCAGCTTGCAGAAAGCTTTTTCCGTTTTAATTAATCTACAGCGAACCTGAATTCATTTCAGCACAGCGGTGATGTGGATTCTATCCCTTGCATTTTCTCCTCTTCTCATAGCGGTGGACTTTGTAGATTTCTGAATGGCCTGCATCTCTCTCTAAAATTTTCAGTGTATGTCATTGTTCTGGTTTCTATTGCTGTTAAAAAACAAAACAAACAAACAAACAAAAAACCCACTGACTAAAAACAACTAGGAGAGGTGTGCTGGCTACTTTTATGTCAACTTAACATAAGCTAAAGTAATCTAAGAGGAGGGAACCTCCATTAAGAATATGCCCCAGCTAAACCGTGTGTTGCACACCTCTAATCCCAGCACTTGGGAGGCAAAGACAGCCTGGTCTATAGGGCACGTTCCAGGACAGCCAGGACTACACAGAGAAACCTTGTCTTGAGAAAAAAAGAAAAAAGTAGGTGAAAGTGAGCAAGCCTTGCCAAGCCAGTAAACCCCACCCCTCCATGACCTCTGCATCAGCTCCTGCCTCCAGGCTCCGGCTCTGCTAGAGTTCCTGCCCTGCCCTGACTTCCTTCCATGATGGACTTGGAAGCGTAAACCAAACCCTTTCCTCCACAACGTGCTTTGGTCATGGTGTTTCATCACAGCAACAGCAACCCTAAGACAGGAAGAAAGTGTTGCAATGACTTACACGACCTGCTCACAGACCATCACTGAGAGAAGCCAGGGCAGGAACCGAAACCAAGCAGGGCAGGAACACCACTTACTGGCTGGATCTCCATGACACCGCCCCCAGTAGGCTGGGTTGGGCCCTCCCACATCAATCGCTAATCAAGGAGATGCCCTATATCCTTACCCACAGTCCAATCGGATGGAGGTAATGCCCCAAGGGGGGTTCCTTCTTCCCAGACGTTCGTATCAAATGGACAAAACGATTATTGATCCCCCACAATATTTTAGACAATCATTTGCAACTTTTTTTTTTTTTTTTTTTTTGGTTTTTACGAGACAGGGTTTCTCTGTTTTGGAGGCTGTCGGTCCAGCCTGGCCTCGAACTCACAGAGATCCGCCTGCCTCTGCCTCCCGAGTGCTGTGATTAAAGGCGTGCGCCACCAACGCCCGGCCAATCATTTGCAACTTAAGATAACTGAGAATAAAATTTTCTATGTGAAAGTTAAAACATACCATTAAGTATTTCCTTCCGTTACAGTTGCATTTTTAAAATGTTTTTGAGCTGATTCTTTTGTCCTGCAGTTTGTGAAGCTACATTGTAGCTAGCATAAGGGTGACTCAGAGTAGAGTTAGCAAACCCAGGGCCAAGGCTCAACTGTAGCACCGTTCACCGGGAAAGAGTATACTGATTTTATGCTTTAAATTTTTATCAGGTTTCCGTTTTGTTTTGTTTTGTTTGAGACAAGGGTTCATATAGACCGGGCTGACCTCAGATTCGGAGACCTACCTGCTTCTGCCCCTCATGAGTCACATGCCTGCCTGGCTTTGTGTTTTAAATGTAATACAGTTGGCATTAGTAATAAAACTTTTAAATTCAAGCATCTTATTTAACATACTTACAACTGCCTTTGAGTTTATCGTTTTTTTTTTTTGTTGTTGTTGTTGTTTTTTTGTTTGTTTTTTTTTTTTTTTTTTTTTTTTTTTTTGGTTTTTCGAGACAGGGTTTCCCTGTGGCTTTGGAGGCTGTCCTGGAACTCACTCTGTAGACCAGGCTGGTCTCGAACTCATAGTGATCCGCCTGCCTCTGCCTCCCAAGTGCTGGGATTAAAGGCGTGCGCCACCAACGCCCGGCGAGTTTATCGTTTTTAACTAAAGGGAACAGGAATAAAGTAACTGTTCGAAGATTAATTATTTTGGAATTTTGTACTTTTTGCTTTAGACCCAAGCAAGAGATCAAAACAACACTGAGGACTTAAGAGACACTAATGGAGTTGTGACATTAGACCAGATGGAACTCAGAATTAAAAACTTGGAATCTCTCCATGAAGGAGGGGTACGAGAGCCTGAGCACCACTATGCCGAAGAGAGCGGCATGATTCCGCCGTTGAGAACAGAGCTGGGCGAGCAAGCCAAATGGAGCCCCCGGAAATAGCAGACGACAGACTCGGAGTCAGAAAATGAGTGTGCACTTGAACACACTCAGGGAGGCTCTTGCTTCTTCCCCTTTTACGTTAGATCTCTGTGGCCTTTGCCCCCTAATGCTCTCATGTAGCTAACGTGATTCATTAGTCTTTTAGATTAGTATTCTAAAGCTCTAAATCAGGCATTTATATTCTTATTAAACTACTTTGTGCCACTTTATTAAATAGAAATCTTAACATGTGTAACTAATTTGGGGAGTATTACAACTTGACGGGCAGTGGAGAGGGGGTAATGACAAACCCCCGGGCATGTTCTGGCATGGGGCTGACTTTCCTGGATTGGGATCCCTGTTGACAAACCGTCATTGACAGGTTTCCTAGGTGGTATAAAGACACAGTCATGACAAGAAGGAAGCACATAAATGAAGGGAAAAGTGACCCATAAATCAGCAAAGCGACTGCATGCTCAGTGTAAAGGGGTGTGACCTCGGAAAGGACAGGCCCACCCTGGATGGCTTGGATTAAATGTCACAATAACCGACTCAGGAGCAACTCTCACTCCCTCTGATCTTCAAATCTGTCTCCCCCCCCCCCCCAGAGACTGCTCCTGTCAGTCATCCCTCAGTGTTAAATATTTACTTTGGTGGGGCAGTGGTGGCGCACACCTTTAATCCCAGCACTCAAGAGGCAGAGGCAGGCAGAGCTCTGTGAGTTCGAGACCTACATAGTCTACAAGAGTGAGTTCCAGGACAGCCTCCAAAGCTACAGAGAAACCCTGTCTCGAAAAACAAACAAAAATTCCTAATAGAAATATTTTCATAGCATCATCAATATTTTAATTTAATTTTGTTAATTATGTGTACATGTGTGGGTATGTGCACATGAGTACAGGTATTGGCAGAGGCCAGAGGAGTCAGATTCCCCTGAGCTGGAGTTACAATTGGCTGTGAACACTCAATGTGGATGGTAAGAATTGGACTCGAGTCCACTGGAAGAGCAGTGTGTGGTCTTAACTTAAGAGCCATCTCTCCAGCCCCATCTTCAAGAATGTTGTCGGTGGATCCCTTCCTTCCAGAAGGCACAGTGCTACCTTCCTGTTAAGTCATCTGTATAGCTTTGTTAGAGTCACTTGTTAGCTCAGAATCCCTCTAGAAATGTTTAAAGTAATTTTAAATCTATAATTGTGTGCAGTGGCATTTTCACCTTTAAGGAGCTGTCTAAATGGGAATTCTGTTTAATTATATGAGCCCTTTTAAGACACTTTTCACTGGGGAGGAAATAGCTTCTGAAGTGTGCGGTCTTCATGGGACTAGAGAGAGACAAGAGGCGACCAGTTCGCACCCTCCACCGGTGGGCTTACCAGCAGGAGAGGGTTTAACCAGGTATCGAGGAGAAACCTGTCCCACCTGCCCTTATAATGAGCAGTTTTGTCACGATGTTGCTATGGAGTTTGTGAGCCCTAGGAAAAGACTGTAGACTCAGTCCAATTACAGTTAAAAGATTGACTGATTAGCTGCTAGCAAGATGACAGCCAAAGCTGAATCTTGGGCGTGTCATGAAGGAGGGGTTTGGGGGAGGTTGCTTAAGGCAAAACCACCCTAAGACCTTCAAGCAAGCAAAAGCTGGTCTCTTCCACCAAGTATAAGTGGCTAAGGCATCTCAAAATAATCTTTGGGTATTTGTGTAAGAATGCTATAGAAACCAAAAAAGCATTTAGTCATAACAAGTAAAATGGTCATGGCTGGACATTTTTGGGTGGAGGTCACTGAGTCAGGGTTGCCGGGAACTTATCTTCCAGGGACTGGAGTCAGATGACTGGCTGGTACCACAGTGGATGCCTGGCATAAAGTGCATTTCCTTTGGCCATCACAGTCCCATAGGAATCAAATCATTGTTTCACATTTATGTAGAGCTAAAGGTTGATATACTGTGTTGAGTATACATGTAATATATGTGTGTAACGTTTTTATATTTAAGTAGCCAGTTCATAATACAAGAGCCAATACAAAATAAATTGCATGGTTTTTTTTGCATGTGCTTTTTTTAAAATTGTTTTCTTATTATAGTGTTTTGGATTTTTTTCTTTAGAAAGAGAATATATAATTGGGTGAATTAGGAGGAGGGAGAAGATCTGAGAGCAATTGGGAAAGGAGAAAGAATATGATCAAATATTTTTTAAAAATTACCAATATATAAAGTACACTTTTTTTTCCAAGCCAAGCTGATCCAGCTTTTTTTTTTTTTTTTTTTCATTTTTCAAGTCAGGGTTTCTCTGTGGCTTTGGAGCCTGTCCTGGAACTCACGCTTGTAGACCAGGCTGGTCTCGAACTCATGGAGATCCGCCTGCCTCTGCCTCCCTAGTGCTGGAATTAAAGGCGTGCGCCACCAACGCCCGGCTTTATTAAAGAGACTTTCCTTAAGCAATCATGGTATTTCAGATAGGACACGGGTAGACAATCAGTAACAGTTTACAAGAACTTCTAAACTCCCTTCTTGTATGGACTACCAAAATCAAAAAGCCACTATAAAACCCAGCCTTCATTCAATGCTTTGGAAAGGGAAGAGCTTAGAGTGAGGGTTAGCATTTCACATTAAGGATGTTGTTTATCAACTTTCACAAGCCGACATTGACTTTCAGGAATCGAAATGAAAACGGCAGAAATATCAACCTGAAGATCCACAATCTTGTATATAAAAGGAACGCTGCTGTTTTGAGGATATCATTTTCACTGCAGATTGCCCAATAGACCAGCAAAACTCAATTTTAGGGGGTCGGGTTCCAACAGGTCTCTGGTTTTAAGGGAGTTAAGTCTATGTTGATGGTACAGGGGGAAGAGGATATAAAGATGAATTTAGAGTTTTCCCACACAAGGCGTCTGTGCCATGGTGGCCACATATTTCAACAACAGGATGTCTCTCCTGAGCCAAGATGAGACTTTCTAAATTGTCAGGGAAAGATGTTTTCCTTCACCATCATCAATCCAGCTTAGGAGACATTTTGTTACTGACAAATAACCCCCCACAAAAAATGAAGTGTTCTGTGTGCCAACAACATAGCTTTAAAAAAAAAAAGTAAAACAAAATCCTGCATTTTTATAAAACTTGATAAAAATAGTATTTCAAACTGCAGTCACCGGAAGTACACAGTTATCAAAAATGCACACACTTCACGTGGCATCTCCGGAACCTTCAGCTTTTTGTGCCTGGTCTGTGGCGTCTCCACTGTCTGCAGGGTTATCTGCCAGCATCCGCTTTCCCCTCCTTCCCCTTGGGTACCTTCTCTCCCTTCTCTGCAGGGGCCTTGTTAGACTTGGGCTCTGGCTTTGGAGGAGCAGGTGTAGCAGACAACCTTGCAGATTCTCTGTGGCTTGTCCTTCACCTTGGCCCTATCTCCTTTAGTATCCCCTTCAGGCTTTCTTTGGGGCATGGCGGGAGTGGTTCTCACTGCTTTTTTACACTACTCCTATAAAACACACTTTTTCAAAAAGTGTTTGCTGCTCTTCCAGAGGATCCCAGCACCCGTATCTGGTGGTTACAGTGTATGTAACTCCAGTTCCCAGGGAGCTATCACCTACTTCTGGTCTCCACAAGTATCTTCATGCACGTGTGCACATGTGCAGACATATATGCATACACAGAAATAAAAAGTAATGTAAAAATATTTTAAAGAAATCATGTTAACTTTATTCATAAATGCATATCAAGTGATATAACTTACAGTGAAATTTGATTCAAGGATATGAATATTACTACCTCTAACAGTATAATGCATGATGCTTTAGGTTGGTGTCTTTAAGTTGGCTGTGATTCATAACAATTTTAGAATTTTCCTGCAACATGAAAGGGTTGACACCCCAGTCAGAAGTGAATGACTCACAACCAAACAGATAACCACACATAGTTTTAAGTGAAAATGATATAAATATTATTTGAAATTAAAAAAACCCACAAAACTAGATTCTTTTTAAGCTCATTTTTCAGTTTCCTAAATACAAGTATCTCATCAATTATTTTACTGCAACTTTATCTTATTTTGTAATTATTGCTGTACACACTGTTGATGTAGTGGAATTTGGATAGCCAAGTTAACATATGTTTGAATTTTATCTATAATTGTACAAACAGGTGAGGTACAGTATGACATGATCATATATCCATACAACTTTGCCATTCTGACAATATCCACACCTATATTAACCTCTTCATACCTCCTCCTCGTCCTTTTCAAAACCCTTCTACATCCTTAATAGTCCTTTACTGTCCTACACACACACTCAAACACACACATGCACTTAAACCTCACACTTGAAATAAAATTTTTAATGCATATATTTGTGATGTAACTTATTTCACTTAACAAAAGTCTCTCAGTCTGTTTTTTTCTGTTTTCCTGCAAAAAAAAATATATTACCATGGTTTCATTTTTCTTTCTGGAAAAGTAAACTTTTATCATGCATATACATAGTATTTTGTTACCAATTAATCTGTTGAGAGGTGCCTGGGCCAATTCTGTGTCTTGAGTCCTATGACTGGCGCCACTGCAGACAGATGCAAACAAGTATCTGTACTGTTAGCTTTTATTACTTTTAGTGCACACCCTGAAGAGGCACAGCTGTATCTGCCGACAGTTCTAGATTCGGTCGGTCGGTCAGTCAGTCAGTCACATGAGTATTGATGCTTTGCCTGTGTGTGTGTGTCCACAGAGGGAACGGAGAGGCTTTAGATCCTTGGGACTGGCTGTGAGCCACCTTGTAAGTGCTGGGAATTGAAACTGGGCTCTCTGCAAGTGCAGCCAGTGCTCTTAACCAATAAACCACAACTCCAGCTCTAGTTACTATTGTATAACATGCAATAATGAAATATATAGGGTACTCCATGCTAATTTGCATGGAAGTACATTCCCCCAAGGATTTAGAAGGGTTATTTTTTTCTGCTTCCTCACCAACAAATACTTTTATAGTTGTTTATCGATGCTAGCCATTCTGAATGCGGAGAATTGGATTTTCAATGTAGCTCTGATTTGCATTTCCCTAGTGAATGAGAATAGTGGACATTTCTTCTTGTATTTGCTGGCAATTTCTACATCCTCACCTGAAGTTTCTGATTGTTTTACGCGTATGTCTATTAGAATGTTTGCTCTTTGAGCATTTAAGTTTTTGACTTATTTATATGTACTGTATCCCAATCCTCTGCTGCATATCTGGAAGATATTTCTTTTATTCTATACATCTTCAGGCTGCCAGTCCTTTGCTGTGTGGGAGCTTTTAAATTTTACACAAGCCAGGCAGAGGTGGCACACGCCTTTAATCCCAGCACGCAAGAGGCAGAGGCAAGCCGATCACTGTGAATTTGAGGCCAATCTGGTCTACTGGATGAGTTCCTGGACAGCCTCCAAAGCTACAGAGAAACCCGGTCTCCAAAGACAAAAAAAAAAAAGAAAGAAAGTATAAATTTTACACGGTCTGGTTGGGTGATTCTTACTGCTCTTTCCTGAGATCTTAAACCCATGCAGAACAGCACTACCTCTTCTCTACCCTGAAGTCTCCCACAGTTGCCACAGTTCCAGTCTAGTCTGTTTTGAGATGCATTTGTGTATCGTGGATCACAGGAATGTCATCTTAGTCTAGTCTGTTTTGAGATGCATTTGTGTATCGTGGATCACAGGAATGTCATCTTAGTCTAGTCTGTTTGAGATGCATTTGTGTATCGTGGATCACAGGAATGTCATCTTAGTCTTGTGTGTATTCACTTCCCCCTCACACTTGCTGCCTCTTCCCAACATGTGTGTTTCAGGCAGCTTTGTTGAGACTCTAACAGCTGTATTGCTGTGGGCTAACATCTGGTTTCCATTCCAATGGTCTACATATCTGTTTTCTGTGCCAGTATCATGCTGATTTTTTGTTTTGTTTTGTTTCTTACCATGGTTCTGAGCTGCAGCTTGAAGTCAGGTGATTATTCTGACATGGCTGTTTTTGCTCATTCATAAAATTAAGTGTCCTTTGCTGTCATTTGGATGACATTTTCCTAAGATGGCAATAACATCCAGGCTCTTTAAATACCAGCTTCAGCAAACAGCATCAGCTACTCAAAACCTCATGTCACTTTAACTCCAGGAAATCCTCTGGTCTCTGCAGGCAACCAAGCATGTGTGTGTACACACACACACACACACACACACACACACACACACACACACACACACACACACACACAATCAAAAATAAGATTTTTTTTTTGGTTTTTCGAGAAAAGGTTTCTCCATTGTTTTGGAGGCTGTCTTGGAACTCGCTCTTGTAGACCAGGCTGGCCTTAAACTCAGAGATTCACCTGCCTCTGCCTCCCGAGTGCTGGGATTAAAGGCGTGTGTCACCAACGCCCTGCAAGATTTTTTAAAAGAATGTAAAATCTCAGATGACATTTAAATTCTGAATCCCAGGTGTAGAAGCCAGATTCCTTCGCCCTCTTTTGCAGATGGCCCTTATAGTGAAACCAGAGTTCCGTCTGTGCCTCCTGTGACAGCGCAGGCCAAGAACTGTCTTTGGGTTGCACTTTATTGAGAGGGCTGGCGATCCCGGCAGTGGGGTTGCTGCCTTCCCCAGCCCATCCTCGTGGTGCATTTTATAGAGAACCAGAACAAAGACAATAAAGTTGCGTGCTGTCCCTCTGGCCCTCCCTTCATTGCAGTTGTTGGAACACCGGCCAAGAATGGAGTCACGTGAGGGGAATCCTGAGTCTTGTGACCTGTTTCTTCAAAACACAGAACTGTTCCTGGAATGTGTTTTCATGCTCCTCCCAGGTGTAGCAGACAGCAGTGAGTTTGTTTCAACTGTTGTTGTTCCTGTGCCTCTATGGAAACATGTTTTTGCCATGTGCAGCTTGTCCTTGTGATTACATAGTTCACTCGGGTGACTCTGCTTAACCCTCGGAGTATAAATCGTCTGATGCTCTGAATAAAGTGGGCTACTGCATGAAACTTTAGTCAGCCTCTCCCAGACCCGCTCTCCTAGGTTCACACTGCCAACCACAGTGGTAAGCAATTGTCTTCCTGTGTACAGCAGGGCGGGGTGTGCTCACACCCAAGCCACTGAGGCTCACATTTCTCCTGCAGATGCTGCTGACATCTAGAATGAAGGCTGACTCAGAGCAAGCAGGTTGCTAGCAGTGTATACTTGCTGAGCTGCCCAGTGTGCACATGTAAACTCTTGTCTGCAGAGCAAAACACAAATATGTTCTTATGACAAAGAATAGAGGGTGCTCCTATTTGTCCCCAATACCACACCAGTACACACAAAACATGCAACAATAATGGTAGACACTAAGCCCAGCTATGGTGGCACACCTCTTAGTCCCAGGACTCCAGAGAAAGTGGCAGGCAGATCTTGGTGAATCCAAGGCCAGCCTGGTCTACAGAGCAAGTTCCAGGACAGCCAAGGCTACATAGAGAAGGCCTGTCTTGAAACCCTGCCTTAGGCAAGATTCAACAGCCTGGAGCCTCCTCCTGCATCTGCTGTGTCCCCAGCTTTTGCTGTCTGTGAAGTGCATATCTCTAAGTGCCTCTTGAAGCTTCAAGTGACCCTGAATGACTCCACAGCTGTAAACTCCTCATCCACTCACACCCAAGGAAGAACTGCTTTTCTCATCATCCTTCTAGAATCTGTCTTAACATCTTCAAAGCAGATGCAATAAACGCATTTACTCTGTTCTCCATGAGGAAATGATGCTTTCCGACAGGGAGTAAGGGAATCTCAGAGCCAGGTGTGTGGCTTTAATTCCAGTACTAGGGAAGCAGAGGCAGGAGGACCTGTTAGTTCAAGGCCAGTCAGGGATATATATTTGAAATTCTGTCTCAAAAAAACAATTAAAAATGAATGTTCCCTCAGGCTCGTACATAACCCTGTACGCTACTGTCAGCACACTGGGTCCCATTCCCCAGGACATAGTGGAAGCACAGCTATTTGATATTTAGTAGACTTGCCCAGACCTTACACTTCCCTTAAGGTCCCAAGGAAAAAGGACCCAGAGCTAGAGCCTCTTAGGTGGTGTTCGGGGTTTGGGAGTTTTGCCCCCACTGTAAAAACCTGTTCATTAAGAACAGCAGAGGCTGTTGGGTAAGTGGACCTTTTCATTTGGATAGAAAACAAGCCTAGGGCAAACCCCTGCACAGCAGTCAGTGAAGTGCAGCCCTTTACCGGAGTTCCCCGAAAACCCTGAAGTTGCTCCAAGTTGCTCAGGTCCCCCAAAAGATGACTGCTGCTAAGAACTGTCACGGAGGACCCAGTTCAGTTCTCAGCACTGGTCAGAACCAGCTGTATCAGGGTTCCAGACAGGGTCCCCGGAAGAGGACTGGGGCCAAAAAAAAAGGGGGGGATAACAGGAGTCAAAAGCTGGGGTCAGGAGAGCTACCAGAGACACAGCTCTTCATACCGCACTCGGGGAAGCAGAAGACAAGTCAGAAAAGAGCATGACAGGACTAGAGCTCGGACAGGTCAGGTCCCCTCAGCAAGGGCCACTGTGGGCAGCATGGGGCACTCCACACCTGTGTCTCACGTCTGACCATACACAGTGGGAAATGTCAAGTTCCAGTCCCCACACTACCACCCCCCAGACCCTGGCACCAGTCCACAGCCTGCCTTGTCAAGCACCACCCTCCAGGGTGAGGGACAAAACGCCTACATCCCAACATCAGGGCCGCCAGGGAGTCTCCAGTCCAGTCTAGACCCCAACACAGCGCCCACACTGGGCAGCTCAGTCACCTGGAACTCCAGCTCCAGGAAGAGCCGATGCTGTCCACTCACGTGTACACACACAGACACACCAATCCACATGTAATTACAATCTTTAGAAGACACAGAAGGGTCTTTATTCAACAGCAGCTTGGAGCAGACACCTCCATCCTGAGAGCAGACATTTCCCCTTGATCCATTTCTCTTCTCTCGGCCTTTGCAGGCTGTCGCTTGATGAAGAAAGAGCATTATATGTACTTGTACACGACCTTGGAGGGCACAGTCTGCAGGTGGAGTCGCACAGGACACTTGTAGAAGTGTGACAACAGAGTCTCACTGTAGCCCACAAGAAAGTAGAATTTGTGTGCTGGCAGCTGCCTCAAGACCACGGCACAGATGTCCACCTGGTTGGCCCGGCGCTTCAGAACGATCTGGTCAGCCAGGCAGCCTGGAAAGGTGCCCAGCATGAACTTTCGAAGGAAAACATCTTCCAGTGTTCTCTCTGCAGCATGATCTTCTCCATCCAGGTTACCTAAGACGGCGCCAGAGAAGAGTCAGCCAAGGGAGCTGTGCAGACACAGACATCACATTCTACACAACTGGACTCAGTTTATCCCTTGCCCACAGCCATTTCCCTTTTCTTCTGAAGTAAGACTAACATCTTAAACGTCAAAGCACAAGGATCCCAGGATGGCTCAGCAGGTACAAATGCTTGCTCTCAGTGAAAGTCTACAGACTTTCAATGCTGTGGCTGCCTTTGAGTCCCTCTGCTCTCATGAAGTGTACCCTCATTAGTCACCTCCCTCCCACAAAACAGCCAGATGCAATCGCACACATCCATAAGCCTAGCACTCTTACAGCAAGATGACAGGTGGAGATGAGACCTGCCCAGGAAGCTGGCAAACAGATGCCTGGAGTACAGACCTCAGCAGACACAAAATGCAAAGAGGTGACTGGCTCCTGGAAGTGTCCTCTGACCTCCACGGGCGTGCCATGACACACGTACGTGCACTTGCACACATACAAATTTAAATAAACTCAAAGCACCCATTATTTCCCCAATCAATCCTTTGACGTCAGTACTCATTCTACAAAAGGCTGAGGTGAGCTAGAGCACAGAGTTGAGAACAACCTCCATCTACAGTTAGCCTCCTTTCCATCTTCCTCAATTGCACAAGTAATCCCATGGGCTAAACTTGTTAGGGACCAGGTCTCAGTAAATCGCTATTTCTCGGCCCAAGGCCATTTCTCAGATCTCAGGGACCTTCCCGCAGATGAGCCTGGCATCGCCATAGAGATAATCCACCGTTTAACAATGCTTCCTTAAGGGCTGGAAAGATGGCTCAGAGGTTAAGAGCACTGACTGCTCTTCCAGAGGTCCTGAGTTCAATTCCCAGCACCATATGTTGGCTCCCAACCATATACAATGAGATCTGGTGCCCTCTTCTGGCATCCAAGGCTGAATGCTCTATATATAATAATAATAATAATAATAATAATAATAATAATAATAATAATAATAATAATAATAATAATAATAAAACAATGCTTCCTTAAGGACACCCTGCACTCCCTGCTCATCAAATCAAACACTTCTTGCCTCTGACAGTCCCCTGCCCCACTCATCAGCACCTCGTGTCTAACAACCTCCTGCATTCCTCTGCCCCATCCCATGTCAAGTTCCCATGTATCAGCTTGTACGAAACCCTCAATAAACTGAGCTTGATCAGCCAGCTTGTCTTGTGCCCATTCTCTGCATCTCCTGTCCCTCACTTGTCTCCCCAGGATAGCCCACGTTGACTTGGCATCGCGGGTAGGGGCACAAACTGATGAGGCCACTTCCCACGTCTGACACTAGGTTTATTAGGGCCTCTGCTTCCACCTGCAGATGGATTCCCAGTATGCCCCTAGGTACCCACAGCCATGTGGCATATTTTCAGAGACTTTGACTTCAGGAACCCAAAGCTGCATATCTTACATCTTTTGGGGGATGGAAGGGGCTGAGCACTGAACCAGGAACCTGTATTTTCAATGCACATCCTACTGAATGTTCCCGTGAGAACGCTCATGCTGAACAATACAGATTCTCATTGGTTCACAATAGTTATGTCCCACATTGGTACACACTAACCTAGTAAGTTCTGAGTCACTACCCCAGTGGTAACTCGTAGCAAGGTTTGTGCATTTTCTCCATAAGGCGTATCAGTCTTCGTGAACTCACAAGAACATCAGACAGCATTTCAGGGCCACTCAAAGTGCCATGTCCCCAACATATGGCACAGTAATGTTTGAAACATGGCTCTAGACTACCAAGAGGGCACATCTGACATCATACACTCGTTCCACCTCCAGCGGGAACCACATCCCTGAGTGCCCTTGAATGACTGTGAGGTTACAGATACATTTAATCTGCGTAAGCAAATGCAAGGGCTGACCAGCTGGGCAGACAGCTCATTGGGTGTACTGTCTACCAGCATAAACCCTGAGCTCGGATACCCCGCACTCACAGGACGCCACACACTGGGCACCAGCAACTATAATCCCCGTGCTCCTACCACGAGATGGAGGACAGCGGCAGGAGGGTCCCCAGAAACTTGCATGCCAACCTGCCTGGCATACACAGATGGTGACAACAAAGAAACCTGTCTCAAGCAAGGTGAAGGCAAGGACTGGCCTGTGGGTGTCCTGGTTCACATGCATGCAGTGTCATACACTGCAGTCACACATGAATATGTACATGTAAATACAGTATAGATATTTTACACATGAATACCATACACGCAGACACAGACACACGCACACACACCATGCATACAGAAATGTAAACGAATAAAAAAAATAAACAGGGAGTATCTCAGTGAGTGAGTTCCAGGACATCCAGGGCTCAAAAAACCAAAAAGGAAGGAGAGGAAGAGAAAACAGAAGTCTGCAAATACGGGTTCTGAGTAACCAGGACTACTGTCTGTGGCACATCTGTGCTGAGTCCACGCTTTGGTGAATGCTGCATTATTTGGGGCACTCTCTCCCAGATCTAGTAGTCTATGTAGACTTCACTACCTCTGAGTCATTACACATCTCTGTGAATTATGACCAACCACAGCAATGTCAGCTCTCACAGAACAAGGAATGTTCGGATTCCTTTCAACATCCTGATCTGTGGTATCACTGTAATGTATTTGGGTGTGCTCCCTCGATGGACGAGTGGAGGGAACCTGAGGTTAACTCGCAGTTTCCATTTATTTATTTATTTTTGGCAAAGCAGCTGCTCCTTCAAGACTGGCTGGCCTGTCTCCACCCTTGCACCTCTGAGCAGTGCTTACAGCCCCATCAGGTTTTCTTTGGGGAGTTGGGGCGGGTCCTCATGTGTAAGCAACATTACACTATACTAATCTTTATTCATCTTTCCAGTCCCATAACTAGATTTGTTTATTTATTTGTTTATTTGCGACAAGGTCTCACTACCTAACCCTGGCTGGCCTCATGCATAAGCGACACTGCACTTTACTAATCTTTATTCATCATCCAGCCCATGACTAGATGTCATTCATTCATTATTCATTCCTTTGCGACAAGGTCTCCCTATGTAAGCCTGGTTGGCCTTAGACTCGAGATCTGACTGGGTGGTGGTCCTTCCCGGGTGCCCTCACCTGTATGCAGCGACAGCCAGCCCTTCCGGTGCGCGATGTGGTGCGGGGCGTGAGCCTCCTCGTAGCTCACCGGCTTGTCCCCCTTGGCCACACGGACTCGAGCCGCCCGGTTCTAGGAGCAAAGGGGCCGTCGTTGGGCAGGCGCCCCCCCCAGCGGCTCTCCATCCTCCCCGAGGCTCCCCCAGCCGCCCCCAGCAGCTCTCCATCCTCCCCCAGCCGCCCCCCAGCTGTCCCCCGCCCCAGCTCGCGGGGCGGCCCGCGGCACTCACCTTGGCGCAGACCGGGGAGGTGTGCAGGGCGCGCCAGGCGCAAGGCAGCTCTCGGCTGCACGCCAGCACCTGCGGAGAGACCGGGAGCGAGCGGACCCCGGGCGGCACCCCCAGCCCTCCCGCACGCAGCCGGCTCACCCGCACCCCTAGGCTGCGGACGGACGCGGACAACGCCATATTGGACCGGAACGGCTCAACGCGCAGCCGCAGGGAGGAGGAGCCACATGGCAAGAACCAATAGGAACCCGGGCAGGGGGCGTGGCGTGGAGAGGACAGGGCGTGACGTGGGCGGGTGTGTGGGTGCTCCGCTAATTTCCCTGGTGCTGCCAGCTAGTCCGCGGTGGTGCCAGGTGTTGGATTTTAAATGGGAAAATTTGATATGAAACTTGAGGTTTGCCGGGTGGTGGCGCACGCCTTTAACCTCAGCACTGGGGCGGCAGGCAGATCTCTGTGAGTTCCAGACCAGCCTGGTCTACAGAGCGAGTTTCAGGACAGCCAAGAAACACAAAGAAACCCTGTGTCAAAAAGCAAACAACCAAAGTATGAGGTTTTTACCCTCAAGAAGCTGGTGATAGGAGAGGCTTCGCGTCCTGTAGAGAACTGAGAAAACGCCCTTAGACCCCTCCCTGCCGTTGCTAGTACTCCCACCTGAACCAGCGGGTTTTTTGTTTGTTTTTGTTTTTTTGTTTTTGTTTTTTTGGTTGGTTGGTTGTTTTTTGTTTTGCCTGAAACTCCAGCATCAGCCTCCCTAGGGCTGGGAATACAGTCTTTGACCTTCATCTGAGCAGATCCCAGAGAAGAAACTGCTGGGCTGGCTCCTAATCTTTTAAAAGAAGAGGAAAAGGGGGCGGTGTATTGAGGATGTATCTCAGTGGTAGAGCCAGTCAAGAAAGAAAATTTGTAAATGGCAAGGATATTTACGAGGCTATGGCAGGGCCTGCTAATGCTCAAGCTAGAGCGATGCCCATGTAATTGGTATCCAGGAATTATTAAAGGCAGGGGATGGGGGAGGGAATAACAGACGGGTGCCTTCAGAAGCGAACTCCTATTAAATAGCACCTTCAAGGCACCCTTTCCAGCCTGGCGTGGTGATACACGCCTTTAATCCCAGCACTCAAGAGGCAAAAGCAGCAAATTTCTGAGTTCAAGGCCCATCTGGTCTACAGAGAGAAACCCTGTCTAAACCGAAGAAGAAAAAAGTGCCCTTTCCTTTATTACAAATAAAGACGTATGAAAAGGGCTGAGTGAGCCTGAAGCACTCTTATCCAAACAAAACCTTAGATTTTTAAGCTTATGAGCCATGACTTTTAGCTAACCACACCCATACATGTCTACCATTTTTCCTTCTTAAATTAGGACTTTAAAATAGGAGTGGTCATGAGCACTTTTAATCTCAGCACTGGAAGGCAGAGAAGCAAGTGGATTGTTCATGAGTTCAAGGCCAGGATAGTCTACAAATGGAGCTCCAGGCCAGCCAGGGCTATACAGTAAGGTCCTGTCTCAAAAACAAACTAAAAGAGCATGATCAGGAATGCACTCAACTGGTTAAACTTACAACTAAGCCAACTCCTATACAAATGTGCACAGGTTCTCTGGGTAAAGCCTCATGCCTTCCTTGTTCAAGGGCAGTGCTTTGGAAACAGTTCCGATGCTACCTTGTCTACTGCAGGTAATGTTTTAAAGACAGGTCTCATGTCGCCCATACTGGACTGGAACTCAATGTGTATCAGAAACTATCCTTGAGCACCTGAGCCTCTGGCCTCCACCATCCAACTGCTGAGGTGTCAAGCACCTTGTCTGGCCACAGGTAACAAATCCTCCTCTACTCTTAGGTCTTGGCTACATTTATTTTGACTTTGCACTCGCCAAACATGTTACATTTGTACAGCGGACCGGTTCCGTTATGTAGGAATGGAACATCCCACCCACAGGGCTAGTGAGATGGTTCAGCTGATTAAGCACTGGCTGCCCAAGCCTGTTGCCCTGGCTTCTATCCCCAGAGCCCTTGTAAAGGTGGAAGGAGAGGACCAGAGGACCTCACCATGGTGGTACCAATGAGAATAGCCCCACTAGGCTCCAGTCCCCAGGGAGTACAATTGTTGGGGAAGGATTAGGCGGTGTGGCCTTATTTATGAAGATACCTCACTAGGAGTGGGCTTAGGGGTTTCAAAATCCCACACCAGGCCGGGGCGTTGGTGGCGCACACCTTTAATCCCAGCACTCAGGAGGCAGAGCCAGGTGGATCTCTGTGAGTTCGAGGCCAGTCTGGTGTACAAGAGCGAGTTCCAGGTCAGGCTCCAAAGCATTACAGAGAAACCCTGTCAAAACAAAACAAAAACCCACACCAGTCTCCCCCACTCCAGCCTGCAACTTGGGGATCAGATGTAAGTTCCCAGCTACTTCTCCAGCACATGCCTGCACCTGTCTGCCTGCTTCCCCACCATGATGACAACTAGACCTCTGAAACTGTAAGCAAAGCCCCGATTAAGTGCTTTCTTTTATAAGAACTGCCTTGGTCATGGTCTCCACAGTAATAGAACTAATATACCCCCCAACAAAGTTCCACCTGCACCCTTGAATTCACACACACACACACACACACACATTAAAAAAAAATAACCACTTCTTTGAGGTGTTAGGATGAGGAAGGCTTTTAATAGTCAGGCATAGTGACTCACTCCTATAACCCCAGGACTTGAGAGGCTGAAGCAGGAGGACCCCTTTGAGTTCGAGGTCATCCTCATGTGACAGCTGGTATTGGAGCTGCCAACATTTGGCTATTTGGGATATATATGGGTCACCTGGTGGTATTTCCTGAGGGAAAAAGCTTAGACCTATGGGGTGGGAACTGGAAGCAGGTAGGTGGGTAGTGTCTGTGATGACAATGAGGCAGAAGCAGCGAGACAAGTCTATTGGCTCCCATCTGTGTTTTGAGGTTAAAATTTCTTTGAATCTGGATCATTTATCTGGAAGTCACTGGGAGTGTTTTATTCTTAATTTTTTTAGACTACAGCCTTGAAATGTTCCAAATATTGGATAAGGGGACTTACAGGGATGTGTCCTTTTTCAAAAATCTACAATTGCTTGGGAATGTAAAATCTTGTAATTTTTCCTAAATAATTTTAAGCTTTATGTGAACTTCTTAAAGTTCACATAAAATGTGATGATTTTAGATTGACAAATATAAACTGGCTCCAACATGGAGAGACGGTATCCAGCATCTGAACTATCCAGATCCAAATTTGAGCCCACTTCCTAGCTGTGTAACATCAGCAGGGACAACCTCCCTTTGCCCAAGCTTGCTAATATGTAAAATGGGGTCAATGATGGTGACTCTGGGGTTAAGGGTGTAGCTCTGTAGCAGAGCACAAGTGTACAGCTTTGGGCTCCACACCCAGCACTTGAAAAAAGGTGGATGACTAGGCAGTAAAGAGCACTGGCTGCTCTTCCAGAGGACCCGGGTTCAATTCCCAGCACCCACAGGGCGGCTCACAACTGTCTGTAACTCCAGATCTGGGGGATCTGACACTCTCAAACAGACAGACATGTAGGCAAAACACCAATGCACATAAAATAGAAAAAATAAAAATGTGAAAACTAATACCATATTCCCACAGTGAGAAATTACATATCATCTGGGTTTGTTTGGCTGGTTGGTTGGGGCCTTATTGTTTCTTTTGTTTGTTCTTGTTTTATTGGTCCTCTGAAGCAGAGAGAAGAGAAAAACAGCCGTGGGCTACCCTCTAGTCTCTTAAAGGTGAAATGACAGTCAGAAACTCCTCCCAGGTGGCAGCAGGTAGGGCTAGCAACATGAGGAAGGCGTGAAGACTGCTGTTTGTGTCAACTGTGTTCTCACCATTGAAGCCCCGTTATGCTGGGGCTTCCTCAGTCACTCAGCACTAGAGTACCTGAAGCATGGAGCTTCAGCTTGCTTCAGGAGTCCTGTCTTCCTCTTACTTTTGTCTTTTGCTTGTTGTGTGAGACTGTCGAGCTGTCTGGTCTACAAAAACCATGTGCCCCGGCCTCTCCAGTGCTGAAATTAAAGACATGCAACACCAAGGCAGGCCCACTCCTTCCTGTAAGCAATGGGATGACAAGCTTTTAGTGGATCTTAGGCCTCCCGCTTCTGATCCTCACGCACAGCCAACACTTTACCGACTTAGGCATTTCCCCAGCCCAACAGGTGGAGATTTCATGTTTAACGTTTGTTTTCGTGTGTGGAGGCCAGAAGAGGGTGTAAGAGCCCCTGGAGCTGGGGAACTGTGAGCTGCCTGGTATGGGGGCTGCACTCAGGTCCTCTGGAAGAGCAGAAAGTGCTCTTAACCACTGAGCCATTTCCCCAGCGCCAGGTGGAAACTTAAGGGAGACATTTTTCCTATAGTGTGCACTTGTTTTAATGGACTCCATCCCTCCCATCCATCATGCCGAAGCAGTATCTCCAGGCTTCATGGGTGAGACGATGAACACTCCAGATTCACAGAGCAGCTGGTGCAGGCCTTGCACTTCCTGTATTTGGAGCTCCTGCACCTTTGGTAGGGTGAAAGTTCAGAACCATGTTAGGATGAGGGGGTGACCCTAGCCTTTGTGACTAGTTGAGCAGCTCCTGGATATGAAGCAGCCTCAGCCAGGAGTGATCCCCACACAAATAGCCACAACACCCCTTCAGGCCCAATGCCAAGCTGGAGGTATGCACTGCTCTCTGATGTGAGTTCTTGTTTCTCCGAGCGACAAGCAGGAGCCTGTGCTCAGAAGTCCCAGACGCCAACAGAGCCCAATCAGCCTCCTCTCTGTGGGAAGCAGGTGCATGTGTTTTTTGAAATCCCTGCAGAAATTACAGTTTGCAGCGGAGCTGTGAACTCATCTGTGATGATGACGATGATGGTTTAATGTGTGATTACTGCCTCCTGCATGTTGTGTATACCTGCCACATTCGTGCTTGGTGCAGGTGGAAGGCCAGAAAAGGGCACCAGTTATGAGCCACCATGTAAGTGCTGGAATGGAACCCAGGTCCTCTGCAGCAGCAAGCGCTCCTGACCACAAACCTTCCTGGGGGAAAGACTGTGGCACTTTTCTGCCCAATCCACCAGGTGGAGGAAGATGTCTTTACAACGATCTGTCTATCCCTGCAAAAGCAACAGTGTTCAAAGACTGAACTATATAGACTTTGTGCAGGAGCAACAACCCAGCAGTCACCAGAATCCGGTGAGGTGTTCTCAGCTCCCAGTGCAGCCTAACCTGGTCTCTAGCTCATGGCCTTTTCCCCATAGCCTCCCAAATGCACCATCAAATCCAGCCATTGGTTCTCTGCGACTGACTTAAATCAACTCAGAAGGGCTTCCACCCACTTTCTAAACCTGCTTCCTCGTAATTTGTCTTACCCAGGCAGTAAACAAGAAGCTCCCCAGCACTTTCCTGAGAAGTCAACTAGTGGAGCCCACAAGTTAAAGTAGAAAGGAGGGCCACAGGAAACCTGTGCCGCTCCAACCTCAATCTTTCTGTGGAGGCACAGGGAAAGGGGGCTGAGTGTGTGGCTTACCGCACACGACAGTTAACTTCAGCTCTGGGGACCTAACAATGCCCTCTCCCTACATCAGAGTCAAGGGAGTCCTGGGAATCACACTGGGTCCAGCTACCATTTGACTGTCAGAAGCAGCCCTGAAATCCTCTCCCAGGTCTTAGGCTAGAAACATCAGTCCTTCAAATGGGCACGGTAAACAAGCAAGTGACTTCCTAGAAGTCACCCAGTTCAGGATGTCCTCTTCTGTTCCTATTCTAAGTGTCAGTGGTCTTGGCTTGACTCCTGCTTTCAGGGAAGCCTCCACAACATCTCACCAAGACTGCTCTGTTGTTCAGGATTGACACATAAAGCAGATGGGTCCTGATATGTGGAGTAACTTTATTAATATTCATTTTTTGTATGAGACAGGTTCTAGAGCGATATGTAAACAAGACTGACCTTGTACCACAGGAATCTACCTGCCTCTGCCTCTTGAGTGGTTGAGGTATTTTTAGGTAAGGTCTCACTATGCAGCTCACACTGGTCTTGAACTATCCTTTCTTCAGGTTCCCAAATGTTCAGAGTACAGATATGTGCCACCACACCCTGTCCTATGTGTTCCTTTGAAACTCTGATGAAAGTTCTAAAATACAAACTCTCTGCATATATGTAAATCTTAGGGATCCAGATTGAATTTTATTTCTGGGCTGTGGACAGACCTTAAGCAGAAAACCTTGTGTCAGGCCTGGAGAGATGGCTGAGGTTCTGGCTACTCTTCCAGAGGTTCTGAGTTCAATTCCCAGCAACCACATGGTTGCTCACAACCATTTGTAATGAGATAGTCAGAACATATTTTTTAAAAAACATAGTGTCATCTCAGAGATGGAGGTCTTGCTATTTGGCCCAGATTGAACCTGAACTTTGGATTCTTGTCTCTCAAGCACTGGCACCACAGCTACCAATTCCAGCTAAAGAATCTTTTTCTAAATTGCAAATAATCCTGTCTTCCTTGACTCAGACTTTAGGAAGAGTAGGAAGCAATCTTTAAGGATACTGGTTGAAGTTCAACAATTCTTGAGCTCCTAAGTGTGGGACTCTGAAGGTGACTACGCTAGTTTTATTCCCAGCATGTGTGCCTTTGATGCGGAAGGCAGCATGGCATGTGTGGAGGTCAGAGAACAGCTTCATGGAATTGACTCTCTCCAGTTTTACATGAGTTCCAGGGTAGGAATTCAAGTTCCCATGCTTTGCGGCAAGTGTTTATATCCATTGAACTCTCACAGACCCCCTATACACAGCAGTATTTCCTGTGCTTGAACTGAAACTTGGAATATGTTGACTGAAATTCCCGCATTGAGGATGCCAGGGAAGCCTCTGTGGCTCTGGTAGGAAAAGGGAGGGATGCTTTTGGCTTTGTTTGTTTATACTCTTGGCTATCCTTGAATTCCCTCTGTAGACCAGGCTGGCCTTAAACAGAGATCAACCTGCCTCTGTCTCCTGAGTGCTGGGATTAAAAGTATATATACCCCCATGTCCAACCGGCAGAAGCGAAATTTTTAAAAAAAGAAAGGTTTGTGACTTCCAACTGAATCAGCATGTTACGAGTCGTTTTAATACTCTAGGCAGATCAGAGTTTCTAGGTCTGAGAGTCAGATCCCCCTTCTCCTAACCTAGTCTAACAACAGTTTTCAAAGCCAGGAGGTCATCCTGGGACACCCAGGGATCCAGGCAAGCAGAAGAGTGGGAGTAGGGTCTTTGCTTCAAGAAAGGGTTCCAGACCAGAGGGTGGGTGAGTACCCTGGAACCAAGGGCACCTTTGCTGAATCCAGTAAAGGGACAAGACAGGGCGGAGACTCTCAGGCCATTGTCTGCTTCTCTGAAAACAAGAAACAGACCAAAGGAAACCCCAAAGCCTCAGCAGCAAGGCACAGTTAAGCTGAAACCCCTAGGTGGACTGGAGCTCTGAAAGCTAATGGCGATGGCTGATCCCAGCTGAAGACTCAGCCCCTCACCAAGTGTCTGCCTTTAATGGTGGCCACTTTGCTGTGTAGAAACACCAGAACGCCAGGAAGATTTTAGAATGCACAGCAGGTCCTCTCCACTCATGTTCTGCCATGCAGGGTCTACAGTCTGGGGCTTCCTTCTGTCACCTACAAAATGGGGAAGGGACTACAGTGCTGAAGTTACTGTGACAGCACTGTTTCCCAGTCACCTGCCTGTTCCCAGACCCCTCCTCAGGCTGTGGCTGTTGTCCTAGGCACAAGACAATGAAGGCATGGAGAGGCAAAACCTACACAGTACTATGATTTGAGCATTCATTCAACTCATTAATTCAACAAACATTTATTATGCGCCTATGTGTGCCAGGTCCTAGGGACCCAGAGCTGTATGGTCCTTAGGTCCTGCCCTCAAGCAGCTCAGTCTAGGGGCAGACGGTAAACACACAAGTGACAATGTGCCATGAAGTGTTGAGAGAGGATGACAAAGTACTGGAGCACAGAAGGGTGAGCGATGGGCACTTCCTGGGCGCCTCGTATACCAGTGTATGAGCTTGGGCCAGGGAGTGCCTTGCACGTTAGTGCCACACCCCCAGAACCCTGAAGGCTGGCCCACAAGGGACCGGTGGACTGAATGGAAGCAAAGCCTCTTTTGCTTCCTCTGAACAACTGCAACATCCCTGTCTGCCAGCACCTGCAGCGACTAAGGGAGCTGTTCCCTAATTCCAGAGGCCAATGAAGGAGCAGCTACCCAGAGGGCCAACTTCCAGCCGCCTTGACATGGGTTAGGAACAGAGAACTCTCTGCGTCTATCACCCCGCCTGATAGTTCTGAGCCAGTCTGAGACTGCTTCTTACCACTATGCTGAGGCCCTTAACTCCTGTCTGTCACTACACTTCACCCTCAGGTGCCAGGCACAGCCTTGCTGGCTGCTGTCACAACAGGCACCACCCTCAAAAGATTCACAGCCTCCGCACCAGCTCAATGAGCTGCTGAATGTTTTTGTTTTGGTTGGACAAGCCATTCCTGATGTTTTCTAGCAGGCACCTCTTCAATTCAAAAATGGCCTCACTGTAGCCCAGGCTCACAGCAGCCATGGGTGGTGCTCCATGCCACAGGGCGGGGATGTGCCAGACATGTTGCCTCTCTGCCAGGCCTGCCTGTGTCCGGAAGCTGCCACCCTGCTTCTCCATGTGGGTAGCAGCCCTGCTCAGGTCGCTGGGCGGATCCAGGAGCGGTCTCCTGTCTCTGGGCTTGGGACTGGGAACAGAGAGGTCATGAAGGCTCTGATGCACAAACTGATAGTTGGGCATGTGGCCCATTTTCTCTAGCCTTAGGAAAGCATGGAGAACAGCTGGTGGGATGTCCTTCGTGTCAGCTACACTGACCACAGTGACATTGCTTAGTCCCATTAGCAGGGTGGCCAAGGAAGCCTCCAGTTCAAACCTGTCTCCAGCAGAGGCCAAGGCCCCACCGATCAAACCCCCAGAGTCTATCACCAGGATTTGGTCACAGCCTAGGTCCTGGCTGAAGCCCTCAGCTACAGGAAGGAGCTGCATGAAGGACCCCCGGGGACTACAGCTCCTCCCTGTGGCAAACCGCAGGCCAAACATGGTGTTGAGGAGTGTAGATTTCCCTGTGCCTGGCACCCCCAGAGCCGAGAGAACCACCAGTCGAGATCTCCTGTCTAGGCGGACATGCAGCTCCTTGAGAAGCCCTGTGACCCAGCGAACAGGGATGCTCAGGGTTGCCCCATCGACCAGCTCCAGAGGCAGCCCACCCAGCAGCAGGTCCACAGCCAGGCCTGGGAAGTGGGCAAAGCGCCTCTGGGCAGCGGGCAGCCTCCCTGCCTCCACCAGGCAGCTCTCGGCCTCGTAGAACTGTCCCATCTCCCGCAGGAAGTGCTCCACGCCCAAGGGCTCAGGCCAGAGTGGCTCGTTCAAGTCTGAGGCCCCACCAAGTTTCGGTCTCAGGGTGAGAAGGGTCTCTGGAGGCTGTCTTGGCCGCGGAGGGCCTAGTCGAGCTAGACCCCACTCCATCCACCTCAGGAAATACTGCCTCTCACCCAGGGAGGGGCTGCTTATCCCCAGAATGAACTCCTGCACCCCCGAGGTGGGCTCCTGGCCATTCTGCTGCACCCGGAGCTCCAGGAACCGCCGTCTCAGCTCAGCCCGGTGCTTCTCCGGGGGCTCCGAAACCCACTGGAGCTGGCAGAACTCCCTTTCGACTTGGGCTGCCTTCCGCGCAGGGTCTCCCTGCAGCCTCAGCTCATCCCTCTTGTAGGCATCCACATCCTTGATCTTCCTGATGATCTTCTGCGCCCGGTCCTTGGCCTTCTGGCACTCCTCCAAGTCCTCGTCAATTCTGAGGCCTAGCTTCCGTGCAGCGTGCGCCATGTCCTCCACAGACATCCTCCTGCAAGGAGAGCGGGCCACGCTGCATATAATCGATCGGATCCGCCTCACAAAGCTCTCGCTGTCGGTGCTGCTGACCTTCACGAGGACATGAGAGTGGTCTATCCTCAACACGGGGATCAGCCTGTTCAGGAAGCGCAGGTTTGTGTTCCGTTTCCCCCGGTAGGGGCTCAGGATGAAGTAGTACTTTGTGGTTGACTCCTTCATGGAGTACAGCAGTTTGTACTCCTTCTTACTGATATTGTCGGTCAAAATGAACACAGCCGACGAGACTTCGGTCAAGAGCTTAAACTGCAGCCAGTGAGACCCAATGTCACCTCTCAAGTTCAGAAAGGCCATAGGCTCTGGGAAAACATCCAGGTCCTCCTTGCCACTGGGGAAAAACCAGGAGATTTCTACTAACCCATCCGCAATCTCTCGAGGATTAGTGCCCAAATTGAGGTCCCGATGCCAGAAGCAGTCCCCCTGCCGGCGAGTTGGGCTGAGGATGGCATTGAGCAGCTGGGACTTGGAGTTGCTGCTGACATCCATGCGCACGAAGGCAAAGGTGGGCACCCTGGACAAGACCACACTGTCTTCTCGAAAGCTCCCGAGGCCCCGTGGGGGCTGCAAACAGCACGTCCGCATGACACCCCGCAGGGCCCAGAGCAAAAAGGTGTGGTAGTGGTTTTCCGAATCAGGCAACACAAGCGGTAGTGCAAACTGACAGAGGGACATCTTCAGCAGGATCTCCTGCTGCAGGAAGGTGTCTGAAGACAGCAGGAGGGCACAGACAAGGTCCAGGGGGTTCACAGGTGTGTCAGGCATGGGCAGCTCAGAGAAGGAGTAGATGTCATCGGTCGCGATGTCCTCAGCCGGGTCCCAGTAGATCATCTCCTCCTCCGTCTGGCTCTCCTTCTCGGCAGGCCAGGCATCTGGAGGCATGTCCAGCACCATGGTGGTGTTCCTGGCTTCAGCATTAAGGGCTTGCAGCTTCCTGAGGAAATGCCAGGGAAGGTCCTTGGGGACCTGAGGAGCCCAGTTCTTCATGCTGTCAAAAGTGATCTGCAGGGAGCCCTGGAGGGTGAGCTTCTGTACCTGGTATGTCTCCAGCCCCAACAAGGACAGCATCTCCTGAAGCCTGCTTCTTTCCACTGTAGAAGAAAAGAGGGGGGCGCGGGTGACATAAATGTTAGCCTTCGTTCTCAAGGCCAAGGGAGAGCTGGAGAAAAGCCTAGCTGGGAGGGGTTAGAGAGGACATTCCTCAGAATAGGATACAGGTCCAGGGGGCCCGGGATATGCTGGGCTGACCTAAGACCAATTGCACCGCCTAACTAGAATGTATAAGGTTAAGTATAGGAAGGAAGATGGTTAAATGGACATGCTGCTCTTCCAAAAGACCAGCGTTCATTCTCAGCACCCTCACCAGCTAGCTCACACGACTCACAATTCCAACTCCTGGGATCCCGCAGCCTCTTCAGGCACTGACACTCACATATACATATCCACACAGACAACACCCAGACATGCAACTAAAATTCATCTACAACCAGGTATGGTGATTCATGCCTTTAATTCCAGTACTAGGTAAGCAGAAGCAGGTAGATCTCATACAAATTCAAGGATAGCCTGGTCTTCACAGCGCATTCCAGGGCAGCCAGGACCACACACTAAGACCGTGTGCGCGCGCGTGTGTGTTTGTGTGAGGGGGGAGGGGCGGGAGAGGGAGAAGAAGAGGAAAAAACAGGGCAACTGAGGAGTTACACTTGAGACTCCAGAGAGTTTTTAGTTTTTCTAGATTATCTGCAACATACGTCTGAGCTCAAACATAAGTATTAGAACGAGCAGCTCGCTAGTCCTCAGCCCTCAAACTGGTCACAAGGTTATCTACCCCTAATGTTCTAGCCCAGTCAGGAGTCAGGGGACATGGTGGAACATGCCTGAAACTCTAGCACTCAAGAAGTTGAAACAGGAGGATTGATGCAAATTCAAGACCAGCATGGCATACACAGCAAAGCCTGCCTCAAAACCTGGAGGAAAGAATGTCACCAGGAAATTCTCACGAGGGTACAACCACTATTCACAATCTGGGCTGTCTGGTAAGGGTTGTTTTTTAAATCTTTGTAATAAACTAGAGATGTTTTTGTTTGTTTTTGTTTTTGTTTTTTCAGACAGGGTTTCTCTGTGGCTTTGGAGGCCTGTAAGCCATTCTGGTAAATCCCCTCTCTCTCTATATATAGATTCATTCTCTAAGTTCTGTTATTCTAGAGAACCCTGACTAATGCAGTGACAATAAAGCGTCTTGACTGACGCCTGGTAGACACTGAGTATTTTAGATATTCAAATGTCACCATATAATGCAAACTTTATAACTTAACACTCATAAGAGTTCTACCTGTACCCAGATCTTAGCCTGGCATCTTATCAACGTTCATAACCAACATAAGTGGTTGGCTTCTTATCTATTGATTTACCAGTCAGTGCAGAAATAAACCCACAGCCTAGGTAGTACTTCACACTGAGCTATATCCCTAGCTCCTTTTTCTTCTTCTTTCAAGATGGGGATGGGGTGAGGGTGTTCCCCAGGCTTGTCTCAAACCTATGAACAGATTCAGTCTTTCTGCCTCTACCCTGATCTACAGGCATATACACCACAAGCGTCCCATAGCATTGGTTTTAGGGCTCGGAATTCTAAACTTATTTACACACGTGAGCTTTGTCACGTGTCTGGAGGCGAGAGGAAGACCTGTGGGAGCCCTGGGATTCCATTTCAGTCATCAGGTTTGGCAGCTGATGAACCACTTGAGAAGTTACCTGTGAAGGGGACCTATGAATTCCTTTTAAAAACAGAACAACTAGCTTGGTAATATGGTTCAGCAGGTAAACAAACCACTTCCATCCAAACCTGACACCCACACAGCAAAAGGAGAAAACAGATCCTCAAATTGTTCTCTGGCCTCTGTACACATGCATGTACACACAAATACATAAATAAAAAGTTTAATTTAAAATAAAATTATTTTTATTTTATGTGTATAGGTACTTTGCCTCTGTGTGTGTGTTTGCGCGCGCGTTACGTGCACGCAGTGCCCACGGAGGCCAGAAGAGGACATTAGATCCTTCTGGAACTGGAGTAACACAGAGCTATCAGTCACCAAGAGAGTGTTGGAAACCAAACCCAGGTCCTCTGCAAGAGCAATATGTGCTCTTAACCACTGAGTCATCTTTCTAGTCCCAAATAAATATAATTATAAAAATAAATAAAATTTTACATAGCTGTTACTCAGGTTTGTTATGCCCACGTGAAGCCAGGGATGCACTACAGCCATTGCTGCTTAAGTAGCATGGTCACCAAAGCAGCTTGGGCAAAACCTCATTCTGCGCATATACCCACACCAGCATTCAGCCCTTAGGAGACCACTCAGCAACTCTGGGTCCAAATTTCCCAATACACAAAGTTATTGCTAGTTTCTAAATCTAGATAGCTAGGCATTAGAGTAACTTCAGGAACTTGTTAAAAATAAGATACATGGGGAAGCCTCCACGCACAAAGACATTAACTCATGGTGGCAGTATAGATAAGTTACAGGGATCACTGGTTACTCCATAGTAAGTTCCTGAGTTGTTTGGCTTTTAACAACATTACTCATATTTCATAAAGGGGGACAGACAAGAAGGGTCTAGAGTCAAATACCCAGGTGATCTGACACAGTCAAGTTTGAGAACTAGCCACCTATAGGGTACTCTCCTCCAATAGAATGAAAAGCTGAAAAAGAAAGAAAAAATGTATACCTGTTGGGAAATCATTGTCCTGAGTCTCGTTTGTACCATCTATGGGAAAAATCAAAGGGAAATAAGGGGGATTAATCTGATAATAATGTCAAACAGACTGACAAAATGCAAATTAAGTGAAACAAACCTAAGTCCTCTTCTTTTTAAACCAAAATTGCCATTCCTTGATTTTTTTGTTTTTGTTTTTTGTTTTTTGTTTGTTGAGACAGGGTTTCTCTGTATTGTTTTGGAGGCTGTCCTGGAACTCGCTCTCTAGACCAGGCTGGCCTCGAACTCACAGAGATCCGCCTGTCTCTGCCTCCTGAGTGCTGGGATTAAAGGCATGGGCCACCAACGCCCAACTAATTCCTTGAAATTTTAACAATATAAAAACATATAAAACTAGCTATTTTTCACTTTGCATTCATACCCTCACCCTCCCCAACCCAGTTTGTCCTAAGTCCCATAGTGTCTACCTCCATAATGGAACCCGCAGTCATCTCCTTCCATCTCTCTCCATTCCAAACCTACAAGAAAAGGAACAGGTGTTTCACCTCCTCAGCCAGTTAGAGCTTTTCCACAAAGAAGTCTCGAGTGGCTTTTGTTGACTGTTGGTACTACAGGCTGAGCATTCCTGAAATACTCAGGACCACAAGTGTCTCCAGCCCATTTTAAACAAAAACACAGGTCAGAATGAAACCTACAGCTCTAAAATCTATCACCCTTATGATACCCCCATAATTAACAGATAACTTTTGTGTTTGTTTGTTAGAGACAGGGTTTCTTTACATGTCTGGCTGTCCTAGAAGACCAGGCTGGCCTCCAACAGAGACCTGCATGCCTCTGCCTCCCGAGTGCTGGGATTAAACCTCACAATTTAAACTGCCTTTTTTTATGATTTTTCTGGAGACGGATATAGAGATGAGAGAGAAAATGGCAGGGTGACTTCTGGAAGTAGAATGTCCAATAATTAAAAACATACTTTTACTCAAAGATACTAGAAAGAAAATTTTTCCCAAAAAATTCAAAATGCAGTGTGAAAAGAAAAATAACTAGAGTAGAAAATAATAGCCAAGTATGGGGCTCAAGAGGTGGCTCAGAGGTTAAGAGCACTTGATACTCTCGCAGAGAGGACTTGGGCTCAATTCCCAGCACCTACAAGGTGGCCCATAACCGTCTGTAACCCCAGTTCCAAAGATAAGATGCCCTCCTCTGGCCACTGTGGGTACTGTACAGATGTGGTATATATACACGCAGGCAAAGCATAATATAATTTTGGTTTTGATGTTGGTTTTGTTTGTTGTTTTGAGGGTTTGGGGTCTTATTGTTATTGTTTTTGAGGCAGGGTCTCTATGTAGCTCTAGCTATCCTAGAACTTGCTATGTAAGCAAGGTTGGCCTTGAGCTCACAGGTTTGCCTCTGCCTCCTGAGTGCTGGGATTACAATTATGTACTACTATGCAAGGCTGACATATTTTTTAGGAGGCTGGCAAGATGGCACATGTTTGTAATCCTAGGCTGCCCATCAGGAAGTTAAAGGACTAATTGGACTACAGAATTTCAGACCAATATGTGCAACACAACAAAACATGTCTTAAAAAAACAAAAAGGAAAGGAAGGGGTATGAATGTGAGTCCATGACAGGCCCTACATATCAGCTCTTAATGGGCACAAGGGCAGAGTATGGCCCAGGCTCTACTGTGGAAATCGCATCCTATAAAAACTGTGCCAAACCCAGGTGGGGACTCAAAAATGGAGCACTGAAGCAGACTCACTGAAACCAAGTGATCTTTCCCTCCAATTATCACAGTGCCCAGCACATACTCGATAGCTTTCCATCAAGATGTAGGATATATGTCACTGAGCAGTGAATGAACGTCCACCATGTGACACCTCAAGGCTGTTAGTTGCCCCATCTCACACCATACACAAGTTAACTTTAAACGGATAAACAATCTACATGTAACATTAAAAATCATGGAACTCAAAGCTGCATGGTGGTGGTGGTGCCTGCCTGTAATCCTAGCACTCAGTAGGAAAAGGCAGGTGAATCACTGAGTTCAAGGCCAGCTTTGTCTACAAAGCAAATTCCCGAATGGTCGAGGCTACACAGAGAAATCCTATATCAACCTCCCCGTCCCCCCTGCCAATAAATCATGAAATTCTTAGAAGACGTGAGCAAATCCTCATAACCTTTGACATCATGCTGGATTCTCAGATGTGACAAAAGCAAAATATAAGTAAAAACACTATACATCTAAGTGAAAACAGACAGGCATGGTGACCACACCATCAGTTCCAGAACTCAGAAGCAAAAGGTAGATCTTTATGAGTCTGAACCGGCCTTGTCTACACACTGAGTTCTAAGTTAGCCCGAGGTATTTAGTTAGAGCCTGTCTAAAAAAAAAACAAAAACAACAACATCAAAAACAAACAGTGCAAGCTGGGTGCTGGTGGCACATGCCTTTAATCACAGCACTTGGGAGGTAGAAGCAAGAACTCTGTGAGTTCGACGCCAGCCTGGTCTACAGAGTGAATTCCAGGGCAGCCAGGGCTACACAGTGAAACCCTGTCTCAAAAAAAGTAAATGCAGAGCTGGGAATGTAGCTCAATGGTACAGTACTTTATACTCTGAGGCCCTGGGTTTAAGTCCCAATAACAACAACAAAACACACATGGCAAACACAATGGGTCAAAAGAGATTATGCATGTATCTGTGTGTTTCTGGTAAAGGTCTACTATTTGCACAATTTATAGCTTTATAATAAAGGAAACAATAATGTCAATAAAAAAATACACGATTTGAACATCTTGGGATGGAATCTTTTTATAGAGAGAAAAAGAAAAGCCTTAAGCTTGTTTTTAGGTCCACAATCCCAGCCCAGGAAGAGATATAGACTCCAGAATCCCAGTAGACAAAGAAACCCATCTATTTAAAAATGGGTCCAAGTCTGACTTTACCTGCAATTGCCACGGATGTCTGGCTGTCTGAAGGTTTTACTTCTGGGGTCACTTCTCCCAGATCTGAATGCCTGAAAATTTTTCAGAAGAAAATTATCATCAAAATAATTTACTACCACTTTCATCAAATCAAATAATCAAATAAAAATCTCTTGGGTTTAAAATCTCTAAACTCAGGCTGTTGGAATGGTTCAGTGGTAAAGAGCATATACTGCTCTCCTACAGGACCTGAATTCAATTCCCAGCACCCACACATATACATATAGTTTGAGAATAAAATATTTTGAAATTATAAACTCTGGGTACATCCCAGATCCATGAATTCAGATCCTTTGGGAGCTGGTCCTGGGCTTTTCTATGACTCCAATGTACAGCCCAAGGGAGACACACGAGCCTGGACAAACCACCATAGCCGCAGGCCCCTCTGAAAGTCATGAAAACATACATACCCTTTGACCAGCAATTCCACTTCTATCCTAAGGGAAAAATGAAGATTTAGTTACAAAGACGTTGATGTGAGCTTGACACTCAATAGCAAATCTGTCAAGTCCAGTGACAGAATTACAACCCTATTCTGCAAGCAGAACACAGTACTCTCTGGGCTTCTTTTTGTGAGCAGAGCAATTTTAGGTGAACTATTATGGAAAGACACTAAAGGCATGCAAATTAGTAGTGAGTAAGTTACAGAATAACGCAGTATATACGATTAAATTATGTGTGTTTAGAGAGAGATCTAGAAATATGCTCATCAAAAGCTAGGGGCACAGAACAAAATGTCTAAGACATAGAACTGTGTGTGGTGGCATACACCTGTAACCCAGCACAAGAAACTGAGGCAGGGGTAGCTCAATTTCAAAGCCAGCCTGCTCAACACAGCAAGGCCCTGTCTCAGACAAACCGACAGTGTAGGCAAGAAGGGGTGATCTTGTGTATGTGCATTACTGAGGTACAAATCCAGGGCCACCCACATGTTAAATACTCTACCACTAATCTATAACCCCCCAATCCAGCACTACAGAAGCTAAGGTAGGAGAATTACAAGTTCCAAGCCCAAACAAGGCTACAAAGATAGACCCTGTATACAAAAATAAAATATTTTTTAAATGTTAGTTGTTATCATAGAAAAAACAAACATGAGCCAGAGAGACGGTTCAGCAGGTAAAACCTGATACTTGAGTTCCATCCTGAAAACCCGCGTAAGAAGCCAGATGCAGTGGCACTCCTATACCCCCAGAATTCCTCTGGTAAGAGGTAAGATATAAGGCAGAGATGGGAGAATAGGCCAGCCAGTCTATGGTAACAAAAAGGACCACAACAAGAAAGGAGAGACATCTCAAAAGCAAGACGGAATAAGAAAGCAGACTCCTGAAAAACTGTCCTCTGACCTCCACATGGGTACTGTAGCATGAGAGTGTCTGTACACGTGTGTATGCGGGCGGACACACACACACACACACACTCATGCATGTCCACCCACATGAGCACACATGCACATATTTGACATGCACACATACATGCATATACACATAAACACAAGCGCATATATGCATGCACACACATTTTTTTTAAAAATGAGAGAAAGCAGCAGGGTGGTGGTGATACACACCTTTAACCCTAACACCCAGGGGAGGGGGTGTATGGACACAGAAGCAGGTAGATCTCTGAGTTTGAGGCCAGCCTGGTCTACAGAGTGAGTTCCAGGACAGCCATGGCTACACAGAGAAACCTAGAAAAGAGAAAGGGAGGCAGGGAGGGAGGGAGGGTGATAATGCTGACTGAAGATAAGCACACAAACACTGGACAAACACTGGACAGAATGTACAAAACTTGCAAAGGCACTGGGTTGACTGTGACCTTTACATTCATACTCACATGTGTGCACATGTCTATGTCTATATACGTCTGTTTATACATGTCTATTTCCTAACTGTATCCCTGAAAGAGCCAGCACGCAAAGACAGAGCAGAGAACTTGACCATGTCATCCTTTAATGTCACTCTACACAAGAGAACTCAGGACTCCTTGGAGATGCTGGCTATCCCCTTGACTGAGTGAAAGAAGAGGGACCCAAGCATCTAGGTGTAGATAAAACAGAAACTCTGCAAAGTTTTGGGGATTTCTCTGGATTCATGCAGCAGCTCAAGGGACTCCCACTGGCCAAAGCAGGAATAACACCAGCAGGAAAAGAACGAATATGGTAATTAAAATGACAGGGCTGGAGAGATGGCTCAGTGACTAGGAGCACCTGTAGAAGATTCTTGTAGAGGACCTGGGTTGGTTCTATTCCCAGCACCCACATGGTAGTTTACAACCATCCATAGCTCCAGTTCCAAGACCCTCTTCTAACAGCACACAGGCATATGGTGCACATAATACACATATGCAGGAAAAACATTCATATGTATAAATAAATCTAAAATAGGAAACACTGAAAACCAATCCAGTAGTGGTGGCACACGTCTTTAATCCCAGCACACAGGAGGCAGAGGCAGGCAGATCTCTGTGAGTTCACCTAGGGTTTCAAAGTGAGACCCTATCTCAAAACAAACAAACAAAAAAAATGAAAAACAAATAAATTTGTCCATATAGGTAATAAATAGTTCAAGAACTCTTGCTCACAACAGAACAGTAAAAGCAGAGGAGTTTTAAAATTAACTGTGCCATTAGGTTCAGCGGTGTCGGTGGTGGCACACTCCTTTAATCCCAGCACTTGGGAGGCAGAGGCGGCGGATCTCTGTGAGTTCAAGGTCTACAGAGTGGGTTCTAGGACAGCCAGAGATACACAGAGAAAGCCTGTTTCTAAAACAAACAAAAAAGAATAGCATCACCCTTATTGAAATCAGAATGAAGTCTAGTCAAAAAGAACAGTCAACAGAGCTGACAAGCAGCGAGCTGTGACTCAGTCTTAGTGTCCCTAAGAAGCACAGGGAGGAAAAGCCAACGGTAATTATAACAGTGCAAAGTGACACTTCCTAAATTAACCCAAACTAATCTTAATAATGAAGTCAGGCCTTACTGTGTACCACTGTGGAATCCAAAGGGGGGACTAATACCCTTGCAGAGTTCTGTCCAAAAGGCAAAACCAGGCCATCATAACAAACTAAAAACAAATGACATTATACCAGAGGATGAGAGATAAAGTATCTCAGATGTGAATGTCATAAGACAAAGGAAACATTCCAGAAAACCAGACACAATAGCTGATCTTATATCCTGAAGAAGAAACTCTGGGGTGAAATAAGAAGGAAATATGGGTTCAGTCAATGTGAACCACCCTGTGGTTATATACTAGAGTACCTTACTTCTTAGGAAACAGTCAATGAAGGGCCTCCTAAGAGGAAAGCAGCAGGGAGAGAGCAACTGGCGCCCTACACACTGAATGCACGTGGTACCTCCAACTTCATTATGCTGAAAGCCTAAAGCCCATGTGATACTATTTGGAGCTGGGGCTTTGGAAGGTGATTAGAACAGCTCTCATGAATGGGATTATTAAATTACAAGAGGCCCTCAACGAGGAGGAGAGTCTGGCTGGGGATGCAGGTCAGTGGTAGCCCTTCCTTGAAAGGCATGTGCAGGGCCCTGCTTTGAGACCCTGCCTCAGAGACAAAAAGGCATAGAGTAAAACAGACGCTGTGAGTAGGTTAAGGTGCCTGCTGCCAGGCTGAAGACCTGAGTTCAATCATTTCAATCTACACGACGGAAGGAGAGGACAAGTTCTTCCTGATTTCCACATGCTTGCATGCACACAGGCGTGTGTACACACAGGAACACATGCACTCATGCACGTAGCACACACACGCACGCACCCTAAATAACTAAAGCATGAAGTGTGTCTGGTTAAACACAGTTCCTCAGAACAGAAGCTGGCCTGGCTCAGAGGTCTAAATACACTGCCAGAGGATCCCAAGCAGGGATAAGCCAGACAGCAGGTTTCTACAGCTCAGAACTTTTTGGTCCAGCTATGTTCCAAGGCTGGACACTTGTCCCTAGGACATATATTCTGGCCAGTAAGTACTCAGGACAGGAATTTGATTTCATCCCCTTCTGTTCCACACAAGAAAACAGTAAGCAAGCAGCAGGCAAGGATGGCCCTGCCACCGTGCTCACAGAAAAGTGTGAGTGTTGGCAAGTTCTGGGCTTCGTTCTTGTTGGCAAGCCATGTCACAACTGAGAAGTGCAAACCATTCACAACTGAGAAGTGTAAGCCATGGCTTGGGGTCCCTCACTGCTCCCGAATATCAGATTTACTGGAGGCAGAGCCAGGCTTGTGGCTGGTGCCCTTTATCTGCAGCTTCACCACCACTAACAGTTTGACAGACTGTGTCACTCCAAGTTCTTACGACGTCTTCACCCAGTGTGATTGTATCCGGACTTGAGATCTAACTTAATTCAAAGAAGGCTACAAGGTGGTAAGAATGTGGCCTCTGAGAGGAAGCCCACTCTTCCCCGCAGGCAGACACTGAAGCAAGGCCCCCACCAGAGACCAAACCTCATGAACCTAACCTGCTATCTCAAGATCTTCAAGAAAAGTCAACAGCTGTGACTGATACCTCCGGTGTAAGTTATCTTACAGCAGCTCCCAAATTCACACTACAAGGTGAAGGCAGGGTTCAGAGCAGTGTGGCAAAGACTGCCCACATCATCAAATATGGCTGGGGCCCAAACATGATTTGGTTCCTTTCTAGTAAACTCTGTTATTGATGATTCTGCACAGTTTTCAGATGTTTTTCATCTTTTTTTTCTTATAGTGCTGAGTTGACAAACTTGTAAGTTCAGTCACACCACTCAACCTACAGTGAGCATGTGTACCAATCCATCAGCCTACAGTGAGCACAAGTAAACAAAGTAGCTTACTTAAAGTACAGGTAACCATTCATCAACTGTAAACATCAATAGGTTGCTACTTTGGATAGTAAAGAACCTCTGTTGTTGAAGCCCCCTTCCCCTAATGCCCTACATTTTTAGAAAGTGGCAAGAAAGTCCATGGTTCCTGTCCTCCTTTGGTGTTAACTGGGGACCCTCATCCTAAACCAAATAGCAGCCCAAGACATTTGTTCTGCCTCCAAAGCCTCATTTTATGAGACATAAATGTTTAAAAACCCTCCAGGATGTGTGCTGTGGGTTGAACTATGTATGACCCTAGTAGGAAACAGGATACTTGCAAGCCTAATTAGCTAAATTAAAATAAGGTCAGTCAGGTAAGGTGGTATGTGCCTGTAATCTAAGCTCTTAGGACACTGAGGCAGGAGGTTTATTGCTAGTTTGATGCCAGCCTGAACTATCTAGTGAGTTCAAGTCCAGGCTAAACTATAGAGTAAAATCCTGACACGAAAAAACAAAAGAGTAAGTCACGATGGGTAGGATGGGCCCGTAACACAATGAGCAGTTCCCCATGAAGAGAAGGAAACTTAGACACACATGAAGGACAGCACATATCAACAGGGTAGAGACTACGGTGACACATGTGCAATTCAAG